GGAACCATACGCCGCCACCACCGCCGAACCCCGCGGTGGTGGGGGGGGTAACACACCCCCGCGGGCCGAGCGGGGTGGGGGGAAACAGAAAGCGAGGGGGGCACATAAAAACAACGGCGTGGGGCAAAGGCGGGGGGGGGAAGAGGGGAAAAAACAAAGGGCGGGTGGGAGGAGGGGACCCTCCCCTCCCCAGGACCTCGGCACAAGCCCCCATGCCTCCCCTCTCCCTTTTCCCCCTTCCTGACCACTTTTTTACCCACCCACCCACAACCCCCTCCATTAGCCTCCCTAAGGTCCCCTTACCACTACCAGAGCGCCCACCTTCCTAGCTCCTACCAACCTAGTGGGCCTTCCCGATCCGCCCCTGACCCCTCCCATCCACACTTCCTTCCCTTTTGATGCCGCGCGGGACTCTATCCTCAGCAAAGACCTCGCCCACAAGCCCTGCGCTCCTTCTGCCCTTTGCCCGCCCGGCCCCCCCCTTCCACCCTTCCCCCTTCCCTTCCGCCTCCGCCTTGCCCCTTCCTTCCCCCCCCCCTCCCTCCCCCCGCACCCCCGCCCCTTCCCCCTCCTTCCCCAAACAAACAATTAATAATAATTGTTGCGCAAGACGCTGAGCACGGTGGGTCTTCTGAGGACGGTGCGGTCGTGCTTCGAGCGCATCGAGGATGCGGTGTCGAGTCGGCTCTGGCGGTGTTCGGGATGAAGTCCCCGTCCCTGCTGCAGTTTCGACCGGGAGTCGCGGAGCGACGGCGCAGTGCGCGCCAACCTGCGCAGCCTCTACGGGGTGGAGCGGGCGCCGTCGGACACGCGGATGCGCGAGCGCCTGGACGAGGTGGATGCACGCGACCTTCGGAGCGTCTGACCGCCGAGCATCTGGCGGCGGAGCGTCCAAGGCGCGAACAGGGAGCACGGGAGCAGGCGCAACGCGAGGCTCAGGAGCGTGCTCGGCGCGAAGCCGAGGGACGCGCCCGACGTGAGGCAGAGGCGGAAGCGGAACGTCGTAGGCGGGAGTTGGAGCCCGGGCGGCGCTTCCGCGACTGTGACGCCTGCCCGGAGCTGGTGGTGGTGCCGGCGGGGTCGTTCATGATGGGGTCGCCGCCGGGCGAGGCCGGGCGAGGCGATGATGAAGGCCCGCAGCACCGGGTGACGATTGCCGAGCCGTTCGCGGTAGGGGTGCATGAGGTGACCCGGAGCGAGTTTGCGCGCTTTGTGCGGGAGACGAACCGCTCGACGGGCAATTCCTGTTGGGTGTTGGACGTCAGTGAAGGGAAATGGGCGGAGCGTTCGGGCCTCAACTGGCGCAACCCCGGCTTCGCGCAGACCGACCGGCATCCGGTGGTGTGCGTGAATTGGGAGGACGCGCAGTCGTACGTGCGCTGGCTGTCGCGTGAGACTGGGGAGCGTTACCCGTTGTTGAGCGAATCGGAGTGGGAGTACGTGGCGCGGGCGGGAACGACGGAACCGTTTCACACGGGCGCGACGATTTCGACGGCGCAGGCTGAATTATATATAACGGAATCACACATATGGTTCGGTCGCAGAGGCGAATACGCAGCGCACAGGTCTGGTCAGTGGTTCCTTTTCGCCGAATGCCTTTGGATTGCATGACGTGCACGGCAACGTGGGGAGTCGGGCGCAGGACTGCTGGAACGCACAGCTACCAGACGCACCCGCTGACGGCCGTGCGTGGAAAATGGAATGCAGCCTTCGTGTGGTGCGCGGCGGTTCCTGGGGCCTCAGACCGAGTACCACCTCCGGGCCGCCGTCCGCATCAGGAACTCCGCCGGGAACCGCTCATCTACCTGGTTTCGTCCGCATGTCCCGGCACGCTTGTCTCCCTGAGTCCTTACTCCGGGGGTCTAAGGGGCAAGGTCCCCCTGGCCGAAATGTTGAGCTTTTGACGGCACGAGGCGCATCTTTGGACAAAGCCTTTCGCGACCGGGCGCGTGAGACGGGACCGGCCTTGGAAGCCCACTACCGTTTCATCGTGTGGCTGGTACCGACGGTGGAAGGCTTTCCGCGCAGCCAGAAGTTCCTGTTGGGCGACCGCATCCAGCAAGGCGCCCTGGACGTTCTGGAGTCCCTCGTCGAGGCGACGTATACCCGGCAGCGCGGGCCGCACCTCAGGCGGGCCAACCTGGGCGTCGAGAAGCGTGGCTGTGGCACCCAGTTCAGCGAGATTTTGTCCAATTGAAGTTTATTCAAGCAGGAGAGAAGACCACGCCGATCATCCTGGATCAGGTGGTGGGTATTGAAGACGCCCCCGCCGCGTAACGCAAAGTTGGTGAGTCACCGATCACTCCCTCCTTTGATCACCTGTCACAAGATGCAACAGTGTGGCAAATCAGCACATCCGCTGGCTTTTTCGTAAATTACACCATAATCAACATGATTTCAGACGGTTAGATGCCTCCTCTATCTCCTCAACGCCTTACAAGCCGCTGCATTCTGCATCGCCCCGGAATCCGTCCATCCCCACGCACAGATCATCTAACGTTCTTTGCAGAAAGGACTTATCGGCTCGCCGGGGATTTGGCACCATTGATGCTTTAGTAGTGGCCCGATTCGGCACCGATACAACCAGAATCGAAAATACAGCAGAGACCAGATTCAACCTTTTCAGGGAGTACAGTCGTGCATAACGCCAAGCCCCATCGCGTCTGGAAAGTCGCGGAGGCCAAGGTCCGTTTATCGGAAATTCTGCGGCTTTCGGAAACGGAGGGTCCGCAGCACATCGGCGCGCGGAAATCCTTTGTCGTGGTGCCTGCCCACCTGTGGGCTGAGCGTGAGACGCCTCGCAAGCCGCTTGGCCCATGGCTGGTTGAAAACACACCGCGCGGCACAAGCCTTGAAATTCCTGGATGCTGCGACTACGGGCTCGAGATTCCGTTTATCGACGAGGTGGACGCATGATTGGAGCGGAAAAGGTGTTGCCGAACGGGCAATGATCAGTACGGGAACGGCCAGCGGCGCAGTTTTTCCTTGCTGATCTGCCACAGGCGGGCGAGGCCGCGGGGTTCAAGGATGAGGAAGGCGATGATGAAGCCGCCGAAGACGATGAACTCGATTTCCTTGGCGAGGTCGACGGGCATTTCAAGGCCGACGAGGTGGGGCGCGTTGGTGAGGAAAATGGGCAGCATGGTGATGAACGCCGCCCCGATGATGGAGCCGAGGATGCTGCCCAGGCCGCCGATGATGACCATGAAGAGCACCTCGAACGACACGTTGATGTCGAAGGCCAGGGTTTCGACGCTGCCGAGGTAGACGAACAGCATCAGGGCGCCGGCGATGCCGCAGTAGAACGAGCTGACGGCGAAGGCCGACAGCTTGGTCGTCAGGGGCCGGATGCCGATGATCTCCGCTGCCACGTCCATGTCGCGGATGGCCATCCAGGTGCGGCCGATCTCGCTGCGCACCAGATTCTTGGCGATCAGGGCGAAGACCACCACGAAGCTCAGCACCACCAGGTAGCGCACCGCGGCGGTGGCTTCGGGGCCGGTCACCATGATGCCCATAAGGGTTCGCGGCGGCGCGGTGATGGTGCCGGACGGGTTGTAGTTGTAGAACCAGGCGACGCGGTTGAACAGCCAGGTGAGGAAAAACTGCGCCGCCAGCGTTGTCACCGCCAGATACAGCCCCTTGATGCGCAGGCTCGGCAGCCCGAACACCAGGCCGACGCCGGCGGCCATGACGCCCGCAAACAGGAAGACGACCACCATATTCAGTTCCGGCATGGCGGTGGTCAACTTGTAGGCGGTGTAGGCGCCAACCGCCATGAAGCCGCCGGTGCCGAGGGACAACTGACCGGTGTAGCCGGTGAGCAGATTGAGGCCGATGGCTGCCAAGGCATAGATCAGGAAGGGAATGAACACGGCTTGCAGCCAGTACTCATTGGCCAGGGTCGGCACGACCCCGTACGCCGCCACCAGCACCAGCGCGACGCACCAGCGGTCCTGGGCAATCGGAAAGATGGCCTGATCGCGCCGGTACGACGTTTTGAACTGCCCGGTCTCACGATACAGCATGCTTATACCCTTTCGATGATTTCTTCCCCGAACAGCCCCTGCGGCCTGAAGAACAACACGACCATTGCCAGCACGTAGGCGAACCAGTTCTCGATGGCGCCGCCAAAGGCCGGACCCCAGTAGACCTCGCCGATTTTCTCCCCAACCCCGATGATGAGCCCGCCGACAATGGCGCCGGGGATGGACGTGATGCCACCCAGAATCAGCACCGGCAGGGCCTTTAACGCAATGAGCGACAGGCTGAACTGCACGCCGCTCTTCGATCCCCACATGATGCCCGCAACCAGGGCCACCAGACCTGCCACGGACCACACCGTGACCCAGATCGTCTGCAACGGAATGCCCACCGCGGTCGCCGCCTGATGGTCGTCCGCCACGGCGCGTAAAGCCCGCCCGATGGCGGTCTTCTGGGACAACACGGCCAGCAGGACCACCAGCACCGCGGCGGTCAACGCGGAAAACAACTCGAACTGGTTGAGCAGCATGCCGGCGAAATCGAAGGAATCGTCCGGGATGCCCAGGTCCAGGCGCTTGACGTTGCTGCCCCACAGCAGCTCGCCAAAGCCTTCGAGGAAGAACGACAGCCCGATGGTTGCCATCAGCAGCGTCAGCGGGTCCTGATTGACCAGCGGCCGCAGCACCAGCCGTTCGATGCCGTAGGCCAGCGCCACCATGACCGCGACGGTGACGGGCAGCGCGACCCAGACCGGCACGCCGCGCTCCATCTGCCCGACGAGCGTCAGGGCGGCGAACAGCACCATGATGCCCTGGGAAAAATTGAATACGCCGGAAGCCTTGAAGATGAGCACGAAGCCGAGCGCCACCATCGAATACATGACGCCCGTCATGAGCCCGCCGAGCACGACCTCGGCAAAGAAAATCGGAGCCGACAGGATCTCCGTAAATGGCGTCACAAACCAAATGTCGAAGAAGCCCATGTGAACGGAACCCTCGGAGAAATTTGCGTTGGCGTCAGGTGTGCGCCACACCCAGGTAGGCGTCGATGACGTCCGGGTTGGCGCGCACCTCGTCCGGCGATCCGTCGGCGATCTTGCGGCCGTAGTCGAGCACCACGACGCGGTCCGAGATGTCCATCACCACGCCCATGTCGTGCTCGATGAGCACGCAGGTAATGTCAAACTCGTCGCGAATGTCGAGGATGAAGCGGCACATGTCCTCCTTCTCCTCCACGTTCATGCCGGCCATGGGTTCATCGAGCAGCAGCAGGCGCGGTTCGGCGGCCAGCGCACGGCCCAATTCAACGCGTTTCTGCAAGCCGTATGGCAGGCGCCCGACCGGAGTCTTGCGAATGGCCTCGATCTCCAGAAAGTTGATTACCCGCTCGACGTACGCCCGGTGCGACTCCTCCTCACGCAGCGCCCGGCCCCAGTACAGCGCCTGGCTCAGCAGGCCGCTGCGCATGTGCAGAACGCGGCCGGTCATGAGGTTGTCGAGGGTGCTCATGCCCTTGAACAACGCCACATTCTGAAAGGTGCGGGCGATGCCCTGGCGGGCGACGTGATAGGGGCGCAGGTTGCGCGGGCGGGTCTGGCCCATGAACACCAGGCGGCCCTGCTGCGGGCGATAGACGCCGTTGATGACGTTGAGCAGCGAGGTCTTGCCGGCGCCGTTCGGGCCGATGATGGCGAGGATTTCGCCGCCGTAGACCTCGATGCTGACGTCGATCAGCGCTTGCACGGCGCCGAAGGACAGGCTGACGCCTTCGACGCTCAACAGACTCTCGCGGTTGCTCATGGTATCTGCCTCTGCCTTCAACCGACCCGAGCCAGCGTTTCCGAAGCCCTCGGGGTGACGCTGCGGAGCCGCAGGTCCGCCTTCATCATGCCGGTGCGCCCGTCCTCGAAAACCACCTGCGCCTCAATCGATACGGATTCGCCGTCGCTGTACAGGGCTTCGATGAGCTCGCCGTACTTGTCGGCGACGACGCGCCGCCGCACCTTGCGAGTGCGGGTCAGCTCGCCGTCATCGGGGTCGAGCTCCTTGTGCAGCACCAGGAAGCGCTGCGTCTGGGCGCCGGCCATCTGCGGCTCCTCGGCCAGGCTGGCGTTGACGCGCTCGATCTCGCTCTGCACGAGGTCGTAGACTTCCGGGCGCGCCGCCAGGTCGGCGTAGCTGGTGTAGACCAGGCCGCGCCGTTCGGCCCAGGTGCCGACCGCCTCCAGGTCAATGTTGATGAAGGCGCTGACGTAGGGTCGTTCATGCCCGAAGGCAACGGCCTCCTTGACGTAGGGGCTGAACTTCAGCTTGTTTTCGAGGTAGCGCGGTGCGAACAGCGTCTCCTGCCCGTCGTCGAGGTGGCTGACGTCGCGGGCGCGGTCGATGATCTTCAGGTGTCCCCCGTCGTCCAGGTAGCCGGCGTCGCCCGAATGCACCCAGCCGTCTTCCATCGCCTCAGCGGTGGCGTCGGGGTTCTTGTAATAGCCCAGGAACACGCCCGGACTGCGGTACATGACCTCGCCGTCGGCGGCGATCTTGAGCTCCACGTCGGGCATCACCGTGCCGACGGTATCGGGCTTCACGTCGCCGTCCGGTTGCACGCAGACGAAGACGCTGGCTTCCGTCATGCCGTAAAGCTGCTTGATGTTGATGCCGAGAGAGCGGTAGAAGGTGAAAATTTCGGAGCCGATGGCCTCGCCGGCGGTGTAGGCCAAGCGGATGCGGCTGAAGCCCAGGTTGTCCTTGAGCGGCCCGTAGACCAGCGCGTGGCCGAGACGGTACAGGAAGGCGTCGAGGGGATTGACGGCCTCCTTGGCGAGCTTGCGGGTGCCGACGCGCTGCGCTACCTGCAGGAAGAAGTGGCACACCTTGCGCTTGATCCAGGCGGCGTCTTCGAGGCGGATCATCACCGACGTCAGGATGTTTTCCCACATGCGCGGCGGCGCGAAGAAGTAGGTCGGGCCGATGTCGTGCAAGTCCGTGAGCACCGTGTCGCTGCTCTCCGGGCAATTGAGGGTGAAGCCGCCGCAATAAAACTGCCCGTATGAAAAGATGTGGTCGCCGACCCACGCCATCGGCAGGTACGACAGGATTTCCTCACTTTCCCCCAGCCCCTCGCGCTGTAGCGCGTTGCGGGAGGTGACGGCGATGTTGTCGTACGACAGCATGACGCCCTTTGGCCGCCCCGTGGTGCCGGAGGTGTAGAGAATGACCGACAGGTCGCCGCCTTTGCCCAGGGCGACCTGCTCCTCGAAAAACCCGGGCTGCTGGGCGTCGAACTCGCGGCCCGCCGCCTGGATGGCCTCGAAGGCGAACAGGAACGGCTCGCTGTAGTGGCGCAGTCCGCGCAGGTCGTCGTAAACGATCAGTTCGAGTTGCGGGCAGCGCGGCATGACGAGCAGCAGCTTGTCCACCTGCTCCTGGTCCTCGACGATGGCGAAGCGCGTTTCGGCGTGTTCCAGGACGAACTGCGTTTCCTCGGCCACGGCGTCCTGGTACAGCGGCACCGGCACCCCGCCGATGCACTGCGCCGCCACCATGGCCCAGTAAAGCTGCGGCCGGTTGTCGCCGATGATAGCCACTTTGTCGCCGCGCTGCAGGCCCTTGGCGGCCAGCCCGCAGGCCAGTGCCCGCACCTCGTCGAGTATCTGCCCCCAACTGTATTCCAGCCAGATACCGAAGTCCTTCTCACGCATGGCGGTACGCTCCGCATGGCGGCCAGCGCGGTCGAGGAGAAATTTGGGAAAGGTGTCGGGCGCACTGGGCTGTTGCATGGGATTCTGTGCTTTCTTTAACCACGGGATCAATAAGGCGCCGTAACTTGTGCTCGACAAGCCCGACCGTCGTGCTGAGGTAGCCGTTATTCGCTCTTGAGTTTAACCAGCAGCTTCCTTATCTACAAACCGCACTGCCGTGCCATAGCCTATCAACTCGGCGGCGCCTTCTGCGACGTTCGAGGTAACGAGTCGCATTCCAATCACCGCATCAGCTTTCATCTCCTGAGCTTGCTCGGCCATGCGCTGGAGTACGATATGGCCGGTCTGTTGCAACATATCCGAATAACCCCGCAACTCTCCTCCAACTGACCAGTTTTTGACATTCGCAGCCATGTCACCTAGCAGAGGCTTGCTGCGACAACACGCCACCAAGATTGGCGCGATAGGCCTACACTCTTTTCCGTCAATCGTCTCCGTCGTTACGATTAAGAGGTCTGTTGTCATTGCCTCTGTCTCCTGTTTCCTGTCGACTCCACCGCCGCTCAAGTAACCGGTGATGAGCGACGATGCCTCTTGTTTTCCCTCTTGTAACTTATCCGCCAGCAGAACCAGAAGACAGGGATCAGGACTATAAACAGCACCACGATTGAGCCTATTTTCTTCCCCTCTTGCCGCAGCAGATGAAATGCCTGTAGGCCTAAAGGGAGGTGATGGAAGAATCGGACCCGACTCAGTCCCTCTTCTGTCTGGAGGACATCGCACGGATAACCCTCCTTATGGAGATAAATGGCATTCTCGGTCACCTTGCGTTGATGTTGGCCGGCGGCTGGTCCCACATAAGTATCCCAGAGTCGTACTCCGCACAGGCCAACATCGGCAAAGATGGGGGTTAGTTCATCACGCTCGCCTATTTCACGGGCAAGATCGCGGGCCATCTGTTTCCGCTCTGTGAGGCGATAATCAGTCACGGCTGACAAGGCGTCAAATCGGGCTGGGTCACGGTAGCGTTCCCAGATTCGGAAAGTCCACTGACTCAGAAACGCCTCGGCAGCCTCGGTATTTCTCTGATAGGCCCGGTCCACGACATCCAGCACTGGCGGGCTGCCGAACAGATTAAAAAGCTTATCCGTATCCGGTGCTACAAGCGGAGCAACAATCCGGAAGAGCTTTTCGTGACGGGAGATATTCTCAAGCGTGGCCGATGGTATACTGGATGGCGACGTCCGTTCCAGCAATGCTAGCACCAGACCCCGGCGTGCCGGTTCGCTCAAACGGGAGTACTGTTCAAATACCGTGCGAACATCGTACCAGTCCAGTTTTTTTCCAGTCCGAACGACTTCAAGAAAAGTGGGCACGCCAAGGCGGTTGGCTGTGACCAGGACTTCCCGACCATGCTGGGCGTACTCTTGCAGGAGCCATGGACCCAGTTCACGGGCCAGGCGAGCCAATTCCTGTTCGTCTGGAGCATGGACAATCAGCAGCAGCAGATCATCCAAGGGCGCTTGGACGATGATCTCTTGCCCGAACACGCCACTAACCAAGCTCAGATCTTCGACAATTTCCTGGGTATGGCGGCCTTTCTGCGTTTGTTCGGTAATGTAATCCTTGACATTCGGCGAGATGGCAAAGATATGAGCGGCTTCCAATATCCGCTCCACTTCTCGGCGACAGTGGTCAGACCATCTGTGTAAAAATGGGCGGATTTCCTGCTCAAGCTGCTGGCGAGTGGAGGGTTCACCTTCTTCAGCAGGCTGGTCCCAGAGCGTGGTTAGGGTGAACTCTTCTTGATACCTGATGAGAAACTGTTCCCGGAGTGTCTGCTCCAGAGACGTTTTCGCTTGGGCAGCATCCCAGACATCAAAGGCCAGTAACAGAGCACCCACGACGGGAATGAACTTGCCAGCCACTTTGCCAGCCATCTTGAGGCTCACCATTCTTACAATCTTACGGCGCAAAACGATAAGCAGTATGCCGGTGAGGCCGAGTGCTGGTCTCACCACATTTGGCCGATAATCTTCCGCCGACGATTGAGAAGGTACCGAAAGGGGTGGGGCAGTCAAATGCGGGGTATCCCAGGCTGGAAAATGGCGGACGAGGATTTCGAGAAATGGCGCACGGATGGTGTCCTGGGCCTGTTTGAACGCAGCGGCCCAAATTTCTTCGAGCTGGCTGTCGATAGATGCAATCAGGTTCGCTTGGTAAGGCTCAATCTCGGCCTGGGCGCGGCCGATAAAATCTTCAACCAGAGCGTCAAGACCACTCGAATCAATCCTCGTTCCCGCCTTCAACTGCTCCCACGCGACTTCCAGGCGTCCCACATCTTCCGGCAGTGAGACGGTTTGCAAGGGATTGCTCAATTTCCTTGTAGTGCGTATCGAATTGCCCCCGAAGTTCATCCCGGAAGAAACTATCCAGCCGGGCTATGATGCGGGCGACCTCGCCAGCAATGCGGTCGGGACTTTGGGTGATTTCCCGAGCGGCTAAGGCCTTTTTGCTGTTGGCATCAATGAGGAGTTGCTCAATGGTAGGCTCTGCTTCAAGTCCAGTTCGCCCGTGAACAATGCCGCTGAGGGGCAACAAAACGACCATGGCGTAAAAGAGGAACCTCATTACCATGTTCTTATTGTCTCGGAGGAAAATTTTCACGGGAAGCCCTCCGTTGTTTTTTGCGCCAATCATTCAGACGCCTACAACCGTAAAAGGCGTTTGACAATCATGACCGGGAGGAGGGATTTGGCCGCCACGGCGTTGGAAATGCTGCCGATCATCAGGCGTTTAAGGCCCGTCATGCCGCGCGATCCTATGACGATGGCGTCGCACTGGCGGCTGCTGGCGGTTTCCAGAACGGCCTCGGTGACGTTGCCGTAGGCCAGATGGGCCTCGTACGTCACGCCCGCGGCGGCGGCGCGCGCCTCGGCGTTGGCGAGGATGTCCTTGGCGCCGGAGTTATCGTCGAGGGGGTTCCCGGCGGCGGAAGCGCGGCTGGCGTCGACACACAGGATACAGACTTCCAGACCGTTTTCCTGCGCCAGCTTGAGAGCGTGGTCCACCGCCATGTCCGACCACGGCGAGCCGCCGGTGGCTACCAGCAGGCGGCGCCACGTGGGCTGGCCGAATTCCACGGCAGGAGGATGCTTGATGACCAGCAGGGGCTGCTCGCAGCGGGCGGTAACGGCGTTCAGGGTGCGCCCGATCACGAGGCGTTTCCAGCCGGTGACGACGCGCGACCCGAGGACGATGAGGTCGCATTGCTCCTCATGGGCCGTCTGCAGGATGGTTTCCGGCACGCTGCCCCACTTGGCGACCGACGTGTAGGGTACCTCGGCGGCTTCGGCCCTGGACGAGGCCTGGGCAATCAGTTCGTGCCCTTGGCGCTCGATGCTTTCCATCAGCAGCTCGGAGGACGACATCACGTCGGGCATGGTGTAGGCCACCGGACTGGCCAGCACGGTGAGGATCGTCAGGTCGGCGCCGGCGGCGGCGACCAGGGAGATGGCGTAGCTCAGAGCGGCGTCCGACCATGGGCTTCCGCCGATGGCCACCAGCACTTTTCTGTACATGACAGCTTCCCTCCTGCCCTTGGCGGGAAATTGGTCAATCCTGATGCGTCAGCGGCCCTGGAACTGCGGGCGGCGCTTCTCGGTGAATGCCTGCACGCCTTCCTGGTAATCCTGGCTGTTGAAGCAATCGGCGATGAGCGCGTCGAGCGCCGCCAGGTCGCGCTGTTCGGGCGGCTGCAGCAATTGGTCCACGCTGGCCTTGGCGGAGCGCAGGGTGAGCGGCGCGTTGCGGGCCATGGTGAGGGCGTAGTCGCGGGTGAACGATTCCAACTCATCCTTGGGGATAACCTGATTGACCAGCCCCATGCGCAGGGCGTCCTGGGCGCTGAAATTCGTGCGCGCGGTGAAGAAGATTTCCTTGGTGTAGGCCGGCCCGATGAGCTTCATGAGCCGCTCCATGCCGTTGTAGTGGTAGCCCAGTCCCAGGCGGGCGGCGGGAATGCCGAAGCGGGCGTCGTCCGAGGCGATGCGCATGTCGCAGCCGATGGCGATGCTGACGCCGCCGCCGATGCAGTAGCCGTGGATCATGGCCAGCAGCGGCTTGTCGAGCGACTTCAGGCTTTCCTGGCCGCGCGCCGAGATGCGCCCGTAGGCCGCCTCGTCCTCCGCGTTGCGCCGCCGTTCCTTGAACTGCGAAATGTCCGCCCCGGCGACAAACGCCTTCTCACCGGCGCCGCGCAGGATGACCACCCTGATGGCGTCGTCTTCGGCCAGGTCCTTCACGTAATCCGGCATCAACTCCCACATTTCCTGGCTCACGGCGTTGCGTTTTTCCGGCTGGTTGAAAATGATCCAGCCAATCGGCCCGTCCTTTTCCATCAGTAGCTTCTCGGCGTCGCTCATGCCCGTTTTCTCCTGTGATGTGGCGGTTGCAGTGCCCCGAAACGCGGTGTTAGCTGCCTCCCTTAAGCAGGGCCACGCCGATGGCGATGACAAATCCAACGCACAGTCCGACCAACCACTGGCGTAACTGGCGCATGTCGGCGTGGGATTCGGTGCGCATTTCAACCAACGTCTGCCTGATGTCCGCCATGGTCCGGTGCAAATCGTCAAAGCGTTTGTCCACGGCCTCAAAACGTTTGTCCACGGCCTCAAAGCGATGATTGATGCTCTCGTGGGTCAGATCGAAACGCTGGTCGACTTGTTGCCGCATGTCGTCGAAGCGTTGGTTGACTTGCTGTCGCACATCGTCCAGGCGCTGATCGACCTGTTGCTGCATGCCGTTGAATTGTTGCTGCATGCCGTTGAATTGTTGCTGCATGCCGTCGAAACGCTGATTGACTTGCTGTCGCATGTCATCGAAGCGCTGATCTATACGTGTGGTGAACTCGGCAAACTGTTCGGCACTGACAACCGATAGTGTTTCGGCCATGATTCTTTCCCCTGCTGGCTTAGCGGGAGCGGCCGGAGAACCCCAATCCATTCGATAGCTTCAGGCACACGCCCATTCATCAGCGAAACGCGGGCGACTATACTACGCAACGTCTGCCGCTTCCAGCCGTAAAGCTCGCCGCCCTTTTCGGGATGAGCGGCAGTGGCGTCATAACATGGGCAGGTGAAGGCGAGCCGCTGCGCTGCGAGTCTGCCCGAAGCCACCAGGGGATCGGGCGCCGCGGCGGTGTTGAGGGGGAGTCGTGAGGGTGTGGTGGGGACGATTGCGGCTGGCCGTGTGGCTGTGGTTCTGCTGTTGGGTGTGGATTCCCTGGCTGTTTTTCAAGCATCGGCGGCGGGTGGGTAGCCGAAGGTGAGGGGCGGTATGGTTGCAAAACGGCGGTTTGCGCGACTCCCGAGGACCTGTCGGAAATCGACCTTGAAACGGCAAAACCCTGTTGCATAACTCGTTGCGGAATCAAAGCCGCATGTTTCTGGATGAGCGGAAAGCCCTTGATGCGTTATGGTATCCGGTGCCGAAGTAAGGTATCGTTCAGAAATTCCACAGACAGACAAATCCGGCGTCAGGCAACGATCATCACCTTTCCCCAGGAGGACCCCCGCACATGCAATCCGCAAGCCGCCGCCCCGTGACGAACGGCGACCTCGACCACGCCCCCAGGGCCAACGTGCATACCCTCGATAACGGCCTGCAAGTGGTGCTGCTTGAAGACCACAGCGCACCCGTCGTCGCCCTGCAAACGTGGGTGCGGTTCGGCAGCGCCGACGAGGACCCGGCCGTGGCGGGCATTGCGCACGTCTTCGAGCACATGCTGTTCAAGGGCACGGAGCGCTTTCCGAACGGGGAAATCGCTGCCCTCATCGAGGGCGCCGGCGGCTCGGTGAACGCCTGGACGAATTACGATGAAACGGTCTACCACGTGACCCTGTCCAGCCGCTTCTGGGAAACCGGCTTCGACGTGTTGAGCGACGCCGTTCTGCACTCCTTTTTCGATCCCACCGAACTGGAGCGCGAGAAGGAAGTGGTGCTCGAGGAGTTCCGCCGCAGCAAGGACAACCCGGATCACGAAATCGCCGAGCGCCTGTTCGACCTCACCTTCACGACGCACCCCTACCGCCGCCCGATCATCGGTTTCGAGGAGACCGTGCGGCCCATCCAGCGCGACGACATGCTGCGCGTGTTCAACACCTGGTACGTGCCCAACAACATGATCTTCGTGGCCGTCGGCGACTTCGATTCCGACACCATGCTGCGCACCGTCGAGGACCGCTTCGGCGCCGTGCCGGCCACGGCATTGCCCGTCAGGCCGCGCGCCGACGAGCCCGCCCAGGCGCAGCCGCGCGTGCTGGCGTTCCCCTTCCGGGCCGAGTTGGCGCGCGTCGAAATCGCCATGCCGTCGGTCGAGGCCACTGATCCGCAAGTCCCGGCGCTCGACCTGCTCAGCGACCTGTTGGGCTCGGGCTACAATTCCACCCTTTATACCGCTCTCAAGCGCCGCCGCCAGCTGGCCCACGACGTATATGCCTTCAACTACACGCCGTGCGACCGCGGCGTTTTCCTTGCTCGGCGCCACCTGCATGACCAACGACGTGGCCGACGTGGTGCAGGGGCTGATGCAACCCGTGCGCCAACCTGCCCTGTCCATCTCCGAGCAAGACTTGGCGGCGGCGAAAACGCGCATCGTCAGCCAGTACGTGCACGCCCGCGAAACGTACCAAGGCATCGCCAGCCAACTGGGCAGTCACATGCTGGTATACGGCGACCCGAACTACGGCGAGCGCTACGTGGCCGCCATCGAATCGCTGAGCCACGCCGACCTGCAGCAGGCGGCGGCGACGTTTCTCGATCCGCAGCGCGCCAACCTCGCCCTGCTTATGCCTTCGGACGCCGACCTGCCGAGCCGGGACACCATGCTCGCCTGGACCCGGCACGACGACACGCTGCGGGCGCCCGCAGCGCCGACGCAGCCCTGCCCTTGACTCCGATCGGGGGACGGACAACACCTCCGTCGTGTCGCTGCCGGGCGGCAGCACGCTGATCGTGCAGACCGACCGCAAGGCGCCGCTTGTTACCATCCGCACCCTGCTCGCCGGTGGGCAGCGCAGCGCCCCGCAGGGCAAGGAAGGCATCGTCCGCCTCCTCAGCGCCACGTGGGACCGCGGCACCAGCATGCGGAGCGCTCCGAGATTGAACGCGAACTCGACCGCCTCGGCGCCACCCTGGGCGCCTCAAGCGACCGTGATTCCGTCCAGCTCGCCGCCCGCTTTCTGCGCGATACCTTCGCCGACGGGTTGGAGCTTTATCTTGAGTTGCTGACCGAGCCCAGCTTCCAGACGTCGAAGTGGCACGCGAGCAGGCCGATCAATTGCGCGACCTCGACACCCTGAAGGAAAACCGCTTCCATTACGCGATGCAGCAATTCCTGAGCAAATTCTACGGCTCCCATCCATACAACCATCTGTCCATCGGCACGCCCGAGGGCCTGTCCACGGTGTCGCGTGATGATCTGGCCGCGTTCCACCAAAGCCTGCTGCGCCCGCAGAACGCGGTGTACGTCGTCGTGGGCGACATCACCGCCGACACGGTGCTGTCGCGCTGGCATCAGTTGGCGCCGGCGTCGCTTTCCGAGCCCGCCGCTGCCGTGACGCCCACGGTGCCGGAGGTGCCCACGTGGAGCGAGGCGGTGACCGAGGTGATCGATGTGGAGGGCCAGCAAACGCACGTCATCTGGGGCTTTCCCACCGTCACGGGCCGCGACCCCAACCGCTACACGCTGCAGGTGCTCGACACCATTCTCGGCGGCATGGGCGGGCGCTTGTTTGTGGAATTGAGGGACAAGCGGGGCCTGGCCTACGCGGTGACCAGCTTCGACGCCTATCCGGTCGACCCCGGTTATCTGGCTTTCTACATCGGCTGCACGCCCGAGAAGGAAGGCGAGGCGCTCAGCGAATTCGAGCGCGTGGTGCAGGAGATTCAAAGCGATGGGGTTACGTCGGAGGAGTTGGAGCGCGCCAAGACCTACATCGCCGGGGCGCTCGACATCAGCCTGCAAAGCACCAGCCAGCGCACCAGCATCTTCGGCCTCGGCATGCTGCACCAGGGCCATTGGAACGCCTACCAGACGTACCTGGAAGCGGTGCAGAAGGTCAGCCTGGCCGACATTCAGGAGGCGGCCCGAACCTATCTGCAGCCGTCGCGCTCGCTACGCACCATCCTGCGGGCGCAGCGCTGAACTGAAATGGTCTCGTGAATGTGTGACAGGGAGTTCCTCAGGCGAGTTCGGCGATACGCCCGTACGCATAGGTTGAATTTCGATTTCGCCCCCAGCCGCAGGAAAGGTAGTCATGGAGAGATCCGGTTTGGCCCCTGCCGGACTACTGTGCCTCGTGGCGAGATTCCTGCAGGCCCCCTGGCCTCAATGCTGAAGGACTTGTACGTCGACAGGAGGGAGCTGTAGGCCATGCGCTACGCTTATCCGTGCAGCATCGTCCGCGACGAGGAAGAAGAACGGGCGAGTGGGAGAGAAGCCTACACCGTGACTTTTTCCGACGTGTACGGAGCCAACACGGGCGGCTGGTCCTGGGAAGAAGCTGTGGAGATGGCCAAGGACTGCCTGGGAGTCGCCCTGGGCATGTACGTCAAGGACCGCGAAGACATACCCGTTCCCAGTTCCTTGGCGGAGGGCCAAGTACTGATCTCCGTAGCGCCCATCGTCGCAGCGAAGCTGGCCCTCTATTCGGCGATGCGGGAACAGGGCGTCCGCAACGTCGCCCTTGCCGACCGGCTGGGCCTGCAAGAGAAGGCGGTCCGCCGGCTTCTCGCCCCCGGGCATCGATCTCCCATGACGTCGATCGAAAGGGCACTCCAAGCCGTTGGGCGCTCCCTGGTAGTGGAGGACAGCGTAACTATCCAGTGTCCAGAGACATATGCCGCCTCCTGACCCATCGACCTGATGCACTGCCGTTGTCGGATTACGCCTGCGGCTAATCCGACCTACAGTTACATACCCGCATCACTCCCCATCGAACCCCGCTACCAAGCTGGCATGCGTCATGTCGTACAGGCGCGCGTAAGGCCCATGGCGTCGGACCAATTCCTCGTGCGTGCCGCTTTCCATCAGCCGTCCGTTCTCCAGCACGATAATACGGTCCGCCTGTTTCACGGTCGAGAGGCGGTGGGCAATGATGAACGTGGTGCGCCCGTGCAGCAGCGTCTTGAGGCCCGTCTGTACCAGCCGCTCGGCTTCGACGTCAATGCTGGCGGTGGCCTCGTCGAGGATGAGGATGCGCGGGTCGGCCAGCAGGCGCGTACGAAGCTGACAAGCTGCCGTTGGCCGTGGCTCAGCAGGCTGCCGCGCTCGCGGACCTCGGTATCGTAGCCGTGCTCAAGCCGCATGATGCTGTCGTGCACGCCGAGCGCGCGGGCCGCTGCCTCCACCGCCGCGTCGGTGGCGTCGGGGTTGGCGTAGCGCAGATTCTCGCGCACCGTGCCGCTGAACAGGAAGGGTTCTTGCAGGACGATGGCGACCTGACGCCGCAGGTCGGCCTGCGACAGCCGCCGCAAGTCGATGCCGTCGATGAGAATGGCGCCCTCGGTCACGTCGTAAAACCGCGTCAGCAGATTGATGAGCGTCGTCTTGCCCGCCCCGGTGTGCCCCACGATGGCCAGACTCTGCCCCGCCGGTACCTCCAGCGAGAAGTTGTCCAGAACCGGCACGCCGGGCTGGTAATGGAACGACACCCCACGGAACGCCACCTCCCCCCGCAAGCGCGGCAGCCGTACCGGCGTTGCGTCCTCAAGGACGTGCCGCGGCGTTTCCAGCACCTCGAAAATGCGCTCCCCCGACGCCATGGCCATTTGCAGCGAGTTCCAGCGAAAGCTGAGGTCGCGCAGCGGCTCGAAAAAGCGGTACATGTAGAGCACGAAGGCGACCAGGACGCCGGCGCTGAGGTCGCCGTCCATCACCAGCGGCGCGCCGCAGACGACAACCACGGCGATGGCCAGGGTGGTCATCATTTCGATGGCCGGGAAAAACAGGGCGGACAGGTGCGCGGCCTTCAGTGTCGCGTCCAGATGGTCCGCGTTCAGGCGCTCGAAGCGCCGCATGTTAATCGTCTCGCTGCACAGGCTCTGGATGACGCGCACGCTGGAGATGTTTTCCTGCAGGCTGGCGTTCACGCGCGCCAGCGCCCGCCGCACCACCTGGAAGGCGCGCCGCGAATGGGTGCGCCAGTATGCGGTGACGATCAGCACCAGCGGCACCACCACGCTGGTCAGCAGCGCCAGGTAAGGGTGCATGGTGAACAGGACGACGAGGATGCCCACGAGGGTGAGCGCGTCGCTGAGGATGCTCAGGATGCCGCTGGTGAAGAGGTCCTGCAGGGTGCCCACGTCGTTTTGCACGCGCGACATCAGGCGGCCCACGGATTGGCGGTCGTGAAACGCCACGTCGAGGCGCATGAGATGCCGGAACAGCGCCTGCCGCAGGTTCAGCAGAACGCGCTGCGCCGCGCGCATGAGCAGCAGGGTCTGCCCGTATTGCAGGCCCCAGCCGGCCAGCGTGTTGCCGAGGTAGAACAGTACGATGACGGTGAGGGCGCGCAGAGCCTGCCCCGGACTTGATCCGGGGTCGCCTTGCGCGATGGGGCCGTCGAGGGCGAGCTTGATGAGGTAGGGGCCGAGCAGTTGGCTGGCGGCGGTCCCGACCATGCAGACCGCCGCGACGATCAAAACCGTTGTGTGCGGCGCCGCGAACGGCCACAGGCGGCGCATGACGCGGGCGTCGTACACCCTGCCGAAACGCTTTTCTTCGGCGGGGTCGCGGTGGCCGTTGCTCGGTGCCGAGTCCGGGCTGCGGGGGGTTGAAGCCCTCATACGTGCGACTGCTCTGCGGCAACGGGCGAAACCGGTGGCGCAACTTGTTCGTCTGGGTCACGCGACTGTTGTCTGTGCACGGTCTGGTACAGCCCCGGCTCGTCCAGCAGTTCGTCGTGCGTGCCGCGCTGTACGATGCGCCCGCCGGACAGCACCAGAATCAGGTCGGCGTGCCGCAGGGTGTACAGGCGATGGGCGATCACCACGGTCGTTCGCCCCACCATCAGACCCCGCAGCGCGCGCTGGATGAGGAATTCCGTCTCCACGTCCACGCTCGACGTGGCGTCGTCGAGGATCAGCAGTCGCGGGTCGCGCGCGAAGGCGCGGGCGATGGCGACGCGCTGCCGCTGGCCGCCCGATAGCGTCACGCCGCGCTCGCCGACCCAGGTGTCGTAGCCGTGCGGGAATTTCATGATGAAGTCGTGCGCATGCGCCGCTTTGGCCGCCGCCACGATGGCCTCAAGACCGATGTCGGGGCGCCCGTAGGCGATGTTGTCGCGGATGGTGCTGGAGAACAGCCAGGTGTCCTGCATGACGATGCCGATGTGCCGCCGCAGAGCGTCCAATTGCAGGTCCCGGACGTCGATGCCGTCCAGGCTGACGACCCCGCCGGTGGGGTCGTAGAAACGCGGAATCAGTTGCGCCAGGGTGCTTTTGCCGCTGCCGGTGCCGCCCAGCAGCGCCACCGTTTGGCCCGGCTCGGCGGTGAAGCTGATGTCGTGCAGGATCGGCAGATGGCGGTCGTAGCGAAAGCTGACGCCCTCGAAGCGCAGGGCGCCGCGCACCTCCGGCAGGGGCCGCGCCCGTGGGGATTCGCGCACCTCGGAAACGGCGTCGAGCACCTCGAACAACCGCCGGCCGCCGGCCTGACAGCGCGACGTCATGCCGGCGAGCCAACTCATGCGCCGCAACGGGTGCCCCAATTGCACCAGATAACTGGTGGCCGCCACCAGGGTGCCGAGGCTCATGCGCCCCAGGATGACCTCCCGGCCGCCGACGTATAGCGTCAGCGCCAGCCCCACCGCCAGCAGAAGCGTCAGCAGCGGCAGGCTCAGCGCCTGGGCGTGCGTCACCCGCATATGCGCCTTGTACAGGTCGTCGGCCACCTCCGAAAAGGATGCCTCTTGCGACCGTTCGCGCCCGAACGCCTTGACCACCCGGATGCCCGTCAGGCTCTCCTGCCAGGCCACCGACAGGCGGGCCGTGTGCGCCTGCACGATCTCCTGCAGCGGCCGCAGCCAGCGGCCCATGGTGGCCGACACCGCCAGAATCACCGTGAAGCCGCCGATGGACAATACCGCCAGGCGCCAATCGAGCCAGGCCAGCGCCGCCGTCGTTCCCACGCCGGTCAACAGGACGCTGAAGACCATCGGGAAACCGAAATGGAAGAAGTGCCGCACCGCCTCTACGTCCGACGCAGCGCGCGACATCAGATCGCCGGTCTGCGCCCGGTCGTGATAGGCAAAACTCAGCCGCTGCAGCTTGTCGTATAGCTGGTTGCGCAGCCGGTAGGCGAGGCGTTGAGCCAGGAACGCCACCAGGTAATTCTGCCCGTACACCGCGGCGCTGCGCAGCGCGGTGACGCCGACCAGCAACGCGCCGGCCACGTAGACGAAGCCGGGGTTGTCCGGGTCCAGCCCGTCATCGAGAACGCTCTTGAGGATCAGTGGGACGGCGAGGTGCAGCAGCACCGACGCGACCGTGCAGGCCAGCGCCCCGGCGAGACGAAGGGGGAAATCGGCGTAGAGCGCACAGAGACGGATAAAGCCACGCATCCTCTAAGTCCTCGCAGGGGCGAAAGATAGGTCAAGGTGGGCTGAGCTCGCAGGCTGCAAACAGGCATTCCGAACGAGGTTTTGAAGCGACACTATAGAGGCTGAATCGTGTTAAAGTCCAGTTAATCGGCAGCCGCCCAGGGTAAGCGCATATGAGACTTACTACGCGCTCGAGCCTGGATGTAGGTCGGGTTAGCCGCAGGCGTAACCCGACATTCCGATGCACTGTCCCCCGACCTCTGTCGGATTACGCTACGCTAATCCGACCTACTTTTGACGCCTCGCATGTCACAAAGGGGAGCACCACGATGAAAGCCGCCATCTTCCGCAGAGCCCACGAGCCGCTCCAGATCGAATCGGTTACGGTCGACAAACCGCGCGACCGCGAAGTCCTGGTGCGTACCGCTGCCACGGGCGTCTGCCACAGCGACCTGCACTACGTCGACGGCGACCTGCCGCCGCGTGACCACCCCATGGTCATGGGGCACGAAGGGTCCGGCGTGGTCGAGGCCGTGGGCAGCGCCGTCACCACCGTTAAGCCCGGCGACCATGTGGTCGCCTGCCTGTCCGGCTTTTGCGGCGCCTGTCCGCAGTGCCTGAGCGGGCATCCCAACGTGTGCGCCACCGGCTACGTGAGCCGCGCATCCGCCACGACGCCACGCCTCAGCCTCGACGGCGAGCCCTTGATTCCCTTTGCCAACGTCGGCAGCTACGCCGAGCAGATGCTGCTACACGAGAACTCGCTGGTCAAAATCGACCGCGACATCCCCCTGGACCGCGCTGCGCTGGTCGGCTGCGGCGTGCTCACCGGCGTTGGTGCTGCGCTGCGCACCTCGGGCTTGCAGGCCGGGCAGACCGTCGCCGTGTTCGGCTGCGGCGGGGTCGGCCTGTCGATCATCCAGGGTGCCCGCATCGGCGGCGCCAGCCGCATCATCGGCATCGACAAGTTTCCCGCCAAACTGGAGCGCGCCCACAGCCTCGGCGCCACCGACGTCATTGATTCCAGCAAAGGAGACACCGTCGCCCAGTTGCGTGAGCTCACGGGCGGGCAGGGCGTCGATCACGCCTTTCGAGGCTGTCGGTCTGCCCGCCCTGGTGCGGCAGGCCGTTGAATGCCTTGCCATCCGCGGCACGGCGACCATCGTCGGCGTGCCGCCCGACGGCTCCGAGTTGTCGTTCCCCTTTCAGCGCCATCCGGCCCGAGTGCAAGGTGCAGACCTCACGCATGGGCTCCAACCAGTTCCGCACCGACATCCCGCGCTACCTGGAGTTCTACCGCCAGGGGCGCCTGAATCTCGACGACATGGTGAGCAAACGGGGCCGTCTGGAGGACATCAACGAAGCCTTCCGGGCCATGAAGGCGGGCGAAGTGGCGCGCAGCGTGTTGACCTTCGACGGGGCGTGTTGACATGCGGGGTCGTATGGTTTAGAACCATGCGCTTACGCATCCCAAACCAAATTCTGTATGAATAGCCGATGCCTTTTGTGGGTCATTCCGGCGAAAGTCGGAATCCAGCGACCTCTCCGGTTTGGGGCAGGCGCTTGGTCACCAGAAAATCTCTGGACTCCGGCATACGCCGGAATGACGTGGATTTGCCCAGGGTTAAAATCGGCGCGCTCACTCAGACCTTTCCTGAATAATGAGGAGTCTATCTTGGCGTACGAAGCACAAATCGAAGCCGGCAAGGCGCACTTCGGCCGGGTCATGGCTGAACAACTCGAGCGGGTGGAACGCCTCAAGCAGCAGCCCGACTGGCTTGACTTCAACGCGATCAGCCCCATTGTCATCGGCATTCTGGGCGGTGACGGCATTGGTCCGACCATCGCGGAAGAGTCGAGAAAGGTCCTGGAATACCTGTTGCGCGATCAAGTGGCGAGCGGCAAGGTGGTTTTCCGCATCATCGACGGCCTGACCATCGAAAACCGCGCCGCGAACATGCAATCCATTCCTGACGACGTGCTGGCCGAGATCAAGGAATGTCACGTGACGCTGAAAGGCCCGACCCACACTCCGGAGCAGGGCGACGGCTGGCCGAACCTCGAAAGCGCCAACGTCGGCATGCGCAAGGTCCTCGACCTGTTCGCCAACGTGCGCCCCGTGCGGGTGCCCGCCCAAGGTATTGACTGGACATTTTTCCGCGAGAACACCGAGGACATGTACGCCGTCGGCAGCCAGGGGGTGAACGTCACGGACGATCTGGCGATCGACTTCCGCGTCATCACCTCACAGGGCTCCGAGCGCATCATCGACGCCGCCTTTGCGCACGCCAAGCGCACCGGCAAGGACTCGGTGACCATCGTCACCAAGGCCAACATCGTCAAGACGACCGACGGCAAGTTCCTCGACATCGCCCGCAAGGTGGCGGAGGACTACCCGGGCATCTCGTGGGAGGGGTGGTACATCGACATCATGACCGCGGCGCTCATCAACCCGGCGCGCCAGCGGCAGTTCCAGGTGCTCGCCCTGCCCAACCTGTACGGCGACATCCTGACGGACGAGGCGGCCCAGATTCAGGGCGGCGTCGGTACCGCCGGCAGCGCCAACGTCGGCAAGGTGTACTCGATGTTCGAGGCTATCCACGGCAGCGCCCCGCGCATGGTGCAGGAAGGCCGCGCGCAGTACGCCGATCCCAGCTCGATGGTGCGGGCCGGCGCCATGCTGATGGAGCACATCGGCTTCCAGGAGTCCGGCGCCCGGTTGCACAAGGCCCTGGACATCTGCGGCCAGTACGAACGCACCGTGGCCATGACGGGCCGCAGCACCGGCGTCACCAGCGGCGAATATGGTCAGTACCTGATGGCAACCGTGGAGGATTCCGGCATGGAAGCCAAGTGGGAATCCTTCGTCAACGCTGGCTGAGTTCGAGACCGCCGGCGTATGCGCTTCCGTCCTTGCATCGACCTGCACAACGGCGTCGTCAAGCAGATCGTCGGCGCCTCCTTGCAGGACGGCGCTGACCCGCAGACCAACTTCACAGCCGATCAACCCGCCTCCTATTTCGCCGACCGCTACCGCCAGGACGGCCTGTACGGCGGTCACGTCATCATGCTCGGTCCGGGCAACGAGACCGCCGCTGCCGCCGCCGTGACCGCCTTTCCCGGCGGCTTGCAGGTGGGCGGGGGCATCAACTCGCAAAACGCCGCGGCGTGGCTGCAACATGGCGCTGCCGGCGTCATCGTCACCTCCTATGTGTTTCAAAACGGCAAGCTATGCCGCGACCGGCTGCAGGACATGGTCGATGCGGTCGGCGCCTCCCGCCTCATTCTCGACCTCAGTTGCCGCAAGACAGACGGTCGCTACGTCGCCATGACCGACCGCTGGCAGACCGCCACCGACCTGGAAATCAACGCTCCCACACTGGCCGATCTGGCCCCAAGCTGCTGCGAGTTTCTCATCCACGCCACCGCGGTGGAGGGCCGCCAGGCCGGCATCGACGCCGAGCTCGTGGCGCTGCTCGGGCGCATTGCGCCGTTGCCGGTCACATACGCCGGGGGCATTCGCAGCATGGCGGACGTCGAGCAGATTCGGGAGTTCGGTCAGGACAAGCTGGATTTCACGGTGGGAAGCGCCCTCGACCTGTTCGGCGGCACCGGGCTGCGCTACGCGGACCTGGTGGCCCTCAACCGGCGAAGCTGAGTGTTCACGTCATGCGCTGTTGGGGTGCCGTATGGCTTTGCGGTGAGACGGGAGGATATTTATGGCAAACTGGGTGGTCAGCAATTTGCTCTCGCGGACCTGAATAGTATGACGCCTGGGTCCATAAGCTTCTACGGAGGGAAGGCGGTGATCAAGTCGCTCGAAGTCAAGAATTTTACGGCTTTCCAGGAGGCTCAATTGGACTTTGCCGAGGGTCTCAACGTCATTGTCGGCGAGAACGCGACGGGCAAGACGCATCTGCTCAAGCTTCCTTACGCCGTCATGGCGGTAAGCGCCGAGGAGGGTAGGAAGCGTGACGGCCGGCAGCCTACCAAGGGCTTTCTGCAAACTCGAGTTGCCGAAAAAATAGTTAACGTGTTTCGACCGGATGAGAGCCGCCTAGGTCGTCTCGCGCGTCGGCGGCAGGGTCGTAACCGATGCGAAGTGAAAGTGAATTTCCAACAGCGTGGTACTTCCATCGGATTCAATTTTGCTTCACAAAACAAGTCCGAGGTCGTCATCGATCACCTTCCTTCCAAGTGGGTGAACCACATGCCGGTATTCCTGCCCACTCGTGAGTTGCTGACGATCTACCCTGGATTCGTCTCTCTGTACGAAACACACTACGTTGAATTTGAGGAGACGTGGCGCGACACCTGTTTGTTGCTGGGTGCGCCCATGCAGAGAGGGCCTCGCAATGCGACGGTCGCATGGTTTCTGGAACCCTTGGAAGAACAGATCGGGCGCGTCGTTCTGGAGCGCAATGGTCGCTTTTACCTGCGTCAGTTCGGTCACGGCGCCAGCAATATGGAGATGCCCTTGGTTGCCGAGGGTTGGCGCAAGCTCGCCATGCTGGCGCGGTTGATCGCCACTGGTTCCCTGGACTACAAGGACGCTCTGTTCTGGGACGAGCCTGAGTCCAACCTCAACCCGAAGCTGATCCGAGAAGTCGCAGCGGCGATTCTCCGTATCTGCGTGGCAGGGGTGCAGGTGTTCGTGGCAACGCACAGCCTCTTCCTCTTCCGAGAGTTTGAAATCCTCCTTAAGCGGCGCGAATTTAAGGGAGTCAAGCCACGCTACTTCGCGTTGCGGCGGGTGGAGGATGGCGTGGATATTTCCCAGTCCAGCGAGGTCGATGGCATAGAGCCGCTGTTGTTGCTCGACGAGGAGCTGGAGCAATCGGATCGTTTTCTGGAGGAGTTCATGCCGTGACCGAAATTGCGGAAGGCAGTCTTAAATTCTCATTCCCGGATCACTGCGAAGCTACCAAGTACGATGATTGGGCGTTTTATCGTCAACAGTTCTAGTCCGTCGCTGGCGGTTCGAGGGCGGTCGATATCCTCTGTCTTGCACAAGATGCCACTTGGTTGATCGAAATAAAGGACTACCGGCAGCACCCGAGGACAAAACCGAGTGATCTCGGCGATGAAGTGGGGAGCAAAGTCCGCGACACGCTGGCGAGTCGCGTTGCACCTCGAACAACGATCGGTTGCGACTTCGCCGCTTCGCCCACAGGCTATCAATCCCGCTGACGTGCTTCAGAAACTGCGCATGAATTTGAAGGCCATTGATGCCCAACCACTGGTTGTAAGCCTGCAAAAGCCGGGTTCTGGCACACCGTGGACCGTTCAATAACGATCATCGCTTCCGGCCGGGCCTGAAGTGAATTGAACACGGGGCGTCAACCACCGGGCTCCCTCGTCAACTGCACGCACAACTCCTCCAGCCCCCGCTGAGACATAGGTGGCGCGCCTGCGGTTAGATGGGCGAGAAACTCGCGGTTGCCCTTGGGACCGGAGAGGGGGGAGAGGATGGCCGCGCGCAGCCCCAGCCCGCACGCCTGCGCCGACGCCAGAACCGCCTGCAACACCTGCCGGTGCTGTCTCGCATCCCGCACCACGCCGCCTTTGCCGACTTCGCCTTTACCCACCTCGAATTGTGGTTTGATGAGCAGGATCGCCTCGGCTTGTGGGGTCAGCAGGGGGACGAGGGCGGGCAACAGCAGGCGCAACGAGATGAACGAGGCGTCCACCGTCAGGAAATTCATGCGCTCGGGGAAATCGTGCGGTGTCAGGTAGCGGGCGTTGGTGCGTTCGCGCACGACGACGCGCGGATCGTTGCGCAGCCGCCAGTGCAACTGGCCGTAGCCCACGTCCACGGCGTAGACGCGCCGGGCGCCGGCTTGCAGGAGACAGTCGGTAAAGCCACCGGTGGAGGCGCCGACGTCGAGAGCGACGGCATTCTGGCCCCGGCAGTCAAACGCCTCAAGACCCGCCGCCAGTTTCTCGCCGCCGCGGCTGACGTAGGGGCTCGGAGCGCCCAGCAGCCTCACCTCCGCCTGGGCGGCTACCCGCGCCCCGCATTGCGTCAGGCACTGGCCGTCCACGGCGATTTTGCCCGCCAGGATCAGCGCCTGTGCCTGTGCCCGGCTTGGCGCCAATTGTCGTTGCCAGACCAGGATGTCGAGTCGTTCCCGTTCAGCGGCCACGCGTGTCCCTGCTCAGACCTTACGGTTGACGATGAAACGGGCCAGTTGCCGCAGCCGCTCGGCGCCGGCGTCAAAATCGCCGAGCGCTGCGAGCGCGTCGTTCAGCAACGCCGCGGCGTGCTGGCGCGAGGCCTCTACCCCGAGCAGCGCCGGGTAGGTCGCCTTGCCGTGCTTCTCGTCCTGCCCGGCCTGCTTGCCCAGTGCGGCGCTGTCGCCTTCCACGTCCAGGACGTCGTCAGCAATCTGGAACGCCAGTCCGATAGCCTGCCCGTAGCGCTTCAGCGCCTCCAACTGCGCCGCCGAGCCGCCGCCGAGCAAGCCGCCGATGGTGACGGCCGCGCCGATCAAGGCGGCGGTCTTATGGCGGTGGATGTATTCGAGCACGTCGAGCGACACCTCCCGGCCTTCCGATGCCATGTCCACCACTTGCCCCCCGACCATGCCGGACCAGCCCGCCGCGCGCGCCAGGCAGTGCGTGGCCTCCAGCAACACGGCGGGCGCAAATCGGCTCGTCAGGTCGGGTCCGGCCATGACTTCGAACGCGTAGGTCAGCAGAGCGTCGCCGGCGAGGATGGCCACCGCCTCACCGAAAACCTTGTGGCTGGTGAACTGGCCGCGCCGGTAATCATCGTCGTCCATGGCGGGCAGGTCGTCGTGGATGAGCGAATAGGTATGCACGAATTCCATGGCGCAGGCGGCAGGAAGCACCGCCTCGCAGTCGCCGCCGACCGCCTCGGTGGCTGCCAGCAGCAGGACGGGGCGCACGCGCTTGCCACCGGCGAACACGCTGTAGCGCATCGCCTCGGACAGCGCTGGCGGGTCGGCGCCAGGGGCGGGGAGATGGTGATCGAAAGCGGCCTCAAGACGTTGTTGCTGCGCTTGCAGATACGCCTCCAGGGGTTGCATCAAGCCTCCGTTAGAACGGAATTTCCTCCTGACCGTTGCTACCCCCGCTCTCTTCTTGAATCGCGAAAGGCTCCGGGATCAGGGTGCCGTCGTCGTTGGCTTGCAGGATGTCGATACGCTTTTCAGCCCGTTGCAACTGCTGCGTGCAGTGGCGGTACATCGACACCCCTTCCTCGTAAAACTGCACGGATTTCTCCAGATCGAGATCGTCCGTTTCCAGCGCCTCGACGATCTCCTCAAGGCGCTTCAGTGCCTGCTCGAAGGTCAGATCGGCCATTTGTTACCCTTCCCCAACCCCGCCTTCTAGCGGAGGGGCTTCTTTTTCTTGGACATCGTCAACCGTGCAGGCGAGTTGTCCGTCGTGCAGAACAAGTTCCACGTGCTGCCCTGGTTGCACGGGCGCAGCACGGGTGATGAGCTGTTGCGTGGCGGCGTCGCGGCAAATGCCATAGCCGCGCGCCAGAATGGCCAGAGGGCTGAGGGAATGTAGCTTGCCGCCGAGGCCGTGCAGCGTTTGACGGCGCAGGTTGAGGCAGGATCGGGTAGCCGTCTCGAGGCGTCGGCGTTGGATGTCGAGATGCGCGTGCTGCCGTTGCCAGCGCCACTGCGGGTTCGACCGGGCCAGTGTCTTGATGGCGATTTCCAGGCGCCGGGTGCGGCCCTGCATGTCGTTCAGCCAAGCTTTGTCGAGTTGCAGCATCAGGTCGTCGACCTGTTGCTGCCACGCTTGCACGAAGCGGTGCGGTGCGCGGAATGGGCGCGTCGACGACAGATGCTCCAGGGCGGTGGCCGAGCGCATGAGGGTGTGCTGCACCACGTTGTGCATGCGCGCCAGCAGGGCTCCGGCTTGCTGGCTCAATTCTTCGGCGCTCTTGACCACCAATTCAGCCGCTGCTGAGGGCGTCGAGGCGCGCAGGTCGGCAACGAAATCGGCGATGGTGGCATCGGTCTCGTGACCGACTGCCGAAATGATCGGAATTTCCGAAACGGCTATCGCCCACGCCACGGCCTCTTCATTGAACGCCCACAGGTCTTCCAGCGAGCCGCCGCCGCGCCCCACGATCAACGCGTCGAGGGGCGGTTCGAAGGCGTTCAGCGCCGCGATGGCCCGCACGATTTCCCCGGCGGCTTCCTTGCCCTGCACCCGCACTGGGTAGAGAAACAGGTGAACGTTGGCGGAGCGCCGGTGCGCGACCTGGATGATGTCGCGGATGGCGGCGCCGGTGGGCGAGGTGACAATGCCGATACGCTGGGGCATCACGGGCAGGGGCAGCTTGCGGTCTTCGTCGAACAGCCCTTCCTGGAACAGACGCGCTTTCAATTGCTCGAAGGCGATTTGCAACGCCCCGACGCCCTTCGGCTCAATCGCTTCGGCGATCAACTGGTAGTCGCCGCGCGGCTCGTAGACGCTCAGGCGCCCGCGTGCGATCACCTGCATGCCCGCCTCCGGCGTGAATGGCAGTTGCCGCACCGACGAGCGAAACATGACCGTGCGTAGCTGGCTTTTGGCGTCTTTGAGCGTGAAATAGGCGTGACCGCTTTGCACCAGACGCAGGTTGGATATCTCGCCCTCGATCCACATCAAGGGGTAGGAATCCTCCAGGATCTCCTTGATTTCCTGGGTGACCTGGCTGACCGTCAGGACGCGGCCAAAGGGGGATTCAAACGGCGGCGACTGCAAGGCCGAACCTCGCTTTTCTGAGTATATTGAACATTTTGGGAGGCAACATTGTACAGCAAAAGGCCGCCATTGCAACGCGCCCAGCGGGGCTCTGAGGGATGCGGCGCTTATGCATGGCCGTCTTGCTTTCGTCAGGGGGCTCCAGCAAGATAGGTCCAGCAAAGCAGGCTCGGAGGGCCGAGTCTCGCGGTGCACGACATGGCGCGCGGCCGACCCGTGCCGCCGCATTGGCTTCCAACCTATCGTCAAGTCCACCATGCCTATGACCGTCCCGCTCCACCCCGTATCCGGGGACGTACTATGCCGCAGCGCGTTGTTCGCGGCGCGCCGCTTCGGCCGCTACCTGGTGGTCGAACTGCTGGCACCGCATCGCGTGATAAGCACCTCCGCGGTCGGCGGCGGGCAACGGGACGACCTGCGTTTCCTGGTCAACCACCAGAGTTGCGAGGGGCAGGGTGATCAGGAGCGCTACGAACTGATCTCACGTATGGGACTGGACGCCTATCACCGTGCCGTGTGCGGGGAGATCGGCATCGACCCCGACCACACCGCCCTGATGGGCACCGCCGCCAACATGGCCTACGCTGTCCACCGGTCGGCGGCGTTCGAGGATTTGCGCGTCGACGCGTTCACGACCGCCGGCGTTTCGGGCAACGCCGCTCGGGCGGGCGATCCCGCCGCCTGGATGGAGACCGACGACGGCTGGCGCAAGGTGTCGCCCTACGCCGGGACGATCAACACCATCCTGCTGCTTGCCTGCCCGGTCACGCCGTCTGCCCATGCTCGCGCCGTCATCACGATGACCGAGGCGAAATCGGCCGCGCTGGCGGAACTGGCCGTTCCCAGCCGGTACTCGCCGCTCATTGCCACTGGAACCGGCACGGACCAGATCTGCCTCGCCGCGCCGTTTGATCCGTCACGCAAGCCGAAGGATTCGACCAGTCCGCACGTCAAGCTGGGAGAGATCATCGGGGTTGCGGTCAAGGCGTCGGTGAAGGAAGCATTGTGCTGGCAGAATGGTCTGGAGCCTTCTAGGACGCGCGACCTGTTCCACGCGCTGGGCCGCTTCGGCCTCACCGCGGCGCGCGCGGCCGAGCGTCTGCAGGCGTTGTTGTCCGAACGGCGCTACGACTTGTTGGAGAAAAACTGGAACGCCGTCTTCCACGATCCGGGGGAGCGCGGCGGCGGCCCATGCGTTCGCCGCCGTGCTCGACCGCGTCGCGTTCGGCACGCTCCCGCCGGGTCTGGCGAACGAGGTGCTGCGTCAGCAGGCAGCCTGCCTGGCCTGCTCGCTGGCGGCCAAGCCGGAATCCTGGCCGGTGTTCCGGGCCGAACTCGCCCTGTCGCCCGACGACCCGGTCGAGTTGGTCCTGCGGGCGATCGCCCTCGGCTGGAACGCCAAGTGGTCCTGAGCAGCTTAGCGCCGCGTGCCGACCTGCTGGCGGTGGCGGTCGTGTTGGACCTGTTGCTGGGCGATCCGGTCTACCGTTGGCACCCGGTTCGGCTGATCGGCGGCTCGCTGAGGTGGATTGAAGCGCGCCTGCGCGCGGCGGGCGCCGACGGGTACCTTGGTGGGTGCGTTCTGTTCATCGTTTTTGGCGCTCGTCTGGGGTGGGAGCACGGCGGCTTTGCTCGCCGGCACGGCACAGCTGCACCCCGTGGCGGGTTCGGCGGTGCATCTCTTTTTGCTATACAGCCTGCTGGCGCTCCGCGACTTGCTGAAGCATGTGGGAGCCATCAATACTGCCGCGGTCGCCGGTGATCTTGCCGCCGCCCGGCAGGCGGCCGGCCGGCTCGTCGGCCGCGACACCGATCGCATGGACGCCGCCGCTTGCCGACGCAGCGGCATCGAAAGCCTGGCCGAGAATCTGGTTGACGGGTTCGTCTCGCCGATCTTCTGGTATTGCTTGGCCGGCGTGCCTGGGATCGTGGTGTTCAAGACGGTCAGCACGATGGATTCGATGGTTGGCTACAAGACCGCGCGCTATCTCGCGTTCGGCTGGTGCGGCGCGCGTCTCGACGACCTGATGAACCTGATTCCGGCACGGCTCACGTGGTTGCTGATTGCGTGTGCCGCGGTGTTGACGCCCGGCAGTTCCAGTCGCGGTGCGCTCCGTATCGGGTGGCGGCAGCACGCCGTCGTGCCGGGACCGAACGCCGGCTGGAGCGAGGCCGCGCTCGCTGGTGCGATCCGTCGCCGGCTGGCAGGACCAATCTGGCTGGGCGGCCGGCGGGTAACCGACGTTTGGATCGGTGATCCGGCCGCTGCCGCTGCCGGAACGAGTGCGGACTGCCGGCAGGCGCGGCAGACGGTGCTGGTGACCGTCGCCTTTGGTCGTTGGTGCGGCAATCGTCTTGCTGGCTGCGGCGTAGCGGCCTGGGGGGTTATCTGCATTGGCAAACAGGGAGGAAACATGACTGGAGCCAACGGCGGCGCGCATGAGGAACGCGCCCACAAGGAGCGTATGAAGATAGTCCAGGCAGAGCAGCGCAGGAAGCGTGCGGCGGCCACGAATCCCGGACAAGGGCTCGTGTTGGTATACACCGGCAACGGCAAGGGCAAGTCGAGTTCGGCCTTCGGCGTGATGGCACGGGCGCTCGGCTGGGGACAGACGATCGGTGTCGTGCAGTTCATCAAGGGCGATTGGGTGACCGGCGAGCGCCAGTTTTTCGAGCGCTTTCCAGATCAGGTGGCTTGGCACACCATGGGCGAAGGCTTTACCTGGGATACGCAGGACCGCGCTCGTGACACCGCTGTCGCCGAGGCGGCTTTCGCCAGGGCTTGCGAGATGCTGGCGGGGGGCGAATACGACCTCGTCGTTCTCGACGAGATCAACGTCGTGCTGCACTATGACTACTTGTCTTCCAGCGCCGTGCTCGACGGGCTAAAAGCCCGCGCGCCGCGCACCAGCGTCATCCTTACCGGCCGCGACGCCAAGTCCGAGATCGCCGATTACGCCGACCTCGTGAGCGAGATGCGCGAGGTGAAGCACCCGTTTGCAGCCGGCATCAAGGCGCAGCGCGGCCTCGACTTCTGATCTTGCCGGTGGATCTTGAGTGCCCGTCGCGGTGCCGAGACGGCCCGCATTGACACACACACCGACCTGCCGTTAACATACCGCCACACTGAGAAAGCCGGGTCGTATCGCAGCGCCCGCTGCGATCAGGGAAGATGGTGCGAAGCCATCGCTGTCCCGCAACTGTGAGCGGAACGAAATCTGCAACCGCCACTGAGGCAGCCGCCTCGGGAAGGCGCAGAGAGTAGGTTGTAGCCGCAAGCCAGGAGACCTGCCCGGACTTTTTCACTGGAGAAACCTTTCGAGGGAGAGGGTGCCAGTGAAGGTCACACGTTCCAACCGCTCAGGTTGTTCTTCATACGCCTTCCACGTGTCAACAACCCGTTTTCGTTTGCCACACCCCTGGCATCCCCTTGCCTCCCGACGGCGAGCCGGCGGTTTGCGCCGTCCGGTGTGCTGCCTGACACGTTACGGGAGAGGGGATCAATGCATCACAAGAGTTCAAGCTTCATCGCAGTTTGCCTGCTCTTAGTCCTGGGGCTGCAGGCGCCCGCCATCTGGGCGCAGCAGCACGAAGACACTTTCCGGCTCGACCCGCTGATCGTCACCGCCACCCGCTCGGCGGAGCGGCTGAGCCAGACGACGCGCTCGGTGACCGTCATTAGCGCCGAAGACATCGCCGCGCAAGGCGCCCATACGGTTGCCGACGCGCTGCGTAGTGTTCCCGGCCTTGACGTGGTGCGCACCGGTTCGCGGGGCGCGACAACGAGCATCTTCACCCGCGGTAGTGAGTCGGACCACACGGCTGTGCTGATCGATGGGGTGAAGGTAAATATCCTCTTGGATGGCAAGTTCGATATGGCCGATCTGTCGGTGAGACAACATCGAACGCATTGAGGTGGTGCGCGGGCCGGCGAGCACGCTATACGGCAGCACCGCCACTGGCGGGGTTATTCACATCATCACCAAAAGGGGCAGCGGGCCCCTGAGCGTCAATCTGAGCGCCGACGGCGGCAGCTTCGGGACCAATACGCAACGGGCCATCGTGAGTGCCGGAACAACCTGGGGCGGCTTGTCGGTATCCGCCAGCCGCGTCGAGTCGGACGGGCACCTGGCCTTCAACAACCAGTACGACAATGCCAACGTATCCCTACGCGCCGACTTGTCACCGGACCAGCACACGAACATCGACCTCACGTTGCGCTACATTGACAGTGAGTACCACTTCCCCACCGACGGCGCCGGGCGCGTCCTATTTCACAATAAGTACCAGACTACCCACGAGACCGCCGTGGGCCTGCGGGGCGCCCGTGCCCTGTTGCCTTGGTGGAACAGCAGCTTGCAACTCGGCTTCCATCAGCGCAAGCGTCTACAGCTATCCCGAGTCACCCGAAGAGTCACTCTTTGTCACCAGCGAAAAACGTCTGTCTATCGACTGGCAATCGGTGTTGGACTTCCACCTCGGTAACTTCACGCTGGGTGTGGCGCACGAGGATGATGAGGACACTGAAAATGATTTCCGCCGGGACAACACCGCCGGATACGCGCAGCTTCGCTTGAAGCCGTTGGAGCCCATCGTGCTGGTTGGCGGCCTGCGGGTCGATAGACACAGCAAGTTCGGCACCGAGTTGACCTATCAGGTCTCGGCGGCCTACTTCCTGCCCGGCGGCACCAAGCTGCGGGCGGCCCTCGGCACCGGTTTCAGGGAGCCCCTGTGGGGCGAAATTTTTTCCACCCTGTGGACCGTTGGCAACCCGGACCTTGATCCGGAGCGCAGCATGACGTGGGAGTTGGGTGTCGAACGGCGGCTGTGGGAGGACCGCTTGCGGTTGGAGGGCGTCTTCTTTTCGAGCCGCTTTAAGGACCTGATCGAATACAACAGTTCGCCGCCGGAGGGCCAGTCCAACTTCTTCAATATCGAAGAGGCCAGGGCGCACGGGTTGGAGTTGTCCGCGACGGTCACGCCGCTGCCGGCCTGGACTTTCGGCACCGCCTATACCTGGCTGCGCAGCGAGGTCACCAACGCCGGTGCCGGCATCTTTGGATTCTTCGCGGAGGGTGAATCCCTGCATCGCCGGCCAGAGCACAAGGTGCGGCTGTTCGGCCAGTACACGCGCGGGCGCTTCGACGGGCGCGTGGATCTGTACCACATCGGCACGCGCGCCGGTCTCGATTGGTTTACCTGGCCGCCCAAGCGCGAAGACAACCCAGCGTATACCAAGGTAGACGTATCCATCGGCTACAAGCTCATCGAAAACGAGCGGCACACGCTGGAGTTGTTCGGGCGTGTGGAAAACGTCTTCGATGAAGACTACGAGGAAGTGTACGGCTTTACGGCGCCCGGCTTCGCGGCGTTCGGCGGAATCAGGATGACGCTGTAGGGCGCAACCCCAAGGAGGGCGAAGGATGGCCAGACGAATTGCCGGGCGCGCAGCGGTTGCGGTTGTGCCGGCGGTGTTGATCGTGCTTGGCGTTGTGGCGTTCGCGGCCACCGGCGGCACGACGCGGTTGTCCCTGCTCGGCGCGCGGCCCTTTCACGCCACGCAGTTGTGGGGCAGGACTTCCCCAAGCGGCTGATTGACCCGTCCGGAATCCCGCAGACGCTGGCCGCGCCGCCGAACCGCATCCTGTCGGGGGTGTTGGCCAGCGACGAAATCCTCACCGCCCTGGTGCCGCCCGAGCGGTTGGCTGCGGTGACGTATCTGGTCGACGAGCCGGGTTTGTCCGACGTCGCCAAGCTGTTACCGCCGGGCCTGCCGCGCATCCATGCCGAGGCCGAAACCATGCTGGCCTTGCGCCCCGACCTGGTGGTGCTGGCCAGTTACACGCGGGCCGCCACGGTGCGCCTGCTGGTGGCGGCGGGCATTCCGGTGGTGCGCTTTCAGTGGTACCGCTCGTTTGCCGACATCATGAACTCGATCCGCATGCTGGCCGCCGCGGTGGGGGCGGACGACAACGGCGCTCGGCTGGTCGATGACATGCGGCAGCGCATCGCCGACGTGGAAGGACGGACGCAGGGCTTGGCGCGGCCGCGCGTGCTGTATTACGGCGGCGGCTACTCGGCCGGTGAGGACACCCTCATCGACGCCATGATCACCCTGGCCGGCGGCCACAACGTGGCGCGGGACGTGGATCTGCGCGGACAGGGACGGTTGCCCCTGGAGGTTGCCGTCAGCCTGCGGCCCGAGGTAATCCTGGTTTCGGCGTGGGAGCAGATAACGGGCGGCAACCGCGTCGCGGCGTTTCTGCATCACCCGGTTTGGGCCGACGTGCCGGCCGTCCAGGACGGGCGCGTCTACGGCATCAAGGGCGCCTGGCTCAGTTCGGTATCCCACTATTCGGTAAACGCGCTCGAAGCCATCGCGCGGGTGCTGCATCCCGAGGCGTTTTCCCTGTGAGACGACGACAGCGAGTCCTGGCGTGCACGTTGGCCGGGCTGGGGTTGGTGGCCGCCGTGCTGGCGGGGACGACGTACGGTGCGGTGTCCATTCCCTGGCGTCATCTCGCCGGCATCCTGGCGCACGCCGCCGGGCTGCCGGTGACGCCCGACTGGCCGACGTGGGAAGCCACCGTGCTGCTGCACGTTCGCCTGCCGCGCGTGCTGGTGGGCCTGTGCGTGGGCGGCGGCCTGGCGCTGTGCGGCGGCGCCCTGCAAGCCCTGTTCCGCAACCCCCTCGCGGATCCCGGGGTATTGGGGGTGTCGTCCGGCGCCGCCTTGGGTGCGGTCATCGCCCTGTACCTCGGCTTGGCCGCCCACTCCGTCTGGCCCCTGCCCATCCTGGCCTGTGGCTCGGCCGGCCTTACTGCTTTCGTTGTCTACGGCATCGCCACGCGGCGCGGTCAAACGCCGATCGGCACCCTGTTACTGGCGGGCGTCGCGGTGGGCAGCCTGAACGCCGCGCTGACGTCGTTCGTGCTGTCGCTGTCCCTGGCCAACTACGACATCGGCCGCCAGTTGATCCTGTGGCTGCTGGGCGGCCTGGATGGGCGCACCTGGGAGCACGTCAAGCTGGTGGCGCCCGTCACCCTGGTTGCCGCCGGCCTGATCATTGCCTATGCCCGCGACCTGGACGTGCTCCTGCTGGGCGACGTGCACGCCGCCTCGGTTGGCGTGGACGTGGTGCGGGTGCGCCGGGTGCTGATTATCGCCACCTCACTGGTCACCGGCGTTGCGGTTGCCGTTTCCGGCGTCATCGGCTTCGTCGGCCTGATCATTCCCCACATCCTGCGCCGGCTGATCGGGCCGCACCATCAATGGCTGCTGCCCCTCGCCGTGGTTGTCGGCGCCGCCTTCCTGGTGTTCGCCGATTGCCTGGCGCGCGCCCTGATCGCCCCCGAAGAATTGCGCCTCGGCGTCCTCACCGCCCTCATCGGCGCGCCGTTCTTTCTCTTCCTGCTGTTGCGGCACCGCCGTGAAGGTCTGCTGTGATGTCGGCGCTGCTTGAGGTGCGTGACCTGACCTTCGCGTACCAGGACCGCGCGGTACTTTCCCGGGTCACCTTTTCCATTGGCACGGGTGAGGTGGTCGGCCTCGTCGGCCCCAACGGCAGCGGCAAGTCGACCCTGTTACGCCTGGCCTTGGGCCTGCTCGCGGCGGATCAGGGTGAGTTACGCGTCGTCGGCACCCCCATCGCGGCGTTGTCGAGAAAGGCCCTGGCGCGCCACGCCGCGTTCGTGCCGCAGGACACGGTTATGGAGATTGCCTTTACGGTTCGGGACGTCGTGGCCATGGGGCGGCACCCGCATCTGGGACGTTTCCAGCCCGAAACGCCGGCGGACGAGGCAGCGGTCCGATGGGCGCTCGAGGCCACGTCAACCCAGGCGCTGGCCGAGCGCACTCTGCAGGAACTCTCCGGCGGCGAACGCCAGCGGGTGATTCTGGCGCGGGCGCTGGCCCAGCAAGCCACCATCCTGTTGCTGGACGAGCCGACGGCCAATCTCGACGTGGCGCACCAGTTGGAGATGCTCATGTTGGTGCGCGCCGTGGTCCGGGAAGGGCGCTGCGCCCTGATCGCGATCCACGACCTCGCCTTGGCGGCGCGCTTCTGCGACCGAATCGTCATGTTGTCGGAGGGAGCCGTCGTGGCGCTGGGCACGCCGCGGGAGGTCATCACCGAGGCGCATTTGGCGCGCTATTTCCGCATCCAGGCCAAGGTGCGCTGGGAGCCAGAGCTCGGCGGCCTGCTGGTGCTGCCGCGCGCGCCGCTGCCGGAGCGGGACTGCTAAAGGGGTTCGATGTCGGCGTAGGTGACGTATGTGGGCTGGGAACTTTTCGAGTGGATGTCGTCGTTGCTGACGGGGGGGATTTCTCGTTGGACGACTTGCCCTGGCTGGGCCTGGATGGGTGAGGTGAACATCGGGCCGTCGATGACGCAGGTGTGGAACTCGCCGTTTTCGCCCAGGGGGTCGATGCCGTCGGGCAGGTCGGCGAGGAACTGGCGGTCGAACCACCGGCCTACCATGCCGCTCGGCAGCCTGGCGTCACCGGCGGTGATGATGGCGCGCACGCCGGAGGCGATCATCGTCTCGGCGAGTTGGGAGGTGTCGTTTCCCCAGACCGGGAAAAGGGGCGTGAAGCCGGTGCCGCTGAGCTTGTCTTCCCGGTAGCGCCGGATATCTTCCAGGAACAGGTCGCCGAAGGCGAGGTGCGACGCCGTCCGGTGTTCCGGCAATGTCTGCACCCGGTCCAGAAGCGCTTGCATGGCGGCTTCGTACTGCGCGTTGGTGCACGGCGACGGGATGGCGATCTCATAGAGCGGCAGGCCGAGCCGTTCGGACTGCAGCTTCAGGACCCAGCGCGGCGTGGAGTGGATGGAGATGCGGTCGAAGGTCTCGGTGACGGTGGTAAAGATGCCGCGCACCTCGTAGCGCTCGGGCTGTTGCCGGAGCGTGTGCAGTGCCCAGGCGGAGTCTTTGCCCCGAAGACCAGGAGACCATGACGGGTACAGGGGTGGTTGGATTGGCGGCGGCCATTGCTTCCTCTCATGCGGGCGGAATATCCGCTGCCAGCCTGGGATGCGAGTGGCGTGTCGGATTACGCGGCGCTAATCCGACCTACTTTGCCCCGTCACCGAGGCGATCAGGTCCAGCAGGTTGGTGATCTGGTAGTTGGGGATGGTGACGACTTCGTCGCGCCCGGCGGCCTGGACGTAGCGGCTGAAGGTGTCCGGCGCGACGTCGCCGATGGTGTACTGGGCGAGCGGCTCCTGGCTTTCCGAAACCGTAGACCAGGATGATCATGTCCGGGCTGGCGATGCCGTAAGCCTCGGCGTCCTTGGCCAGCACGAAGTCACGCTCGATGCGGGTTCGGCCGAAGGCGGCGAGGGCGAGGTCGATCCGTTGCGTGAAGGCGTCGTCGGCTTGATGCTCGTGGTTTTCCGCGGGTGCGGCGCCTTGGTCGTGGGTGTGATAGAACCAGACGCCGTTGGCGTTGCGTTCAAAGCGGTGCAGGGTGCCGGCGTGGCCGATCTCGACGGCCGTCAACTGCGCCAGCGGTGCCGGCATCAGCATGCGCACCTCACGTTCCTCGTGCCCGCCGTGCTCGTCCTCGGGGGCCATCAGATCGCTGCGCTCGATAAGGATGACCGCCCCCACCAGCACCACAAACACCAGCCAGACAATGAGCAGGCGGGCGCGCCTGCCAGGGTTCATCGCTGTTTCCACCAGACCGCGATGCCGACCACGGCCAGGATGCCGGGGATGAGCACGATGGTCAGGAAGAGGGTGCCCTTCATCTGCCGATTGGTGAGGTTGACGCGCGGCAGGTCGTAAGTGCGGGGTTTGATGCCGATGAGGTTCTCCTGGGCCGCCAGATAGCTCACCGTGTTCACGAACAGGGTGCCGTTGCCCAGGATGTGAAAGAAGGAATTGGTGGCGAAGTCCGAGTCGCCCACCACCGCGATGCGCGACCGCCCGGTGGGCATGGACGCCGCGTCCCCGTTTTCGTCCTCAGGCGGCAGGGCCGGGATGGGCGGCAGGTCGTCCCGCGGCCCAAGTCGTTGGAGGGCTTCGGCGCTGCTCGGGTCCACCGGCCGCCGGCTGATGATGGCCATGATGGTGTTCGGCCCCGCCTGATCGTTCTCGTCCAGCCCGACACGGTCGGGTGTCGTCTCGCCGTAGCTGTTGGTGGACGAGTTGACGATCGGCATCACGCTGGTGCCCGTCACGCGCTCGGGGGCCGGCGACAACGAACGCACGCCGGGATAAAATGTCAGCGGCAACTCGCGGGTCACTTGGTGATGGTTGTAACTGGTGACCGCTGGCGACGACACGTCGGCCCAGAAGTGCCTGGCCTCGTCGATGACGATGTTGTCGTTCACCACCACGCCGTGGGCGCGAAGCACCGGTTCCAGGCCGCTTTGCACGAAGGGGTCGAGCATGAAAAAGGCATTGCCGTTGGCGGTCAGAAAATCCTCTATCGTCGTGATCTCGGCCTCCAGCAACGGCACCTTCGGTCCCGCTACGACCAGTACCGCACAGCCGTCCAGCGTCCCGGTGCCGCCCAACAGCGACACCTTTTCGACCTTGTAATTCAAGGCTTCCAGGGTGTGCCGCGCCTTGGCCATGCCGTGGCGCTCGTGCACCATGGTCTTACCGCCCAGGCCGTGCGTGTGCCCGGCCTCGCCTTCCATGTGGTCGTGCGATTCGGTGCTGAAGGGGTCCGCCTCGCCGTGCCCTTCGAGGAAACAGACGCGCTGGTTGGCGTCTTGCGCGATGCGCAGGATGCCGTTGGCGATGTCGATCTCCTCGCTGCCGTGCACCTGCATGGTGCGGCCCTCGCTTTCCAGGACGGCAGTGCCGGCGAACTGCACGCCCCGCATTCGCGCCTGTGCCGGGTTGATCATCGGGTCGTAGAAATCCACCGTCACCAGCGGCGATTGCGCGGCGATCAACTCGTACAGCTCAACCGTCGGGCGCAGCAGGGGATCGTGGAAGAACACGATGTGCACCGGCTTGTCGATGCGCTCCAGCATGGCAACAGTCTGCTCAGACAGCGAGTGCAGGCCCTCGTCGGTGAGGTCGAAGCGCAGGGGGTAGAGGACGGAAAGGTACGCCACCACCATGAGCACGCCCACCATGCCCAGGGCGTACAGCGCGATTTCCGTGCGGCGGCGGTGCAGCAGAGCGCCGATGTCGCGGCGCAGCGCCACCAAGCCCCACACCATCAGCGCGGCGCCGACGATGGCGAGCGCCAGGGTCCACACCGACGGCTCCAGCAGAATGGCGTGCACGGCCAGTGCGGCCGCTAGCAGGGCGACCCCCAGCAACAAAATGATGCCCGAGAGGAAGGAGCGTTCCATGTTAGCGCTGCCACCGCAGATAACTGGTGTTGAGGACCAGGACGATGGCGCACACGACGAGGTAGAAGATCACCGACTCGGTGCGCACCAGCCCCTGCACGAATTCCTCGAAATGGCGTGAAAACGACAGGTAGCCAAGCAAATTCCGCCACGCAAAGGACGTCTGGAAGCGCTGCGCGTTGGCGATGAACCAGAAGGCCAGCAGCACCGCCACGGTGATGAGCGCCGCCACGATCTGGTTCTGCGTCAGGGAGGAGAACAGTTGGCCGATGGCCAGGCAGGTCATGCCCAGGAGGATGAAGCCGATGTAGCCGGAGAGGATCGTCATGCCCTCGGGGTTGCCGAACAGGTACAGCGGCACCACGTCGACCAGCGTACCGGCCGTCATGAACAGCAGGATGGTGACGGCGCCGGCGAATTTGCCCAGCACAATCTGCCAAGGCCGCAGCGGCAGGGTGGCCAGCAACTCCATGGTGCGGCCGTTGTACTCGCTGGTGAACAGCCGCATGGAGACGACGGGCATGACGAGGAGCAGCAGGATGGCCATGTTCTGGAAGGTCTCGGTCATCCGGGCGTTGCCGGTGAGGAAGATGCTGTAGGTGAAGAAGTAGCCGGTGCCGACCAGGAACACCGCCATCACGAAGTAGGCGATGGGGGAGCGAAAATAGAGCCGCAACTCCTTTTGATACACGGCCAAGGCGCCGTTCATGCCGTCATCCCTCGCTCACGTATTGCAGGAAGATGTTTTCCAGCGTTGGCTCCTGCCGTCCGAGGTTGTGCAACGGCCAGCGCGGCGCCACAGCGCGGGCAATGGCCGCCTCCACGCCGTCGCGCGGCTCGATCTGGCATTCGACCTGCAGCCGGTCACTGGTGTCGCCAGCGGTTTCCACCTCCACGGATCGCACGCCGTCAACGGACACCAATTCCTGCCGCAGCTCGTCGGCCGGCGCCGTTACCTGCAGGCTCACGCGGTTCGTCTGCTCCAGCGCCCGCTGCAGGCCGCTCGGCGAGTCGATGGCCAGCAGCCGTCGGTTGTTGATGATGGCCACGCGCTTACAGATCATGGTGACTTCCGAGAGGATGTGAGTGCTGAACAACACCGTGTGCTCGGCGCCAAAGGATCGGATGATGTCGCGCGCCTCGTGCAGTTGCCCCGGATCCAGGCCGATGGTCGGCTCGTCCAGCAGCAGCACCTGCGGCTTGCCGAGCAGGGCTTGCGCGAGCCCCACGCGTTGCCGGTAGCCCTTGGACAGCTTGTAGATTTCGCGCCGCACCACGTCACCCAACTGGCAGGCGGTGGTGACGCGGTCGAGTTCGGTAGCCACATCCGAACGCGCCACGCCCTTGGCCTTGGCGACAAAGCGTAGGTAGGCGGTCACGTCCAGGGTGTCGTAAAGCGGCGGGTGTTCCGGCAGGTAGCCGATATGGGAGGCGGCCGCGTCGTTCTGGGTAGCCATGTCGTAGCCGGCCACGCTGACGCGCCCGGAACTGGCCGTGATGAAACCGGCGATCATGCGCAAGGTGGTGGTTTTGCCGGAGCCGTTAGGGCCGAGGAATCCGACGATCTCGCCCTTTTCCACCGAGAACGACAGGTCGTGGATGACGGTTCGGGAACCGTAGCGTTTGGAGACGGATTCGAGGGTAATCATGCCGCCCGGCGCTCATGTTGGCAGGTCAATCGAAGAAGGCCCCTTCGTGCGGGAGGGCCTTCCGGTCACAGGGCTACTGATACCACTTTTCGCCCATCTTTTCGTACTGATTCATGCTGTGGCCCAACCAGAGCTGGGCGTTCTCGATATCACGAAGCATCTTGATGCGCTGGACCGACTTGTTGTAGTCAAGGATGCTGTAGTTGAGCCCGGCGGGGTACCCCTCCAGGTTCTCCTCCACCCACACGGCGTCCTGCGTCAGGAGGACCGTGCCGGTATCGGCCAGTTGCACCTTGACCGACTGGTGGCCGAGGGTATGACCCGGCGTGCTGATGACGACCATGCTGCCGTCGCCGAACAGGTCATAGTCGCCGCCCAACTCGAAATAGGTGAAGTCGCGCGCGTCGTCATAGTCGGCCATGACGTGCGCCCCGCCGCGCTGGAACTTCTCCGGCCACCACGCCTGGTACAACTCTTTCTTCTGGATCACGTGGATGGCATCCGGGAACATCTCAATGTTGCCGATGTGGTCCAGGTGCGAGTGCGAGGTGATGACGATCTTCACGTCACCGACACGGTAGCCGACCTTTTCGAGTAGTTTGTCGATGACCTCCGCGCGGGTCTGGGAGGGTTGCAGATTATCGCAAATCCAGGAGTTCCAGTGGCTCTTGCAATTGCCGTCGGAGATGGCCACGTTGTTGCCGGTGTCAAAGACGACCAAGCCCTTCGGGTGATCAATGATGTACATGTTGACGGGCATCATGACATCCCGGTCCTGGTCCTTCGGATAGGTGGGCAGCACGTCGAGGATGGAGAAGGGTCCGAGCAGGCCGCTGGCGGTCCAGAATATCCTGATCCTGGCGTCTCCGTGACTCATGGCGGCGACTGAGGAGGCGCCGACGCAAACCATGACGAGGATTGCCGTAGCGATGCCAAGCTTCTTCATTACCTTCTTCCCTTATCGATTACTGCTTGTCAATCAACCAGGGGCGGGAACCAACAGCGGCCCCGCCCCTTTCAAGCTAAACCTGCCCGACAGCAAGAGGGGTTCACGTGGCGCGGACTACTGGTACCACTTCTCGCCCATCACCTCGTACTGTTCCATGCTGTGGCCCATCCAGACCTGAGCGTTCTCGATGTCACGAATCATCTTGATGCGGTTCACCGAATTCGTGTAGTCGAGGATGCTGTAATTGAGCCCGGCGGGGTGACCTTCCAGGTTCTCCTTCACCCACACGGCGTCCTGCGCCAGTATGACCGTGCCGGTCTCAGCCATCCGCACCTTGACCGACTGGTGCCCGAGGGTGTGGCCCGGAGTGCTGATGACCACCACGCTGCCGTCGCCGAACAGGTCATAGTCGCCATTGAGCTCAAAGTAGGTGAAATCGCGCGCGTCGTCATAGTCGGCGACGACGTGCGCTCCACCGCGCTGGAACTTCTCCGGCCACCAGGCCTGGTACAACTCTTTCTTCTGGATCACGTGGATGGCATCCGGGAACATCTCGATGTTGCCGATGTGGTCCAGGTGGGAGTGCGAGGTGATGACGATCTTGACGTCGTCGACCGTGAAGCCGACCTTTTCGAGTTGCTTGTCGATGACGTCGGCGCGCGTCTGGGACGGTTGCAGGAGGCCGCAGAAGCCCTCGTTCCAATGGCTGGTGCAATTACCGTCGGAGATGGCCACGTTGTTGCCGGTGTCAAACAGGATCAGGCCCATCGGGTGATCGATGATCCACATGTTGATGGGGATCATGATGTCGTGGTCCTGGTCTTTCGGATAGGAGGGCAGCAAAACGCTAATGGGCAGGGGGCCGAACAGGCCGCTGGCGGTCCAGAAAATCTTGGGACCGGCGGCGCCGTGACTCATGGCGGCGACCGAAGAGGCGCCGACACACACCATGACAAGGATTGCCACAGCGATTGTGAGCTTCTTCATTACCTCTCTCCTTATCGATGACAACTCGTCACATTAACCGAAGGGCGAGAACCGGCAGCGGCCCCGCCCCCTTTCATGCGAGCCTTCCCCGACAGCAGAAAGGCTCACGCGGCGCGGGCTACTGGTACCACTTCTCGCCCATCGCCTCGTACTGCTTGATGCTGTGTCCCAGCCACAACGGCGCGTTCTCAATGTCGCGCATCATCTTCAGCCGGTTCACGGACTGGGTGTAGTCCAGGATGCTGTAGTTCAGGCCGGCGGGATAGCCTTCCAGGTTCTCTTCCATCCACACCGCGTCCTGCGTCAGGATGACCGTGCCGGTGTCGGCCATCCGCACCTTCACGGATTGATGCCCGAGGGTGTGGCCCGGGGTGCTGATGACAACCAAGCTGCCGTCGCCGAACAGGTCATAGTCGCCGTTGAGCTCGAAATAGGTGAAATCACGCGCGTCGTCATAATCGGCCATGACGTGCGCCCCGCCGCGCTGGAACTTCTCCGGCCACCAGGCCTGGTACAGTTCCTTCTTCTGGATCACGTGGATGGCATTCGGGAACATCTCGATGTTGCCGATGTGGTCCAGGTGGGAGTGCGAGGTGATGACGATCTTGACGTCGTCGACCGTGAAGCCGACCTTTTCGAGTTGCTTGTCGATGACGTCGCCGCGCGCCTGGGAGGGCTGCAGGAAATCGCAGAGGCCCGCAATCCAGTGGCTCGTGCAGGCGCCGTCGGAAATGGCCACGTTGTTGCCGGTGTCATAGACGACCAAGCCTTTCGGGTGGTCGATGATCCACATGTTGATGGGGATCAGGATGTCACGGGCGTCGGGGTAGGTGGGGATAAGACCCTGGATGTTGAAGGGGCCGAACAGGCCGCTGGCCGTCCAGTAGACTCTGGGGCCGGCGCCATGGCTCATGGCGCTGGCCGTGGAGGCACCGATCACGCAAACCATGGCGAACAGCGCCACGGCGATCACAAACTTACGCATACCAAATCTCCTCATAATGAAAAAGCGTCCCAGGGCCGCAGATAAACCCCTGGTCCGACTTGGAAATCCTCGAAGTTGCAGCCTTATATCACGCGACAGCGTACCATAGCAAGGGGTTTTCCGGCAGTCAAACACCAAAAAAGCGGCTTCAAATAAGGCTTACAGGGCTGTTACACCCCCGTCGATGACCATCTCGCTGCCGGTCATGAACGACGACTCATCGGAGGCCAGAAATAGAACGCCATAGGCGATCTCATCGGGGTCGGCGTACCTGCCGAGCGGGGTGCGGCGCCGCATGGCTTGCAGCCACTCTGGATCGGACCAGCCGCGCTCGGTCATGGGCGTCTTCACCGGGCCGGGATGGATGGAGTTGCAGCGGATGCCCTCGGCGGCGTGCTGCACCGCGGTGGACTTGGTGAGAATGCGCACCGCGCCCTTGGAGGCGTTGTAGCCGGGGTGGATGTTGGTTTGACCCACCATGCCGGATATCGACGAGATGTTGATGATGGAACCGCCGCCGGCCGCGCGCATCGCCGGAATCACCGCCTTGGTGCCCAGAAACACCCCCTTGGCGTTGACCTCCATGATGCGGTCCCACTCCTCCACGGTGGCGTCGTCGCCGGCGTTCCAACTGGCGATGCCGGCGTTGTTGACTAGAATGTCCACCTTGCCGAAGCGCGACACCGCAGTGCCGACCGCCTCGCGCCAGGCGTCCTCGTCGGTCACGTCCAACCGCACGTAAAGACCCGCCTCGCCACCCGCCGCCGTAATCTCGGCTTCAACCTGCCGGCCCTCGTCGTCCAGGATGTCGCCAAACACCACCTTGGCGCCTTCCCTCACAAACATCCTCGCCTCCGCCGCTCCCTGCCCGCGGGCGCCTCCGGTGATGATGGCGACCTTGCCTTGTAAGCGCATGCGTGTGTCTCCTTCAGAAATCATGCGTGGTTGATTAGCAGTTCATAGCGGGGCGTAGTATCTCCGCTTAGTATGGCAATGCGCAACTGGCGTTGACTCTGACTGTAGAACCACACCGAATTCTGGTCTGAAATGCCGTAGGGGAATTATATTCTTGTGCACGACGGATCGACTCCAGATATGAGGAGATGGCGTGATGCTTCGTGAACATGCACTTCGTTTCAGGCTCGCGCTGCTTGCGGCCTTGGTAAGCTCGGCTGCGTTCCTGCTTGCCGGGTGTGAGCAGGCGAAGGCACCGCTGCCGGGCAGCTTCAACACCGCCGATGTCGCCGCTTATTGCAGGGACTGGGCCAAATTACGGAACGCGGGTTTCGTCTACGAGAACAACGTCTGGAACCAAGGAACCATCAAAAGAGAGAATCGTGCCCAATGCTTGTTGAAGCGCGTCGTGGACGGCGAGGTGCAGTACGGCTGGCGCTGGCGATGGCCGCGCGGAAGCGGAAACGTAAAGGCATATCCGGAAGTCATCTACGGACATAAGCCATGGTTCACGTCTTCGACAACGGCGGACCTGCCCCGTCGAATATCCACTATCGACAAGCTATCCGTTACCTATGACATCGAGATGCAGGCGCGGGGGCGCTACAATTTGGCCTTCGACATATGGGTGACAGATAGCGAGAGACCGACCCCTTCGGACATCACGCACGAAATCATGATCTGGGTGGGCGAACGGACGCGCGCGTGGGAACCGTCGCCGGGGTATCTGGCCAAAAGGGTCGCGATTGGCGGCGCGACGTATGACCTCACCATCAGGCCGCACGCCGAATGGCTCAAAGAACACGGCGCCCCGGATGTCGCCTACATCGCCTTCAACAGCCGCACGGCCCAAGTAAGCGGCAGGATCGACGTCAAGAAATTTCTCGATTACCTGACGGATCACGACCACCTTCCTGCCGATGGTTACATAGCCTCGGTGGAGTTGGGAAACGAGGTTATGAACGGCACCGGCGAGTTGTGGCTCAAGAGCTATGAAATCAGAGTCGACTAAGGACTCGGAACGGCTGGCAGATCCGTCTCGCGGGTGTCGCGGTCTGGCGGTCGGGGGGCGGCTCCCAGCGCTGCTGGGTTGCCCCGCAAAATTTCCTGAGGCGTTTCCGTTCTGTTGTCGACATGTGCTCGGCCGTGCACTCAATTAACCTCTGGCTGTCAGAACACCTGCCGAAAGACAAGGAGACCTGATGGCTGTCGAACCTCCTTTACTGGTCATGCTCGTCGGCCTGCCGGGAAGTGGCAAGAGCACCGCTGCCAAACGCCTGGCCTCTGTGATCAGTAACCAAGGGCGACCGTGCGAAATAATTGGCACCGACGTCTACCTGGAGGCCGAAGCAGCACGCCGAGGTCTGTCATACACAGCGATTTTTGCGGAGCAGCGCGACTTAGCGGACGCCATCATGTGGAGCCGCGCCAAGGAGGCCATCCGCAGGCGAATTTCCGTCATCTGGGATCAGACGAACCTCACGGCGAACGCTCGCCGCTGGCGCCTGCGTCTATTCCCCGAGGATTACTTGCGCATCGCGGCCGTCATGCCCGCAACCGACGACGAAGCCTGGGAACGCAACCTTGCGCGCGGCCCGGGGCGTGCGGTGCCCGAACACGTTTTTGACCGCATGCGGGCGGAATTGCGTCGTCCGAGCAGGGAAGAGGGCTTTCAGATGTTCCTCTGATGCGTCGAAAAACCTCATCGGAACGAAAATACTACCTGGCAGAGCGTGGGACAGGTTGCGGAGTCGTCAGAGCGGCCGATGCAATCGGGTCACCACTTTTTCGGGGACTGCCATCCAGTTGACGGCGGAGGGCAGCACCCGCGTCCCCGAGGTGAACAGCCAGCGTGCGCCCGGCGGCACTTCAACAGCGTCGTTTGTAGCGGTCGATCTGCGAGGCAACTCCAACGTTGTGCATCAAGTTCCCCTTCCTTGTCACATTGCGCCAGTATTCCTGTGCATTTCAGCAGATTCCGACAGAGAATTCCCGTGTTTCAAAATGGACAACGCCGAGGGGGCGGGGTAGGGTAGGCGCTTCCAGAAGGGGACACATCACAAAACTGGGGATAGACCGAAGATGCAGGAACAAAACAACAGCCAAGGCGCCCGCGGCGTGGCGTTCGGCATTGCCGCCATGGCGGTGGTTGTGACGGCCTCGAACATTCTGGTGCAATATCCGATCAACGACTGGCTGACGTGGGCCGCGCTGTCGTACCCGTTCGCGTTTTGGTCACCGATCTGACGAACCGGCGTCTGGGGCCGGGCAGTGCGCGGCGCGTGGTGTGGGTCGGCTTTGCGTTCGCGGTGGTGCTCTCCGCCTGACTGGCGACGCCGCGTATTGCCGGGGCGTCGGGGAGCGCCTTTCTGGTCGGTCAACTCGCCGACGTGTGGATGTTCGACCGGCTGCGGCATTTGAAGTGGTGGCAGGCGCCGCTGGTGTCGTCGTCGCTGGGGTCGATCCTGGACACGGCGCTGTTCTTCTCGCTGGCCTTTGCCGGAACCGGCTTGCCGTGGACCACGTGGGCGCTGGGCGATCTGGCAGTGAAGGCGGTGTTCGCGGCGCTGCTGCTGATCCCGTTCCGGCTGTTGCTGGGTTTGACCCGGCCAGCGGCGGTGTAAGCTTGGGGCTTGGGTCATCTGAGGAGGACGTGATGGACGCCGATCTGACGCAGTTCCGCGATTCCATCGAAGACGCCGGCCGCATCGTGTTTTTCACCGGCGCCGGCATCAGCACCGAATCGGGCATTCCCGATTTTCGCAGTCCGGGCGGCATTTGGACGCGGTTTCGCCCCATCGACTTCGCGGAGTTCATGGCGTCGCGGGAGGCGCGGCGGGAAGCCTGGCGGCGCAAGTTCGAGACCGACAAGACACTCAGCATCGCCAAGCCTAACGACGGGCACGCCGCCATCGCCAGGCTGGTGCGGCAGAGTAAGGCGTCGTGCGTCATCACCCAGAACATCGACGGGTTGCACCAGGCGTCCGGAGTGCCGGACGAGCAGGTCATCGAGCTGCACGGCAATACGACGTACGCCCACTGCCTCGGCTGCCGCCAGCGCTATGAGCTTGAGCCCATCCGGGAGCAATTCGAGCGCGACGGCGAGCCGCCGGATTGCCATTGCGGCGGCTACGTCAAGACCGCCACGATCTCGTTCGGCCAAGCGATGCCGGAGGCGGAGATGGCGCGAGCCGAGGCGGAAACGAACGCCTGCGACCTGTTCGTGGCCGTCGGCTCGTCATTGGTCGTCTATCCCGCCGCCGGTTTCCCCGCCCTCGCCAAGCGGCGCGGCGCCCGCTTGGTCATTCTCAACCGCGAGCCGACCGACCTCGACCCCATCGCCGACCTGGTGCTGCACCGCGAAATCGGCCCGACCTTGGCGAGCGTGACCGGCACCTGACCCGCCGTACCCCTTTTGAACGAAAAGACCGCCCGCATGCCTCACACCTTTGAGATCATCCCGCGAGCCCCCTACTCGTTCGACCTGACCGCCGGGCGCTTCGGGCGTTTTGCCAGCGAGATCGTCGATCTGCTCGACGGCAAGCAGTATCGCCGTTTGCTCGTCGCCGGCCGTCAGCTTGCCCTGGCCACGGTGACGGACGTCGGCACCGTCGGCAAGCCACGCCTCGCCGTGGAATTGCGCAGTCCATCAAAGGCGCCGCTGCAGCGGGAAGTCTTTGAGGCGCAGGTGCGGCACATCCTGTGTACCGATCTCGACCTCAGGCCATTCTATCGCTTGGCGCGCGGCAACGACCTGCTGGCGCCGATGGTCACCCGCTTCCGCGGCTTGCGCCTTGCGGCCAGCCCGACGCTGTTCGAGGCGCTGGTCGGCGCGGTGCTGTCGCAGCAGGTCAACCTCACGTTCGCCTACTCGATCAAGCGGGAACTGGTCGAGCGCTTCGGGCGCAAATGGCGCGTCGGGGGCCACACCTATTGGGCCTTCCCGGAGCCACGCCGCTTTGCCGAGCAGAGCGTGGAAGACCTGCGCGCCTTTCGCCTGAGCAACGCCAAGGCCGGTGCGCTCATTCGCCTTGGCGGCGCCTTTACTTCCGCCACCCCTTTTCCTGCCCCGTCCGGCGAGCTGGATTCGCTGTCCGACGATGATCTCATCGAACGCCTGACCACCCTCAAGGGCATCGGCCGCTGGACCGCCGAAACCGCCCTGGTGCGCGGCCTCATCCGTCCCGACGTTTTTCCCGCCGGCGACCTTGCAGTCGTCAAATACTTAGCCCAAAGCCTGCTGGGCAAAACGGAAAAAGCCTCCGAAGCCGAGATGCGCACCTTTGCCGAAGGTTGGCGCCCCTACCGCGGCCTCGCCCTTGTCTATTGCTACGCCGAGATGGGCCGCCGGCGCAGCGAGGGTTGAGGGCGGCTCGGTTGACACTTTCAAGTGGGCTGGTGTCTAATTCGGCGGGCCGAAACCAAGGCTTTGCCAGCGTCAGGACCGCGCCGGGCGCCGATTCCGTTGGTGTTCATAATGAGAGGGATAACATCATGAAATTCGGTTTCTTCACCATCATTCCGTTCCACGAGGGCGACACCGAGCCGCGGCTGTTTCACGAAACGCTGGAACGCATCGAGCTGGTGGACCAATTAGGGTTCGACGAGGTGTGGATCGGCGAGCACCACTTCTCGCGGCATGGGCTGGTCTCGGGGGTCAACACGTGGATGGGCGCGATTGCGGCGCGGACAAAACAGGTGCGCATCGGCACGGCGATTACCATTCTGCCCTTCCACAATCCGATCATGGCGGCGGAAGAAGCGGCGACGCTGGACATCCTCAGCAACGGGCGGCTCAATTTCGGCATCGGCAGCGGCTATCAGCGGCAGGAGTTCGACGGTCTTGGCGTGCCGATCAACGAGGCGCGAGAGCGGTTTCACGAATCGCTTGAGGTCATCACGCGCGCCTGGACGGAGGAGCGGCTCACCTTTCACGGCAAATACACGCACGTGGACGACCTCTGGGTGCTGCCCAAGCCGGTGCAGAAGCCGCACCCGCCGCTGTACATCGCCGTCAGCACCAGTCCGACCAGCGTCGAGTTCGCCGCCAGCCGCCGCATTCCGATCATCGTCGGCGGCCCCACCGACGTGATGGGGCAGGCGCCGCAGGTGGTCAAGCTGTGGCACGACAAAATGGAAGCGCTCGGCCACGAGCACGCCCACATCGACCTGCCGGTGGCCAGCCGAGTGTACGTCGCGCCGACGATGGACGAGGCGCAGGGCGACATCCGGGGGCTTGAGGACTTCCATAGTCGCGTGATGAGCAGCATCGGCACCACCGGGGCGCCCGTTGGTATGCCGACCGACCGGGACGGCAACCTGCCGCCGGGCTACGAGTTCTGGGCCAACCGGCAGCGCGACCGCGACCGTTCGGCGGAACCCGGCCAGACCGTCATGCCGCCGCTCATCGGCACGCCGGAGGTGGTCAGCGAGCGTCTGGCGCTGATCGAGCAGCGCGGCATTCGTCGTGTGTTCGCCCAATTCGGCTTTCCCGGCGTGCCGCACGCTAAGGTCATGCGCGCCCTCGAACTGTTCGGCACGCAGGTGATGCCGCATTTTCGCACCCAGACGGCCAGCGTGGCCGGGTAGCGGGGCGCCGTATGCAGGTTGTTGCGGACATCGCCGCCGTCCGCCGCGCGCGACAAGTTGACCTCTCGGCGACGTGGGGGCTTGTGCCCACCATGGGTTTCCTGCACGAGGGGCACCTCAGCCTGGTGCGCCAAGCCCGCCGCGACAACAGCCGCGTCGGCGTCAGTATCTTCGTCAACCCCGCCCAGTTCCATAATCCCGACGATCTGGCAACCTACCCGCGCGATCCCGAACGCGATCTTGCTTTGTTGAAACAGGAGGGGGTGGATCTGGTGTGGACGCCGCTGCCGGACCAGGTTTATCCCGCCGGCTATCAGACCTATATCCACGTGGAAGAAGCGTCTCGTCCGCTGGAGGGCGCCGCGCGGCCTGGCCATTTTCGCGGCGTCGCCACCGTTGTCGCCAAACTGATGAACGTCTTTCAGCCGCAGCGCGTCTACTTCGGACAGAAGGACGCTCAGCAGGTGGCGGTCGTCAAGCGCATGGTGGAGGACCTGAATTTCCCGCTCACGGTCGTCAGTTGTCCCACCGTGCGGGAGCCGGACGGCTTGGCCATGAGTTCGCGCAACGTCCTGCTATCGCCGCAGGCGCGTCCGCACGCCGCCTGCCTGTTTCGCGCCTTGCAGGCCGGCAACGATGCCTTCGGGCAGGGAGAGCGCCAGGCGGAGCCGCTGCGCGCTGCCATGCGGGCGGTGATTGATGCGACGCCGACGGCGCGTATCGATTACGTCAGCGTTGCCCATCCGGAGACACTGGCGGAGTTGGACGTCGCGGAGTTGGACGTCGTGGAGGCCGCTGCCCTGCTGTCGTTGGCGGTGTTTGTCGACGAGGTGCGGCTGATCGACAACATCACGGTGGGAGAGTCGGCTTGTGCCGATTGACGGGTCACGATGTCATCGGGCGACGGGACAAATCGAGGGGAGCGGCGTCGCGGGCTTGGGCGAGTTCAAAGCCAGGTCTGGAAGGCTCCATAAAGGTTATGGCGTCGTAGAAGTCGTCCAACGGCACGAACACGCCGTTGTTTTCAGCCCAGCGGCGCATACGCTGGTTGCAGGCGTGCACCCAGGACAGGATCTCGATGCGCCAGTTACGCCGGTGCATCCGTTCCAGTGTGCTGTGAAACCCGGCCCCTTCCAAGTAACCGGCGCCGTCGCCGGTGAGCAGGACCACAGTGCCGGGGTCGCCGTTGTAATCTAAGGCGTCTTCGAGCATCCGCAATTGCAAGAGGCGGTCGGGCATTTCCTGTTCGCCCCGCTCCCGGCTGCCGCGATCGAATAATCTGACTTCAATTCCGTTGCTTTCCATCCGATTCCAGAGCTGCCGCATCTCCGGCGGCACCGAGCCCACCGCCAAGGCCCGCTCAATGGGCCGGTCCGCGTGCGCCAGCCGCAGCATGTTGTCGAAGTGCACCCGGATACGATAGCGTGCATTGGGGCCTTCCGAGCGCTCCTCGGCCAAGCGCTGCGCCTCGTGGAAGATGTTCGAGTTGTCCCAATATATGAAGACGCGATCCATGCCGCTTCACCTTCTGGCAAATGAAACGTCGGGTTACGCTTTGCTAATCCGACCTACAGCTTGATACGAAAATAGCTACCGCGACCAGGGATGCGGCAGCCCGGGGATCTTACTGCGCAGCGTGTAAACGGAGGTACGGGCCGTGAAGAACATCGTCTGCCGGTCAGGGCCACCGAACAGCAGATTTGCCGGGATTTCCGGGGTGCGAATGATGCCCAGCCGGGTGCCGTCGGGGGAGAAAACCCAGGTGCCGCCCGGACCGGTGCAGTAGACGTTACCTTCTACGTCCACCTTCATGCCGTCCGGCACGCCGTCGGTTTCCACGGACGACATGTCGGCGAACATCTGCCGACGCGCCATGAGGCCGTCCGACCCGATTTCGATGGCGTGGATGTAGGCGCCCCAGCGCGTATTGGAGACGTACAGGGTCTTCTCGTCCGGCGAAAAGGCCAAGCCGTTGGGATACTCACAGTCCGCCACCAGGGTCATGGCGCCGTCGGGCGCGATGCGATAAACCCCCGAATAGGGGCACTCGCGGTCTGCAAAGGGGACGCGCAGGCCGGGGTCGGTGAAATAAATGCTGCCGTCCGAGGCGCACACCACGTCATTGGGCCGGTTCAGGCGCCGGCCCTCATAGCGCTCGGCAACGGTCTCGACTTGGCCGTCGGCTGCCATGCGGGTAACCCGGCGGTTGCCGCCTTCGCACATGAGCAGGCGGCCTTGCAGGTCGAACGTCGTGCCGTTGCCTTCGCCGGTGTTTTCACGCACCGTTTCCGGTGCCTGTCCTGGCACCAGGCGGTGCAGCCGGTTGTTGGGCAGGTCCACAAAGTAGTAAAAGCCGTCGGGATGCCAGGTCGGCCCTTCCGTAAAGGCAAATCCCGTGGCCAGCTGCTCGGCTTCCGTCGTTGCCAGAATTCTGCTGAGGGGATCACCCATGACAAGTCCTCCTTTCGCTTCGCTTTAATCGTCCATCGGCCAGACCGTGCGGATGGGGTCGGAGCCGTCCCAGTCGCGCGCGGCTTCGGCAATGCGCTGAAACATCCGCCCCTTGGGGCCGCTGATGTCCGAGAGCTCGACCACCGTGCCGGGATGCCCCTCGGTCTGGAAGTAGACGAAGCGTCCCGGGTCCCCGACGCGCCCGGACTGGCCAATGACGTAGCCGGCGTCGAGGGCGCGCGCGAGGTCGGCCTCGAACGTGGTTGTCCAATACGCAACGTGCTGCAGGCCCTCGTGCCCTGCCTGCAGGAAATCGTGGTACATCGACGGCCCGTCGTTGCGTTGCTGGATAAGCTCGATTTGCAAGGTGCCCGAGTTCGCCAGGGCAATCGAGACCTCGGCGGGTGAGGGCGTCCCCTTATAGGTGAAATCCACAATGGGCGCGCGGTCGATGTAGTACCACGGGCCAACGTCCAACACCTCGATCCAGTGCCGCATGGCGGCCTGGATGTCTCGCACTACGTAGCCATTCTGGGTAACGGCTCCAAAGAATCGGCTCATCTGCTTTCTCCTCTACGGTGGCGCCGTATGGCAGGAATTGCCTCGGCAGGAATTGCCTCCGGCAGGAATTGCCTCCGGCAGTGTTGTCGGCTAATGACGGTTTGACCTCCCCGCGGGCAAGCGGTAGACTGCCACCCCTCCCAAACGTGTCTGCTGGCCGCGACGCAACGCAAGCCATTGGCCGCACAAACCAACCCTCGAAGGTGACGGAGTTGCCGCATGGAGAGTGGTATCCATTGGTTCGACTTGGCGATGATTGTGATCTTGATTCTGAGCGGTATCTGGAGCCTGTTTCGGGGTTTCTTGCGGGAAATGCTGTCGTTGCTGGGTTTTGTCGTGGTGGTGACGCTGTCGGTATACGCCTATCCCTACGTGTTCGTTGCCCTGGAGGGGGTCGTCAGTGAAAACTGGGTGCGGCAGGTTGTCGGCATGGCGCTGGTCTTCATCGCCGCGGTGGTGCTTTTCGTCGCCTTCATCAGATTGGGGGCGGTGTTGACCCATGCGATGGGCCTTTCCATTCTCGACCGGCTGTTGGGTTTTTGCTTCGGCTTGCTGAAGGTCGTTGTCTTCGTTTCCCTGCTGTTCCTGGTGGGCAACAAATTTTTGCCCGATCTGACGATCCTGCTGACCCATACGTCCATTCTGGGCCCGACGTTCGGCTACACCGCCAGCCTGCTGGAAAGGACGATCCTGGAGCAAGGTGTTAGCGTCCTTGAGGAGTCGCCCATTATGCCGGAACAACTGCCCGCCCTCCCGGAGTTGCCGGAACTGCCGGAACTGCCGGAGGTCGTCGAGCCGTATATGCCGGACCCGTTCGCCCCGGATGACCCCGCCCCCGACAATGGCGCCCCGGCGCCCGAGGCGCAATAGAGCCGCGCTTCCCGGCTTATTCCTCGGCCTTGGCCGCATCGGTTTTGCTGAAGGTCTGGCGTACTTCCTGATTGGCCTCGATGAGCCGCTGCATGCGCTCCGTCGCTTCCTGCCGCATGAAGTCCTCCACGCACGACAGCACCACGCGACCGGCCAGCGTATTGACGTTGGCAATCTCCGGCAGCGCGTAGGCTTCCGGGTCCTTCTGCATAGCAGCGATGCGCTCGGCGACCGTGTCGTTGTCGTACATCTCCTCGAAGCCGTAGCGATAGCGCAGCCGCACGTAATCCCGCTCCTTCGTCGACTCGCCGTTCGCCTCCTGTTGCACGATGTTTTCCATGTCCATTTCTTCCGGACGCTTGGCGTCGCTGGCGAGGAATCCCTCAATAGCCGCGAAGTAGTTGGTGAACTCGTCCCGATCCAGATCGTCCTGAGGGATTTTGGAGCTGATCTCCAGCTCAACGGCGTCCCCGTTGATGGCCGGCGTGCTGACCTCGTACGTGATGCCGTCGAGGTGGAAGCGGTTCTCGCGCTTGGCCTGGTACTGCGACTGGAACGACTCGATACAACTCGTCACCCCATTGGCAACAAATTGGTGGAATAACTGCTGCCTGAAACCTGACATCCCTTGTACTCCCTATGTGCGAGACCCGCGCGCGGGCCTTGACGCATCGTAACTGCTGCTCCCGCCAACCGCCTGGCGGCGCCGAATCTGCCCTTGCGGCATCCACTCAATGGATACGTTGACTATGGATGGAGTGGCGCCAGTATAGACACGCCCTCCACTCGGCGCAACGCCGAAGCGCGCGCCGTCGCCGTTCTTGACGCTGCTCGCCGGTGTCAATTAGACTGACTGCCTATGACTCTTCTGCGCATAAGCAATATCACCAAGACCTTCGCCGGGGTGCCGATTCTGCAAGATGTTTCCTGGCAGATCGAAGCCGGGCGCAAGATCGGCCTGGTGGGCGTCAACGGCAGCGGCAAAAGCACCCTCCTCAATCTCCTCAGCGGCATGATGAGCGCCGACCGCGGCGCCATCGAAATGGCGCGCCAGATGCGCCTCGGCTACCTCACCCAGGAAATGGCGGCCGAGGGCGACCGGACGCTGTACGACGAGGTGCGCGAGGCGTTCCGCCCCCTGCTGGACATGCAAACGGAGATGACCCGTCTGGAAACGCGCATGGCGCAGCAGCAGGCCGACGACGCCGACATGCAGCGCTACGGGGCGCTGATGGAGGAGTTCAACGCTCGGCAGGGCTATGCCATCCGGGCGCGCGTCGAGGCCACGCTGTCCGGGCTGGGGTTCCGCCCCGAGGCGCTGCAAACGTCGGTTCGGCACCTCAGCGGCGGCCAGAAGAATATCGCCGCCCTGGCCCGCGTGCTCCTGCAAGAGCCCGATCTGCTGCTGCTCGACGAGCCCTCGAACCACCTCGACGTGCAGGCGACGGAATGGCTGGAAGGCGTCCTGCGGGATTATGCCGGCGCCGTCGTGGTCGTGTCGCACGATCGCTATTTTCTCGACCGCACCGTCGATGAGATCGTCGAGCTGGAGCAGCAAAACCTGCAGCGTTATCCCGGCAACTATTCTGCCTATGTGGTCGCCAAGGCGCTGCGCCGCGAGCAGCAGACAAAGGCGTACGAACAGCAACAGGCCGAGATCGAGCGCCACGAGGAGTTCATCCGTCGCAATATGGCGGGGCAGAACACCAAGCAGGCGCAGAGCCGCCAGAAGATGCTGGCGCGCATCGAGCGGCTTGACAAGCCGGGCGGCGACGGCCGCCGTATGAACGTGCAGTTCGCCGCCAACCGGCGTGAGAACCACGAGGTGCTGGTGTGCCACAATCTGCAAAAGCGCTACGGCGACCGCGAGGTGCTGCGGCGCTTGTCGTTTACCGTCTACAGGGGCGAGAAGGTCGGCCTGACGGGGCCGAACGGGGCCGGCAAGAGCACCCTGCTGCGCCTGCTGATGGGCCAGGAAACGCCCGACGGAGGCGCCCTGCACGCCGGCAGCAACATTGCCGTGGCGTATTACGATCAGGAACTGGGCAGCCTGCAAGCGCGCAACACCGTCCTCGACGAGGTATGGCAGGCGGCGCCGGATTGGACGCAGGGCGAGATGCGCAGCCATCTAGGCCGCTTCTTGTTTTCGGGCGATGAGGTGTTGCAGACCATCGGCAGCCTCAGCGGCGGCCAGAAGAGCCGCGTGGCGCTGGCCAAGCTGATGCTGACCAAGGCCAACCTGCTGGTGCTCGACGAGCCGACCAACCACCTGGACATCCCCGCCTGCGAGATGCTCGAGCAGGCCCTGGCCGACTACCCCGGCACCCTGCTGATCGTGTCGCACGACCGCTATTTTCTGGACCGCGTCATCGACCGGCTGCTGCTCCTGCACGATGGCACGTGCACGTCGCACGCCGGCAATTATTCCGATTACCAGGCGGCCATGACGGCCCCGGCGCCCACCCCGGTGGCTAAGGTTCGCAAGAAAGCGCCGCTGCCTCCCCGGCGCCGTGGCGTCAAACGGCGCACGCCGGGCTCCATCGAGCGTGAAATCGCGCAGGTCGAGGCGGAAATCGCCGCTCTGCAGGCCGAATTGGATGCCCGTCACGACCCCAGCGACTGGCAGCAGCTTGCCGACATCAGCAGCCGACAAGGGGACGCCTCGGAACGGCTGCAACAGCTTTTGGAAGAGTGGGAAAACAGCATGGCCATCGAAGAAGGGAGCGTGAGTTGAATACCCCAGATCTGATCATCCTGATCGACGCCGATTACCGGCGCTTGCGGCGTGAACTCAAGGAAGCGGGGCTCGATCTGTGCTACATGGCACAGTCGGATCGACCCGTGCGCCTCAAGTGGTCCCCGGACCTCTTCCAACGAGCGGATTTTCTGCAACATCTGGCGCAACGTCGGCCAAGCGATTCCAGCTACTGCGTGGCGTCGGTGTCCCTCCTCAAGAAAGCCACCTGGTTTCAGCCCGATCAGTTCGCCGTCACCTTCCATGCCGTCGGTGACTTGTACGGTGAGGACCTGGACAAGTATCTGGTCGAACACAACGTGCAGAGCAGCGCCGAGATGTCGCGCGACGTGCTGGCCCGCACGGCTTAGCGGCGTCGCGCGCTGACGCGAGCGGCACTCGCGTCTTAATATGCCCTGTCTCGCTGAGGCTCGCAGGGCTGTGGACAGGCGGCGGAGGCCGTCCCTCATGACCAGCGTTTCTCTTGCTGATTGGATTTCCGGCCTGAGCTTCGAAGCCCTGCCGCGCCGCGTCCGCAGCCGCGCCAAGCTGGCCGTGTTCGACGCCTGCGGCGCGGCGCTGGCCGGCACGCACCATCCGGCGGTGCAGCACGTGCGGCGTCTGATCGCGGACACGGATTCGGCGCCGCAGGTTCGCGTCATCGGCGACCCGTCGCTGCGTGTGAGCCAGCTCGATGCCGCCTGGCTGCTGGGCACCATGACGGACGCCTATCTCTATAGCAACGTTCACGTTCCCAGCGGCGGTCATTTCACCTCGGTTTTGCTGCCGGTTCTGCTGGCTGTGAGCGAGGTTCAAGAGGTCAGTGGGCCGGAAGCGCTGACGGCATACGTCGCCGGCTACGAAGTTGCGGCGCGGCTGGCGGCGGTTGCGGGTTCCGACCGGCAGCGTGGGCACATGACCGCCGTTGCCGGGACGATGGGTGCGACGGCAGCCGCGGGACGGCTGCTGGGCCTGTCGCCCGAGCAGTTGCGCCATGCCTTCGTGATGGCCGCAGGTGAGACGACCGGCGGCGATGACTCGGAGATGCCGAGCGGCCGCGCCGCGCGCCGCGGGCTGCTCAGCGCTGTGCAGGCGGGTCAGGACTTCAACAGCGGCGACGTGAAGACCGGCGAGGAACTGGCGGCTTGGCTGGCGCTTTTTGGGGATGGATCATTTCAGACCGACAGGGTGCTGAAAAGCTGGGGCGACGATTTCGCCCTGGACCGCGCCGAGTTGCACTTCAAGCTGTACCCGACTGACATCGCCGCGCATGGCTTCATCGACGCCGCGTTGGCGCTGCATCAACAGGGCATCGAGCCCGATCAGGTGCGGCGTCTCGTTTGCCGGGTGAGCCCGTCCGCCGCGCCGTCCCTTTCCTTTGCGCCCGCCACGCCACAGCAGGCGCAGCGCAGCCTGCCGTATGCCGTCGCGGTGGCCTTGTGCGACGGCCGGGTGGGCTTGCCGCAGTTCAACCCCTCCCGCGTGTCGGCTGACGAGGTGCAAGCCCTGATGGGGCGCGTCGAGGTGGAGCAGGACGCATCCTTCGAGGCGCTGGACGGTTCTGACCCCTCCGCCGTTTTGCGAGCCGACCTCAACGACGGGCGCAGCCTGATCGAAACCGTCGAACACGCCCGCGGCAGCCCGCAGCGCCCCCCGACGCGTCCCGAGTTCGAGGCCAAGTTTCGCCAGTGCGCCGCTGCCGTATTGTCAACCGAGCGGACGCTGCTCGCGGCGCGCTGCCTGTATCAGCTCGACACCCTGCCGGATCTGCGCGGCTTGGTGGACATCCTCAGTACGGCGCCGCGCTCCTGAGTCCCTATCCCCTTGAACTGGAGGTTAAGATGGCAATCGACATTCCCTTCGGGCAGCCCGTTTCCGTGTTGTCCGACGACCCTGGAGATAGCGCCGCACGCGCCGCACAGGCGCAGGCGGCCTTGGCGGCGGGCGAAATCGACGCGGCGGCTTGCCGCGAACGGCTGAGCGCGATTGCGTCGGCGTATCCCGCCTCGTTGAACGCCTGGGCGACGCTCGGCGAGTTGGCGTTGTCCGATGACGTGGTCGCGGCGTACGCCTTTTTCCGCGTCGGTTACCACCGCGGTCTCGACCGCGCCCGTGCCAGCGGCTGGAACGGCACGCAGCAACTGCGCTGGCAGGACGAGCCCAACCAGCCGTTCCTGCGTTGCCTGAACGGGCTGCGGCAGGCCGCCGAGGCCATCGGCGAGACCGCGGAGGTGACGCGAATCAGTCATTTCCTGCGCGACCTCGACCCCGACCACCCGTTGGACTCGTAACGCACCGGCCCGTGCGCGAACGCCGAGGCGAGGCTTTATGACGACCCTAGAGGATGTCATTCTGGCGCAGGACAGGAGGGGCGTTGCGGCTCTGCGGCAGTATCTTCCGGTCGACTTCTGCGAGTCGGCGGCGCGGTTTCTGCTGCAGCACACGGGAACGGTGCTGATTGCCACCGGCTTCTACGTCCAGCGCGCCGCCGCGCCCGAAACCGACGGCCCACCGGGAGCGCTGGCTCTGGGGCGGGCGCTGGCAGCCCTCGGCAACCGCGTGGTGTACGTCAGCGACGTTTACACCGTGCCCCTGCTGGCCGATCTGGCCTCGGCGATACGGAAACAATAGACTTCCCCATCACCGACGATGCCGCCAGCCGTCAGGCTGCCCGCGACCTGCTTGACCGTATCGCGCCAACCGCTCTGGTCGCCATCGAACGCTGCGCCCTCACCCGCAGCGGAACCTACCTGAACATGCGCGGCCAGGACATCTCCCTGCACACCGCCAGATCGACCACCTTTTCCTGCAACATCCGACACACCGTCGGCATCGGCGATGGCGGCAACGAGATCGGCATGGGAAACTTGGCGCCTCGCATCCCCGAGGTGGCCACCCTGCCCAACGACCCTGCCGTCACCCGCACGACCCACCTGGTCATCGCCAGCGTCGCCAACTGGGGCGCCTATGGCGTGGTGGCCGCGTTGTCTCGCCTGACAGGCCGAAACCTACTGCCGCGGCCTGCCGACGAGTCGGCTGCATTCGTCGATTGGTCTCACTAGGGGCGGTGGACGGCGTGACCGGCGCCGCCGATTACACGGTGGACAGCTTCAATCTGTCCGAAAATACGACGGTCCTTGACCGGCTGAACGGTCTGGTGGAGGTCGAGGGGATTCGGCGGGAAGGCGCGGCAGGGCAGGGTCTGTAGCGGCCCAAAGCGTTTCGTTCTCTGTGGAATCGAAAGTCCGTCAAAGCCTGATCTTGCGATACGACCTGTTTATAGACTAAATTCAGTCCGAAAAGGAGGTGACGTCCATGAAACTGTCCAGACAGATCAAGCCGATCAGTTACCTTAAAGCCCATGCCGCCGAGATTGTGCGCACGCTCGGGACCCAAGGGGAACCCCTGGTCATTACCCAGAACGGTGAGGCCAAGGCGGTCATGCAGGATATCGGAAGCTACGAGCAGACACAGGAAACCATGGCACTGCTCAAGATCCTCGCGCTGGGGGGCCGTCAGATCGAAGCGGGTCAGGTGCAACCCGCTGCCGACGTGATCGCGCGGCTCCGGGAGCGGCAGCAGGCTCGCTGATGTCATTCCTGGTTCAGCTGACCGATGACGCGACGCGCGACTTGGAGGAGGTCTGCGATTACATCGACCGGAACGATGCGCCGGGCCGGGCGGATTACGTTCTGAATCAGATCGAAAAGGCGCTTCGGAGCCTATCTGAGCATCCCCGACGCGGCAACTACCCGAAGGAACTGCTGGACCTTGGAATTCGAGAGTATCGCGAGCTCTTCTTCGGGCCTTACCGTATCATCTACCGCGTGATCGAAAGCAATGTCTACGTGCTGGTCATCGCTGATGGACGGCGTGACATGCAGTCGTTGCTGCAGCGGCGCTTGCTGCAGGCATAGGGACAGCTTCCGTTGGCCAGCGCCGCCTGGTCGGCTACTTCTGATAACCCCAACCCCGTGTATGTCAATTCGTGCACACTAGCCCGTGCGGGCTCGCCTGTGACCGCTTTTAGATGTTCGCAACGCTGAGCGATCGAGACCCATTTGAACAGTGATAACTGTCGTGCCGGATTGCCTAGCTATAGCTAGCTCCTGAACGTCCTGCCACCTCGGTAGCCACAATCATGCGCATGCCGGTATGTATGACAAAGCTAAGCATGCCCTCTTCACCAGTAAGCCCTCGGTTTGGCTTGACAACCATCAGCATATCGTCATCGACATCCATAATGATGGCAGGGTTGTTGTCAATTAGCATGACATGAGTGTTATCAACAAGAAAATACTGGAAAATCCATGGTTCACCTCCGAATTTTTCTCCCTCACTCCATCCCTCATCGGGGGTTAGTTGTAGCCCATCAGGCGCGTAAATCCCGGTCCTGAACGCCTTTATATGCTCGTCTTCGCATACGGCCTGAAATGGAGGCATGGCACTCGCTAATTTCGGCAATAGCATCACAGTAGAGGTGAGCAAGAGGGCAGTGATTAGTTGTTTGACCGCCCTACGCTGCACATCATGTTCCATCTCGACCATTAGTTTTCTCTCAGTTCTAGGGTGGCAAGGCGTCAACGGTTCCTCTATCGACACCATTCAACAACTTACGATAAGAGCAATTATGTCACCTTTAGCCAAGACTTCACGCTTCCTTCGGAATGGTCATGCTTGAGACACGGATAACTATTGCCCTTGTAGTTCTCGCGGTTGTAGCACTTATTGGCGGTTTCTTTAACGCACCGGAGCCTGAAGCAAAAAACGTTTTGCACACAGTGTCTATGGGGTTCGTGGTAAGTGTCATTTTTTACTTTATCGTTGTGTGGGTCCCAAGGTGCCGACAGAAACGCCGACTACTGCGCCGCCATCTGCAAAAGCAATACGATGCCTTTAGATTGAGGTGTATACATGAATTTTTGATCGCGAATGGATCGTCACAAAGACATTACCCTGGGCGACGACAGAGGAGAGCACTCCTGCAGAGGAATGAGTTCTGTCGCTTTTTCCGTACCGTCCAAATAAACGACGACGGCCAAACTCGCTGGGATGTCGTAATGGAAACACTCGATGATGATACATATGGAACCCTTAAAGATATCTTGCATGAGTGGAAATCTGAGGGAATTTAGAGGGTGAATAAGCTGGGGATAAGATATATATGCTCTTAATCATATTGATATTCATGACGACGAAGTGTTTGAATTTTTACAGCATCTGTCTCATGTCATCCTTTGCGTTAAAGATGTCGATCCAAGAACATATTATCGAAATGCAGACATGAGGAGGCTGGAAGGAACTCTTTTTACGATTTTTACGGGCTGGAGTATCACCACAGGATTTCAGAAGGAAGACATCATCCAATCCATGATCGAACGAATCTGAATCCAACTAATCAGGTTCAACTTCCGATAAGGGGGGTTATGTCACCTTACACCTTTCCGCACATAGGGAAGGCCAACATTATCCCAAACTATGGGGATTTCATTCCCGGTACATGATTCGGAGCATGATCTAATACATCGCGAAAGGGCTTCCCGCTGCTGTGGTCGTGTCAGCGCTCGACAGGCATCTAAAGCCGTCTCAGTGATTCTATACTCGGGTACATCCTTTGCAATCAAAGCGCTCGGCGTCAGCCTCGGCTTTCCCTCGGGGCATCCTACGACATTCAGCACTTTGACAAACAGGACACTCGCATTTCTTAGGTACATTCGGATTCATAGTTTGTCTCCTCTCCGAACTTCTAATAACCCCCAACTAAGGATGGCATGCAACTGTGATGAAGAGCTGGTTCGTCGCTAGTTTAATGGTCGTCGTATTGTCGGGTTGCGCGGATATCTACTCACCGCGAAGCTACTCTGATGCTCCCGTCCCACTTGCGCCAATCATTTCACATCAAGGTCAAAAAGTTTACAGCGCGGATGAATGTGTGGGCGCTGTAGTCAACGGAGTATGTCACGGCACAATCATCCCGAAGACGGGTTATCACAAGACGTGCTATGGAGAAATGTTGTTTGGCCGTTGTACTGGCCCGATGTTCTGATAAGACCATTATATGTAAACTTTCGTATGCGCTGAAACCCGCATAGATAATGGCTTTGCGCGTTTCGTCGGATACGCCGAGGCGAATTCCCCACCGGAAAGGGCGATTTTGGCCGTTTCGGGCGAAAACGGTGGGGCGGCTATGAACCTGAAGGGCTTTCCTGCACCCCTCAGTGGGGTATTCGTGGGAGTTTCGCGGCGTCGTGCTTCAGACCGGACGCGGGTCGCGGACACTAGCAGCGGCCCGGAAACGGCAGGGATTTCCCGCTTCAGGGGGAGGGCAACGCCGCCGTCACGACAGGTAAGCCCGCAGGAATACCGCTCACGTCCAGGGCAGGAACACGGTGGCGCCTGTGGTCTCCCTCGCTTCGAGCGCCCGGTGTGCCTCGGCGGCCTCCGAGAGCGGGTAGACGTGGTTCACGGCGGGCCGCACGACTCCCTGCCCGAGGACTCGAACAGTTCTTCCCCGCTGCGCTCCAGGGCGTCGCGCGTTCCGAGGTAGTGCATGATGGCGGGACGGGTGAGAAAGAGGGAGCCGCGCGCGCCGAGCTCGATGACGTCAACGGGGTCGGGAGGGCCCGGAGGCGTGGCCGTAGCTCGCCATCATGCCGAGCGGGCGCAGGCAATCGAGCGAACGGCGGAACGTGTCCTTGCCGATCGATTCGTAGACGACGGCGCAGCCCTCGCCGTTCGTCACTTCGCGGACGGTGGCGACGAAATCCCCCTCGCCATGGATGACGACGTGCTCCGCCCCGGCCGCGCGTGCCTGTTCCGCTTTCGCCGCCGAGCTCACGGTGCCGATGACGATCGCCCCGAGATGCTTCGCCCACTGGCAGAGGAGCAGACCCGTGGCGCCCGCCGCGGCGTGGACGAGCACGACGTCGCCCCGCTCCACGCGATACGTCCGCCGCACGAGGTATTGCACGGTCAGGCCCTTGAGCATCGAGGCAGCGAGAATGCGGTCGTCGAGATGGTCGAGGGAGGCCGGCACCTTGAGGAGATTCGCCGCCGGATAGTTGCGCACCTGGCTGTAGGCGCCGTGGGGCGGCAGCGCATAGGCGACCCGATCGCCCGCTGCAAACCCGGTGACGCCGGGTCCGACCTCCTCGACGCGGCCGGCGCCCTCGAAGCCGAGCACGACCGGCAGCGGCGGCACCGGCCACGGGTGCGGTATGCCGCGGCGGTGATAGGTATCGACGAAGTTGAGCCCGACCGCCTCATTGCGCAGCCGAACTTCGCCGGGGCCGGGCGCCGGTATGTCGATGGACTCCCAGCGCAACACCTCGGGCGTGCCCTTCTCGTGGATCACCGCTGCCATCGGCATCGCTTGCTTTCCTCCTGCGTTATAGAACCCCTTCGCCGGGCCGAAAACCTCGGCTTCAGGGCGTGGTGGCGCGCATCGAGCCGGGGTGCCCAGGCAGCGCCAGCCTGCGGCCCGTATCGACGATCTGACCGTCCTGCACCTTGAACACGCTGACGTCGGCATCCAGCAGGTTGGCGACCAGCAGCCAGCGGCCGTCCGGGCTGAAGGCCAGCGCTTCGGGGACGCCGCCGGCCGGGAGTTCTGCCACGTGGCGTACGCCCGAGTCGCTGATCTCGAACACCTGGATGCAGCCCGGGCTGCGCAGAAACCAGGCGTCCGGCGGCGCGTCGCTGCCGCACAGATTTGCCGGTCACCGCCAGGCGGCTATCCGGGCTGATGGTGATGCCCTCCGGCGCGTCGCCCGCCGCCAGGTGGTCGATGACGCGCGGCGGGTTGTGCTGCAAGTCGATCACGGTGATCGAGTCGATGTTTCCGTCGGAGCGCCCGTTGTTGCCGGTGTTGGCCACGATGGCTAGGCGCCCGTCGGGGGTGATGTCGGCGTTGTACGGGTAGTCGCCAACCGCCAGGTCCGGTCCAACGAGGGTAATCTCAGTGCCGTCGATGGCCAGAAACGACACCTGGTCCGTGCTGGCCTTGTTGATCATCGCGCGTTTGCCGTCCGGCGTGAACGCCACGTGGGTGACCTGATCGCCCGTCTCCACCTTGCCCTCGAAACGCACCTGCTTGCCCGCGATGCTGAGCACCGACACGGATGTCTCGGCGCGGTTGGCGACGAGCGCCATACGCCCGTCTGGGCTGATGGCCATGCCGGAGGGCTGGCTGCCCACGGTGAGGGTGTCGATGACCCGCGGCGGGTCCGCCTCCAGGTCGATGACGTGCAGCTTGTCGCTGGGCATGAACTTGGGTGGCGAGGCGTCGGGATCGATCATTACGGCTTCCGCCACCAGCGCCAGGCGGTTGTCCGCCGTGACGGCCAGATTGGTCGGCGGGCCAAAGATGCTGTTCGGCACCTCAACGGTGGCGCGCAGCGTCGGGCCGTCCGGGCCGATGTCGATGATGGACACGGATTGCATGCCCTGCGGGTCGATCTGCAGCTTGCCGTCGACAACCAGGGCCTTGTTGTCGTTGCCCGCGATGACCACCTGCGCCAGCGGGGTCGAGGGGAATTGGACGGCCAGCACAACGGCCAGCGGCGCCAGCAGCCAACGAATGCTTGGAATGGTTCTCATGGTGGTGGGACTCCTCCAGCAAAATGCCGCGTGATGTTTTCTTTGGGGTCGTTTCAGGGCAGCGATTATAGCACGCCGGGGTGCGGTCGCCTCTGGCGGTTGGCATCCCTGTCCCCTATGATGGGCGCTTCCTTCGTTACCGAATGGGGCACTCATCACAGAAGGGGGAACGTATGGATCGGGTAGCTGCCGCGGCCGACTTCCTGGCGGAGTTGCGGCGTACACGGAGCGTTGCGGAGGCGCTGCCGGAAACCTGCCGACCGGTGGAAGCGTCCGAAGCCTACGCCGTGCAGGCCGCCCTCGTCGAGCGGCTCCTGGCGCCGTCGCACGGGCACGCGGTGGGCTACAAAGTGGCGTGCACCAACAAGTTGGCGCAAGACCTGCTGCGCGTCGACGGACCGTTCTGCGGCCGGCTGTTGTCACCGACGGTCTATGCGGCGCCGGCCCGCCTGTCCGCCGGTGACTTCGTGCATCGCATCCTCGAAGCGGAATTCGCTTTCGAGATGGCCGACACGGTGCCTGCAGCCGCCGAGCCTTACACCGCGGAGTCCATTGCCCCCTTCGTGCGCGCCATCCTGCCGGCTATCGAGATCGTCGATTGGCACTACGTGGACTGGACTGCGGCCGGGGCGCTGTCGCTGATTGCCGACAACGCCATCCACGGCGCCTGGATCGCCGGTGAGCCGTACGCGGCATGGCGCGATCTGGATTTGGCCACGCACGAGGTGCGGCTCATCGTCAACGGCCAGGTCATCACACAAGGCAACGGCGCCGCGGTGCTGGGGCATCCGCTCAACGTGATGGCGTGGCTGGCTAACGAGTTGCCCAAATACGGCAGCGCCCTCAAGGCCGGCGACCGGGTCAGCACCGGCGTGTGCACGGACGTTTACGGGGGGAAGGCCGGCGACCGCGTGCGGGCCGATTTTGGCGTCCTGGGTGGGGTGGATCTGGTCTTCGATTAGCCGGGGGGAATGGGTGCGCGTCACGGTCGCAAGCTGCGGCATTCTACTTGCCTTGCTGGTTTTCAACGCCTTTAGTCCCCTGGCGGCGCAGGAACGCCCGCAAATCCCGTCCGAATCACGGCAGGAAGCGTTGTGGCAATACGCGGTGAGGCTCGGCAAGGGCAACGGCCTCATTGCGCGGCCCGCCATCCGCCTGGTGGAACTCGACAAGGGCGCCGCCATGGCCGACCTTCGGAAGGGCGAGGTGCACCTGCATCCGGTGCACGCTTTTTCCGGTGTGCCGCGCATCGTCGAGCTTTATCTGGCGCACGAATACCTGCATTTCGTGCTCTACTACAAGGGCATGCCCGCTGCCGTGCAGCACTGCTGGATGGCCCGCAAGCGCATCGAAAACACGCTGACGTTCGATTTTCTCGACCGCATCGGCCAGCACGGCACACTGCGGCGCTCCATGCTCAAGCACGCCACCTTCATTTCCTGGAAGTGGCGCCAGCAGTGCCAGGAAACCAGCGGCTGGTGGCACCCCCGAGTCTTGCGCCAAGGAGTAGACGTACCGCGCTTGGCGAACTGAAGTGGCTTCATCTGGAGGACCGAACAGATGGATGATGTCCTGACCCTGACCCAGATCGAGGCGCAATTCGCGTCGGAGTGGGTGCTCGTAGAAGATCCGCAGACCAATGAAGCCCTGGAAGTGCAGAGTGGCAAGGTGCGCTGGCATAGCAAGGACCGAGATGAGGTCTATCGCAAAGCTGTGGTGTTGTGCCCCAAACGATTTGCCATTCTGTATACTGGGACAATGCCGCAAGGCACGGCAATCGTCTTATGAGTTTCCCCTTCGATCCTCAACAGGGATTGATCACTGTCCGTGCAGAGTTGTGGGGGCCGACTGGCAGCGCCGTACTCCGTCTCGCCATCGACACTGGAGCAACGGGCACGGTAGTTAACGTCGGTATGTTGGTTGCCATTGGCTACGACCCGGCATTGGTGCCAGACCGCGTCCAAGTGACCACGGGAAGCGGTGTTGAGTTTGCGCCACGCGTCGTGCTCGACCGGATCATGGCTTTCGGTCTCGATTTCTTTTCTGGGCGGTGTTTGACTATTGATTTTCATGCTGGACACGTAACATTTACCTGAAAGCGTTAAAACGCGAGGCATTTCAGGTCTTTTTTGCACCGGCAGGGCGTCGTCGGAATACTGGGTCGCCTTGGGCCCCTGCGCCATCGGATCGTACAGAGGGAAGAATGGAGAGAACTGACTATGGCATACGAGTTTGCGACCTATGAGAAAAAAGGCCGCATTGCGACCGTGACGATCAAGCGCCCGGAACGCATGAATGCCCTGCATCCGCCCGCCAACCTGGAGCTTCACGAGATCTGGAACGACTTTCAGAACGACCCCGAGGTATGGATCGGCATCCTCACCGGCAGCGGCGACAAGGCGTTCTCGGCGGGCAACGATCTGAAATACACGGCGGAACACGGCCTGGGCATGGTGCGCGTCGGCGAGAGCGGCTTCGGCGGCTTGGCCAAGCGCACGGATTGTTGGAAGCCGATCATCGCCGCGGTCAATGGCTTCGCGCTCGGCGGCGGCTTCGAGATGGCATTGTCGTGCGACATCATCATCGCCGCCGATCACGCCCGTCTCGGCCTGCCCGAGCCGCGCGTCGGGCTGATGGCGGGCGCCGGCGGGGTGCACCGGCTGCCGCGCATGATGCCGCAGAAGATCGCCATGGGCTACATCCTGACCGGTCGCCACATGACGGCGCAGGAAGCGCACCGCTGGGGCATCGTCAACGAGGTGGTGCCGCTCGCCGACCTCATGCCCACCGTCCACCGCTGGGCGCAGGACATCCTGGAGGGCGCGCCGCTGTCCATCCGGGCCAGCAAGCAGGCGGCGATGATGGGGCTCGGCCATCCGCTGGATATTGCCCTCAACCTGGAGTATACCCAGAGCACCGCCATGCGGCGTTCCGAGGACGTTGTCGAGGGGCCGAAAGCCTTTGCCGAGAAACGCAAGCCGAACTGGAAGGGCCGCTAAGGCGCCCCCGCTGCGAGAGGAACGATGAGCGATTTGCTGCTTCCCACCACCGTCGTCGGCAGCCACGCCTATCCGGGCTGGTTCTTCACCGCCCTTGAGGAAATCGAGCAGGGCCGCTATGGCAGCACCGATGCCCGCGAGGCCGTGGACGACGCGGTCAACGCCGCCATCCTGGACCAGGAGCGCGCCGGCGTGGACATCATCTCGGACGGCGAAATGCGCCGCTGGTACTTCGTACAGAGCTTCTACCGCCGCATGGAGGGCCTCGAGCGTCTGCCGGAGCTACGCAAGACGGGCGTTTACGGCTACGACATGCCGCCGCGCTACCGCCCGGTCGAGCCCGTGACCGTGCCGCAGGGGGTTGGGCATCGTCGAGGAGGTGCGTTATGCCCGCCAAGTCGCGCGGCACCCCCTCAAGGTGACCTGTCCGGGTCCCCTGACCCTGAGCATCCACATTCAGACCCGTGATCAGTCGTTTTACAAAGACCGCTTGGAGTTATGCTGGTCCTTCGTGCCGGTGATCAACGCCGAGCTCAAGGCACTGGTGGCCGAGGGGGTTGACTTCCTGCAGATCGACGAGCCCTCGTACGCCATCGTCCCCGGTACGGCCAAGGACTACCTCGACCTGTACAACGCCACTGTCGCCGGGGTGGAGGCCAAAATTGCCTTGCACGTGTGCTTCGGCAATCTGGGCAGCCGGCCGCGCGGCCCGCGGCGATACGCGCCGCTGTTTCCCACCTTTCACGAGGCGCGGGCGGATCAGTTCGTGCTGGAGTTCGCCAACCGCGAGATGAAGGAAATCGAACGCCTCAAGGAGTTTTGCGACGGGCGCGAGGTGGGGCTGGGCGTCGTGGACGTGAAGTCGTTCTACGTGGAGCCGGTGGAGGAGATTGCTGAGCGGATTCGCGAGGGCTTGCAGCACATCGGGCCTGAAAAGGTGTTCATCAATCCCGACTGCGGATTTTTCCAACTGCCGCGCTGGCTCACCGTGCTGAAGCTGCGGCGCATGGTGGAAGCTACCCAATTGGTACGGCGTGAGCTGACCGGCGGGTAGGGAATTTTCGTGTCATGTAGGTCGGATTAGCGAAGCGTAATCCGACATTCCACTGAGACGAGACGCAGAACCTACCTGAAGATCAGGTCCTTCAAAATCATCCCAAGAAAGCCGAAGGCAATGAAGAAGTAGAGACCCACTAACCAGGAGCGTATTTGCGCGACGCTCTGATTCAGATCGTTGAAGCGTTGATTGACGCTCTGGTTCAGATCGCCAAAGCGTTGGTTGACGCTTTGATTCATGTCATCGAAGCGTTTATCAATTTGCTCGAAGCGTTTATCAATTTGCTCGAAGCGTTTGTCAACCTGCTCGAACCGCTCATGGATGGCGCTGATCGCAGCGCGCAGTTCAACGACGTCCGCCTTAGTTGCAACCTGGGCGGCAATTGCCGTACTCAGCACCTCATCGAGTTCTTCAACGAGAACCTGTGCCTGGGTCTCAGGCATGCCGCTGTCCGACAGCTTGGTTTTCAGTCTGAGTGTGTCAACGACGGGCATTGCATGACTCCTCGGACGACTGCAAAAGTCTGGCAGATCACTCTATCACAGAGATGTGTTGGGAAATCACCGCATCGGCTCGAACACCAACGGGTAATGCTTGAGGCCGCGGAAGAACGGGTTGTCGACGCGCTCGATCATCCCGCTCGGCTCCGGCTCCACGCGGTGCATGCGGTGCAGGATCGTTTCGGTGGCGACGCGCGCTTCGAGGCGGGCCAGCGGGGCGCCGAGGCAGAAGTGAATGCCGATGCCGAATGCCAAGTGACGGTCGATCGGGCGTTCAATGTCGAAGCGATCCGGATCGGGGAACACTTCCGGGTCGCGATTGGCGGAGGCCCAGAGCAGCAGGACTTTGCTGTCGGCGGGGATCGTCACGCCCCGGACGTCGACCGCTTCCGTGGTGGTGCGAAAAGTGCCCTGGATGGGTGAATCGTAGCGCAGCACTTCCTCGATCATGCCGGGGATGAATTCGGGCTGTTGGCGCACCTTCAGGCCCTCTTCGGCGTTCGTGAAGAGTGCCAGCGCGCCGTTGCCGATCAGGTTGGTGGTGGTCTCGTTGCCTGCTACGAGCAGCAGCAGGCAGGCGTTGAGAAGCTCGCTCAGGGTAAGCGCGTCGCGTTCTTCCTGCGCCTGCACCAGCGCCGATACCAGATCGTCCCGCGGTGCGCGGCGACGCGCCTCGATCATCTCCACGGAGTAGGCCTTGAACGCCTCCCAGCTCTCCATGTACTGCGCCATCCGCGTTTCGTTCTGTCCGGCGGCCACGATGTGGATCACGTCGTCGGACCAGCGCTTGAAGTCGTCCCGGCGCTCCGGGTCAACGCCCAGCATCTCGGCAATGACGATCACCGGCAGCGGATAGGCCAGGTCCTGAACCAGATCAAACGCCCCCTTGCCAATCACCGCATCCAGTAGTTCGTCCGTGATCGCCCGGATGCGCGGTTCCAGTTGCGACACCATGCGCGGCGTAAACGCCTTGCTGACGAGCTTGCGCAACCGCGTGTGCTCCGGCGGGTCCTTGGTAATCATGGACACCCCCTCTTGGCGGTCCGGTCCGATACCCTGAGCCGAGGAGAAAATCTCGGGCCGCCGCGCTGCCCACTCGACGTCCGCGTAGCGGCTCAGCACCCAGAAATCCAGTTCCGCATTGTGATACACCGGATGCTCGCGCCGCAGCCACTCGTAGGCGGATACGGATTTCCTTCACCTCGGGCACAAACGGGTTGTACGTCTGTATGGCGGCCATCGTACCTCACTCCCCTTTCAGGTGGTCTTTTTCGGCTTGATCAGCCACGCGCCGAGCGCCGGCAGCAGCACAATGGCGCCGATCATGTTGACGAGGAACATGAACGTCAGCACCGTGCCCATGTCGGCCTGCAGCTTGAGCGGCGCCACGATCCAGGTTGCCACGCCGGCCGCCAGGGTGAGGCCGGTCAGCACCACCGCGGCCCCCGCGGTGGCAAGGGTCCGCACGTAGGCGGTCGCAAAGTCGAGGCCCTCCGCCAAGTGGAGACGCAGCTGCCCGTATATATAGATGCCGTAATCGACGCCGATGCCGATACCGAACGCCACCACCGGCAGCGTCGAGACCTTCAGCCCGATCTCCAGCGCCGCCATGAGCGCATAGGCGAGCAGCGAGACGGCGGCGAGCGGCACGACGATGCACACCGTTGCCGTCAGCGAGCGGAAGAAGATCAGGCACAGGATGATGACCGCGGCGTAGACGTAGCCGAGAATCGGGAACTGCGAGGCTGAGACTTCCTCGTTGACCGCAGCCATGACGCCGACGTTACCGGAAGCGAGACGGAAGAGGATGTCCTCGTTCGGGTTGGCGGCGTTGAACGCCTTGACCGCGTCGACGATGCGCTCGATGGTCACGGCCTTGTGGTCCGCGGTGTAGACCATTACCGGCATGGCGCTGCAATCGGCGTTGAGCAGGCCGCTGCCGGTCGGCACGTACGTTCCGGTCTGCGCCAGCACGTATGGGTCGCGCGGCACGGTCCGCCATTTGAAGCTGCCTTCCTTGAGGCCGGACGCGACCTTGCGAACGGCGCCGCTCAGCGCTGCCACGGATTGCACGCCCTCCACGTTGCGCAGGTGCCACTCGAAGCGGTCCAGGGTGTTCATTACCTCGTAGTCGATGCAGCCTTCCGACTTGGTTTCCGCGATGACCGTGAAGACGTCGACGCCGATCTCGAAGCGCTCGACGATGGCCGCGGTGTCAAGGTTGTACGTGGAGGTTGGGCGCAGTTCCGGCACGCCGTGGTGCTGGTCGCCGATGCGCACCATCGGCGCATAGGAGGCGCCGACGATCATCAGGACGACGGCCAGGCCGATAGTGACGAGCGCCGGGCCGCGCCGCGCCAAGCCCGCAAAACGGGCCCACAGCGGCGCCAGGCGGCGGTCGCGTTCAAGGGCCGCCTCGCGCTGCCGGGCGCCGATCGTGACGTAGGAGAGCAGCACCGGCAGGAGTCCCAGATTGGTGAGGATGATGGCGGCAACGCCGAGGCTGGCGGCGATGGCAATTTCCTGAATCACCGGCACCGCAATGAGCGAGATGGTCACGAATCCTACGGTGTCGGAGGCGAGCGCCACGGCACCGGGCAACAGCAGGCGGCGCAGGCTGTTGCGCGCGGCGGTGAGCGGTTCAGCGCCGCCAATCGCTTCGGCGCGCACCGCGCTGACCATCTGCACGCCGTGACTGACCCCGATCGCAAACACCAGAAAGGGCACGAGGATGGATATCGGATCGATGCCGAAGCCGAGACCGACAAGCGCGCCGAGCTGCCACACCATGGCAATCAGGGCGCAGGCGAGCAGCATGGCGGTGAAACGCAGGGAGCCGGTGTAGACGTAGACGAATAAAGCCGTGATTGCGAAAGTAATAACGAAGAACAGCACGACGCGTACCGCGCCCGCCGCGATGTCCCCCACCACCTTGGCGAAGCCGATGACGTGCAAATCCGCGATGGGTTCGCCCCCGTCCGGCGCGCTCGCCTCGGCGCGAATGCGTTCGAGTTCCGCTGCGACGTTGAGGTAGTCGAGCTTCTTCCCGGTGTTGGGGTCGAATTCCTGCAGCTTGGCGCTGACCAGGGCGCCGGAAAAGTCGTTGGCGACCAGGCGGCCGACGACACCGGCCTTGATGACGTTCTCGCGCACCAGCGCCAGGCTTTCGTCGGTTGGCTCGAAATCCGCCGGCAGGACGTCGCCGCTCATGAGGCCGTCCTCGATCACCTCGATGAAGCGCACGTTGGGGGTGAGGATGGAATAGACCTGGGTGCGGTCGACGCCGGGCAGGAAGAACACGGCGTCCGTCACTCGGCGCAGCAAGGCGAAAAACTCGGGCGTGAACATGTTGCCGTCGCGTGCCATCACCGCCACGGCTACACGGTCGGCGCTGCCGAATTCGTCGCGATACTCAAGGAAGGTCTGCATGTAATCGTGTTCGACCGGCAACAGCTTGGTGAAGCCGGCGTCCACGCGCAACCCGGTGGCCAGCCACGCCAGCGCCACCGTGACCACCACGAAGACGGCGAGGGTCACGAGGCGGCGGCCGAACACCAGACGGTCGATGAAGGTGGCGATGGGATGCCCGTTTCCGCTTGTCGCTGCTGCCGCCATTACGCCCGCCTATTCGATTTCGGAAAGGGGTTCGACCCCGGATTCCCCGACCAGCACGACGCTGCCGTCGGCTGTTGCCAGGGCGGTGGATATGCCTTGCCGCGAGGGTAGGGTCCGGTACGAGACGCTGAGACCGTTGTCGCGGCTGGTCAGAAGGGCACCGGCGAGGCCGGTGATCAGGATCAGGTCGGGGTTCACCTGCACGAGGTCGGTCAGCGTTGCGGTTGTGCCGGTTTCGATCTGCGTCCAGCTTTCGCCCGCATCCTCGGAACGGAACAGGCGGCCGCGAAGCCCTGCGACGAGCACCGTATCCGCGTCCAGGGCCAAGGCGCCGAACCATGAGCCGCTGTAGGGTGAGGGCAAGGCGCGCCACGTCTCGCCGCCATCGTCGGAGCGGTACAGAACGCCCGCCTCACCGGCGAGAAAGAGCCGGTCGGGTCCGGCCGGTGCAATGGCGTTAAGGTGGAAATCGTCCTCGAAGTCACTACCTGCGGCATGAAGCAGCGGCGGTCCGCTCTCTCCCTCGTCGTCTTCCCAGCAACCGTTGCGGCAGGTCCAGGTGTCGGCGCCGTCCGCGGTGGCGATGAAGGTGCCGAAAGCGCCCACCGCGAAGCCGTTGTCTGCGTCGCGGAACCAGATATCGAGCAGCGGTAGTTGCGCTTGCGGCGCGTAGTGAGCCAGTTGCCACGTCTCGCCGCCGTCGCGCGTGCGCAGGATGACCGCGTCGTGCCCAACCGCCCAGCCCGATTGCGCGTCTTGCATGCGCACCGCCGTCAGCATGACTGCACCGGCACCCGCGCCTGCGTCCAGGTCTCCCCGTCATCATCGGAAAACAAGATATGACCGCGTTCGCCGACCACGACCAAGCGCGACCCGGCCGCCGCTCCGTCAAGCAACAGCGAGGTCGCGGCAAGCCGAGACTCGACCGCCGGCATCTGGGCCGCCGCGGGTGCAACCAGCGCCGCGCAGACGGTCAGGACGAGCCACAGCCCGAGGCGTCCGCCACACGCGAGCAGAGCGGTTTCCCTTCGCCGCCCGGCCAAAATCAGCGCCGGCCTTCGCGGCGCAGGGCCGCCGGGGTGAAGTCGCGTGACTTTGCCACCACGTCCTGCGTGCACATGGGGAATTCGTTGTCGAGGCCGAGGGCGAGGTAGCGTCCGGCCTGCAGGTCGGTGTGCACCTCAAGCGTCGACCAGATCAGCGGCTTTTCGTAGTAGTTGATGACGTGCGCTTCCGACACCCGCCAGAGCTCGTCGCGGTTGTCGTAGATGTCGGCCAGCATGATCTGCCAGGAATCCTCGTCGATGTAGAGGGTGCGCCGGTTGTAGATGTGCCGTGCGCCCTCCTTGAGGGTGGCCTCGACCACCCACACCCGATGCAGCTCATAGCGCAGGTGCGCCGGGTTGACGTGCAGCGGGGTGAGGACGTCGGCGAAGGTTATCTGGTCGCTGTGCAACTCGTAGGCGTTATACGGCACGTAGATTTCGCGCTTGCCGACAAGTTGCCAGTCGTAGCGGTCGACGGCGCCGTTGAACATGTCGAACTGATCGGCGGTGCGCAGCCCGTCCGTGGTGGTGCCCGGGTTGTCATAGGCGACGTTCGGCGCCCGCCGCACCCGGCGCTGGCCGGGGTTGTAGGTCCAGGCGTTGCGCGGCTCGCGTACCTGGTTCATGGTCTCGTGCACCAGCAGGATGTCGCCCGCCAACCGCGCCGGCGCCAGCACCTTCTGCTTGAACAGGATCATGGTGTTGTCGAGGTCTTCCTCGGTCATGCCCGGCAGCGAGTAGCGCATCTCGATTTCGAGGTCGTACTTGACGACCGTGTAAGCGCCGCCGCGTGTCACCGCGGCCTGGCCGATGGTGCAGGCGATTGTCTCGCCCCGGTAGCGCAGCAGGTGGTTCCAGACGGCTTCCAGGCCGTTGGACGGGATGGGGAAGGGGATGCCGATCACCGCACCGCCGACGCCGTTGCCGTCGTCCACCAGATTCGCGGTAGCAGCGATATTCCGGGTGGCGTCGTAGATGCGCTGCGGCGCCGAGGCGCTGCGCCGGGTCGGATAGACCTGCATCTCGAAGGACGGATAGGTTTCCAGCATGCGCTGGTGCCCGACCGACAGTTTGTCGCGGTGCTCGTCGAGGTTGGCGGCGTTGATGACGAAGAGCGGCTGGTCGCCGCCGTACGGGTCGCGGTGATGCTCGCCGACGACGTAGCCGTCCGGCGGCGTGGTGATGCCGCCGGTCCATTCCGGGATGGTGCCGTCGGCGTTGCCCGCCCGCTCGCCGCCGAGGGGCGTGAGGTCGTTGCCGAGCCGCGCGAGTTGTTCCTCCGTGACCTCCGCAGCGGCGGGGTAGGCAAGAGCACTCACGAGCGCGAGCGCGACCCAAAGTCGAAGGGTCGATTTATTCATGGTCCTTAGCCCTCAGAATGAGTATTTGACGGTGGCGGAGATGAAATCGCGGTCGTGCAGTTCGTTTTCCTTGCCGCCGTACATGGTGAGATTGAGGTTGGCCTCCCAGCGGCTGAGATAGCCGGCGCGCAGCCCGAGGGTCACCGCGGTGCGGCCCTCCACGAACGAACCGCTGGGTGAAGGGCTGTTGCCGCCGACGTCGTGCTGGAACTGCAGGTACGGGAACAGGTTCACCGCGCCGATAGCGTTGTTGTAGTCCAGCCGCATCGCCAGCCGGTAACCCCACGAGGTGGCTTCGGCGTCGCTGCTGTACGTATATGGGTCGCCGTCGGGCTCGCCGGCGGGGCTTTCGATGGGGATGGCGCCGGCAAAGGCCGGGTTTGGGCTCCCGTCGGGATTCGTGGTGCTGATCCCCTTGCCTTCCGGCATGTCGTGCACGTTCAATACCGCGACTTCGCTCACGAACGCCCCGCTGTCCGAACCCAGGGTGGGGCCGAACACCTTGGTGGCGGTGACCTGTGCTTGGCTCATGTCGCGCAGAATGTAGCCGCGGCCGGGGCCGTCCGAGTCATACTCGCCGTCGGCGGCCTTCCGCGCGATACACTGGGAGGCCGTTGAGGCGGGATCTTGCGCCACAGCCGCCGCCGCCAAGCACTCGGTGAACGGCCCGAGGGCATTGGCGAAGACCTTGCGCTCCGCGAGTTGCAGCGGCGCGTCCGGGCGGAAGGAGTATTCGCCCTGCAACGCCCACCCCGTTGTTCCGACCTCGGTACTGAAGCTGACACCGAGGAGCTGGATATCCTCCAGATACTCGATGAAGTAGTAAGCATTTTCAGTGTACTTGTCGATGCCGATGGGTGCGGCCAATATGGCTGCCTGCCCGCCTGCCGCCGCGGCCTTGTTCCGGATGTCTGCCTCGGCGGCGGGGTTTGCGCTGAACAGGGCGGCCGCGGCGGCCTCGGGAGCGGCGCCAATGACGGCCCTGACGGTTTCCAGATCCATGAGAACGACCCCGGCGGCGGCCTGTACGCCTGCCGCCCCAGCGAGGGCGGCCTGAATGGCAGCAGGGTCGCCGTCGTTAGCGGCATCCAGTACGCCCGCGGTGATGAGGGCCTGCACGATAGAGCGGGCAGTGTCGGTCGCCGGGTTCCTGAGAGCAGTGCCGATGGCGTCCTGGACGACCATGCTGCCAGCCGGGGTGCCGGCGGCGGCTCCGACAATCGCGCCGGCTGTGGCCGGATTCGCCGGATCCAAAAGAGCGGCGCCGATGGCTACTGCGGTGAGGGCAGCGCCGGTGTCCGCGCCGACCTTTCCGGCCAGCCCGAGAACGTGGCTGAGGCCGGCCAGAGCGTCCGCACTCGTTCCGGTGTGCCCACTGACAACCGGCAGACGACTGTGGTAGTTGATGTAGTAGAAGCCGAAATCGGTGCTGTTCAATCCTTCGGCGAAGTAGCGGAGCGCGGCGCCCCACTGGCCCGCATCATCCGGCCTGTGGTCCGCGTGGCGCGGGACGATCAGGAAATTGGACAGGAATTCGTCATCCGGCTGAAACATCCGGCCCTGCGGGCACCCCCCTTGCATAGACCCCGGAGAGGGGAAGACGCACGTTGGCGGAATGCCGAGACTGCCGAGCGCTGGCGTGAAGAAATTGTTCTCCGGCGTGAGGCCCATGTCCCCGAGGTCCAGTCCGGGAAGGGCGATTACCGCCTTCCCGGCGCCCGGGCCGACGTAGTCGGTGACCGAGAAGTAGCTTCCGGCTGGGTCAATCTTCGTCCTCTGCCAGTCGAGTTGATAGAAGCCCTCCATCGACAGCGTGTCGGTCAGCAATACCGAGGCCGAGACCATTGGCACCGGCACCAGCCCTTCGCGCAGCTCCGAGCCCGGCAGCCGGAGCTTGCTCACGTCGAAGGGGTTGATGGCGTTGATGCCGTTCTGGATGAACGTGCTCTCGCCCCAGTTCAGGACGTGGCTGCCGAGGCGCAGGTCGATCGCCACGTTTCCAATATCGAATGCGCCGGTGAGGTAGGCGTCGAGCAAAATGATGTCCTGCCCCACCAGTTCCTTCGCCTCATCGCTCAGGGGGGTGCGTTCCCGCTCGCCATGCTCGTTTTCGAAGTCGAGAAAGCCATTGAGGCGCAGGAAGGCGCCGAAGTTGCGGTAGCCGAGGTCGATGTCGGTGGTGAATTTGGAGGTGTTGCTGACGAGGCCGGGTTTGTAGTTAAGGTCGCCGTCGTTGCCATTGACGTCACCAATCAGAAGGTCATCCTGATCCTGGATACGGAAGGTGAGGCCGTGCGACAGGGTGGTGTCGAGACTGAGCCGCAGGTCGCCGTCGCTGAGATCTATCGCCTGCGCGGGCGGTGGGCTTGCGACGGCTCCGAGGGCGTAGACGCAGAGGGCCGCAACGGCCAGGGCGCGAAGACCTCCAAGCCACAGGTTCGGTAGCATCTGGCGGCATTGGCCGCACGGTATTGCGTGCATGAACGAATCCTCATAGAGCTATGTTTGGCAGCAAGTTATGATGTGGCTTCCTACCCCAAAACCTTTACAGGAATACAGGGCGGGCGGGGATGGTGTCAAGGTTGATTTTCCGGCGGGCTTGGCTGCCCGTGAAGAATTGCATTGGCCCCTAGCGGTTATGCGTCGTATACTGAGAACCATTCATTATCCCAGTAGCTCTCCAGTAGCTGTGAGGAGGTCGTAATGTTCGGTCTAGGCGTGCAAGAACTGGTTATCATCCTCGCCATTGCCATGTTGTTTTTCGGTGGCAAGAAGATCCCGGAGATCGCCAAGGGCTTGGGCAAAGGCATTCGGGAATTCAAGACGGCCAGCGAAAAAGCGACGGACGATGTGACGGACGCAATCGAAGGCGACGGGGACGAGGAGTCCAAGAAGGTCGAAAGCAAGACGTCGTAACGTGACGCTTCGCCGATCCGCCTAACCAGGAGGCTCTTCAGAACGTGCCGTCCAGTCTCTCCGCATAGCCGCGTCAGCGGTTGCTTGCCCCAGTGTGCCCCATCCCTATTCTCGGGTTGTCGTGATTGCGGGCTGAGGTGCCCGGCATAGAGACGATGTTTACCAAGGCACAACGAGTCCGTGCTTCTTATGTATGGAAAGAAGCACGGCAAATTTTTGTTTTAAGGTGGAAAGGTGTCAACCATCCACTGAACTGAAAGGATAGACCATGCAAAACGCTAAATTGAGAAAGAGGCTGTTCGCGATGTTGGCCGTTGCGGCCTTGACGGCGCTGTTTGTACTGGCCGGCTGCGGCGATGATGACGATGGTGAAGAGACGATGATGCCCGAGCCGATGGGCTACAAGGTTACGGTGACCAATAACCTGTCGGAAGAACTTTTCGCACCGATTGTCGTGACCCATGCCAGCAATGATAATCTCCTGTTCGACGGCGACAACTATGTCACCATGGCGGCTCAGACGCAGATTCTTACCGGTAGCCCAGATGACGTGTCCGCGGCGATTGAAGCTGATGGAGGTTACGCGGTGATCGACAAGGGGACGGAGCCTGATCCCCATGGCAATATGGTTCTGCTAGGTCCCGACCAATCCATTGAGATCATGTTCGACGGCGATGCCACGGCGCTTCGTATCCTCGCCATGGTTGCGCCTACCATGTATGACGATCACTATGTCTCCGCGGTGGCGGACGTGCCGATGAATGGCTCCGTCACGGTGCCGCTTTCCCGGTTCGACATCGGCTACGATGAGATGACGATGGATAATATGCGGCTGATGGATATCCGGCTGGTTGCCGAGAACGCAGGAACGGTGACTATTGAACGCCTCGGCGACGCGATGGCGGACGATGGTGACATGATGGACGCGGTCACTTACACCGTCGAGGTGACTAATGACCTGTCCGAGTCCGGGGAACTCTTCGCCCCGATTGTGGTGACCCGCGCGAACGATGAGCATTACCTGTTTGATGGCACCTATGTCACCGATGAGGCCAAGGACCAGATTCTTACCGGTAGCCCGGCTATGGTCATTGATGTCATCGGAGAAGACAACGCGGTGTTCGGCACGGGTTCTCTTATGCCTCCTCTGCTTACGCCTGGCGAACCCGCTTCAATCATGTTCGACACCGACGCGACGGCGCTTCGCATTATCGCCATGGTCGCCCCCACCCCTGATTATCCGGACAACTACGTATCAGCGGTTGTGAACGTCGCCGATTTAATGTCCGATGAGTCCGTCACGGCGCCACTCACACGGTTTGACATCGGCGATGACGAAATGACGATGGATATCACTCGGATTGACGACGACATGACCGTTGGAACGGTGATGATCACCCGACAATAGACCGACCCGACGGCGTAACCTTCATGGGTGTATCCGACGACTGGACCGCCAAGGGTGCACCCATGACAACCCCAACATCCCAACCTGACCGGCGAGACCCGGAGCAGGATGTTCCTGCTCTGCAATGGGCGCCGGGATGTGAGCCACAGCACGTCGAGGCCATCGAGACGGCCAACCGCCTGTTCGGGTGCGTGCGCCAAGCCTTGCACAGGGTGTACCCGGATTCCGGGGTGCACCCTTTTTTGTTGCGCGGCGTGGGCGCCCCTTTGGCTGTGGGCGGCGCCATGGCCGTCTACAAGCTGACCGTGCAATACGATCAGCATGCCTTCTCCCTGGTCTGCAAAATTCCCCACCAACGGCGCCTCGTGTACACGGCGGACGCCGACGCACAAGTCCAAGATGACGCCACTTCCGGCCTTCTCGATACACTCGCCCACCTTGCCGGCACCGTGAACCGCCATGCGGCCGGGGTGTTTCCGCGCTGCGGCGGCGCGTGGCATTGGCGCGATGACGCCGGCGTGCCGCGCCATCTGCTCATCGAGGCGTTCATTCCCGGTGCGTCGGTGGAGCGGTTGTTGCTTCAGTACGAGCAGCGACTGCTGGCCGGCGAGCTGGACGCCGACGCTTACGCGCAGCACCGGGCTGACGCCGAGCGGCTGGCGGTAGCGACCTACGTGCGGTTGTGGGACGCCCTGGGCCGGCGGCTGTTCACCTCCGATCCCAGTCCGTGGAACGTTCTGGTGCGTGATGCCGATGCAGCGGGGGACGGGGCCGGGAGCGCCACGATCATCGACCTGCACAGCTTGCAGGAAGACGCCGGCTTTTCTTACGTGGTGCAGCGCCTTGCCGCCGTGTACGGGTTGCGTGACGAGGTGCTGGAGCGGGCGTTGCTTCCCGGTATTGTTGAGGCGGTGGGACAGGAAGAAGGGCGGCGCTTGCTGCTGGACAGCCTGCCGTGTCTGGAAGCCGCTGCCGCGACGGCGCGCCGCAACCTCGGCGTCGATACCCTGCAACCGCTGCTGCGGCTGATCCGGCGTATGGAATAACGGATTTGTCGGATTACGCTGCGCTAATCCGACCTACACACTCTGCCGCTGCTCCAACTCGTCCCAGCGGGTATAGGCGGCATCGCGCTCGCCGTCCAGGGCCGTCAGCCGCTCCATGATGGCGTGGAAGGCCTTGGGATCCCTCTGGAAAAGTTGGGTGTCCTCAAGCTGGGCGTGCAGGATCGTCTGCTCGTTTTCCAGGGTTTCGATGGATTCCGGCAGCCCTTCGAGCTCGCGTTGCTCCTTGTAGGCCAGCGCTCGTCGTCGAGGCTGCTTGGTTGAGGCCGCCGCCGGACGCCGTTTGGCCGTGGGCGGCGCTTGCAAAGCCCTGCTGCCAATCGCTGTATCCCCCGACATACTCCCGCACCCGCCCCTTGCCCTCGAAGGCATAAATCGACGTCACCACGCCGTCCAGAAAGGCGCGATCGTGGGATGCCAGCAGCAGGGTGCCGTCGTACTCCGCCAGCAATCCCTCCAACAGTTCCAGCGTCTCCGTGTCGAGATCGTTCGTCGGCTCATCCAGGACCAGGAGATTGGCCGGTTGCGTGAACAGCCGCGCCAGCAGCAGGCGGTTGCGCTCGCCGCCGGACAGGGTCTTGACCGGCGCCCGGATGCTCTGGCGTGGGAACAGGAAATCCGCCAGATAACTGACCACGTGATGCGGCTTGCCGGCCACCATGACCTGATCGCCGCCGTGCGGGCAGAGGGTTTCCCACAGGGTGGCTTCGGGGTCCAACTGGGCGCGCCGCTGATCGAAATAGACCTTTGACAGCTTGGTGCCGAAGCGCAGGCGTCCGGCGTCCGGCAGCAGTTCGCCCATGAGGATTTTGATCAGCGTCGATTTGCCGATGCCGTTCGGCCCGACCAGGCCGATGCGGTCGCCGCGCATGATGCGGGCCGAGAAATCGCGCAGCACCCCATAGTCGTCGAAAGTTTTGCTGATGCCCTCGGCGTCGACGACCATCTGGCCGGAGCGCGCGCCGCTGCTCAGGGTGAAACTGACCTGCCCCGCCACCTCGCGGCGTGCGCTCCGGCCTTCGCGCATGGCCATCAGGCGGCGCACGCGGCCTTCGTTACGCGTGCGGCGGGCGCGTACGCCTTGGCGTATCCAGACTTCCTCCTCCGCCAAGCGCTTGTCGAACTGCGCGGCTTCGGTGTCCTCAACGGCCAACAGGGCGTTTTTGTGCTCGCGGTAGGCCGTCCAGTTTGCGTGGAAGCGCCGCAGCCGCCCGCGGTCCAACTCGACGATGCCGGTGGCCAGGCGGTCGAGGAAGACGCGGTCGTGGGTGACGAAAACGAGCGTGCCGGGGAAGCTCAGCAGGTAGGATTCGAGCCACTCGATGGAGCCGATGTCGAGATGGTTGGTCGGCTCGTCCAGGAGCAGCAATTCGGGATCGCCGACCAGGGCCTGTGCCAGGGCCACCCGGCGCTGCCAGCCGCTGGAAAGCGCGCCAACCCGTGCGGTGGGATCGAGTTGCAGCCGTGACAGCACGGTCTCCACCTGCGTGTGCAGGCGCCAGCCGTCCTGGCGCTCCAGTTCCGTCTGCAGGGTGTGCAGGCGCGTCATCAACGCCGTGGCCTCGGCGCCCTGCGCGACGGTCAGTTGGGCAGTGGCGTGGTGATAATCGGCGACGACTTCACCCACCGCGCCCAGGGCATTGGTGAGCGCCTGCTCGACGGTGTGATCGGGATCAAGCACCGGCTCCTGCGGCACGAGCGCCAGGCGCAGCGCATGGGCGCGGTGCACCGTGCCGGCATCGGGCAGCAAATCGCCGGCCAGCAGCTTGAGGAGCGTGGATTTACCGCTGCCGTTGCGTCCCACCAAGGCGAGCCGCTCACCGGATTCGACTTGCAGCGCCGCCTCGTCCAGTAACGGCACGCGGTCGAAGGCCAGCGACACTTGTTCAAGGGCAAAAACTGCCATCGTGTCTCAATTCATGAAATACGTGCGAGGGAGGTTGAATCCGCCCTGCGCCGGCCCGGGTTAGACCGGCAGCAGGCCGTGCTTCTTGCGCATGGCGTTGATAGTGGCCCGGAAGCCGTCTTCCATGGTGAATTGCGGGCTGTAGCCAATGGCGGCCTCGGTCACCGAGGGGTCGTAGTTCATGCTGCCGACCGAGTGGCCGTCCTCGACCCGTAGGTCGGCGTCGGGCAGCAGCCGTTTGACGAACGCCACGGCGTCGCGCATCGATCCGGTGGTGCCGCAGATGGTGAGGCCCGACAGCGGGCACGGCGGCGCCTCGGTGGCCAGGTGGATGGCGCGGCCCACGTCTCCGGCGTATAGGAAATCCGGCGCGTCGTTGCCGTTGCGGATGACACCGGGTTCGCCGATGGCCGGCTTTTCCAGCAACTCGGTCATGAAATCGGCGCCCGTGCCGCGCGCCATGGTTAATGCCTTGCCGTAGCCGTAAACGACGGTGAAGCGCAGGCCGATGTTGTCGAGGCCGCGCTGGTTCTTGTAGTGCATGCCGAGGCTCTCGTTGAACGACTTGACGGCGCCGTAGAGGCCGGTCGGCTCGTGGTGGGCGTTGTTCTCGATGAATCCCTCGCGCTCCCCGGATATGCCGAACACGGCCACCGAACTGGCCCACACGACCTTGCTGACGCCCAACGCCAGCGCCGCCTCGAAGACGTTCAGCGTGCCCTCGCAATTGACTTTCAGCGTCCGCAATGGGTTGACCTCGCTGCTGACGCTTAGCGTGGCCGCCAGATGCACGACCCGCTGCGCCTGCGCGCTTCCCATGGCCCGCAACACGGCCGGCAGATCGGTCACGTCGCCGCTTATCAACTGCACCTCGTCCGCCGCCGGGCCGCCAAGCACGTCGGCCAAGTACTCCCGGTTCAGCATCAGATCGAACACCGTCACCCGGTGGCCCGCCTCGACCAGCGCCTTCACCGCGTAGGCACCCACGAAACCCGTTCCGCCTGTTACGAGGTAATTCACGTCTCACTCCCCCAGCCGTGTGGTTTGAACGTACTCTCAGACCTTCATGAAGCCCGCCGGATGATATCGCACCCCTCCCAGCCGGGCAACACGCCCGCCCCGGTTCGGCGGCGCTAGATTTCCGTCTGGTAAAATGATGCGGCTTACGAGTACGATGCGCTGTCGAGTCGTCAGCCTGTGACGGATATCTGGAGAATACGTGATGTGGGCATGGGTCAAAGAGAACGGCACGGGGTTGCTTGCTATTGCTGCAGTGTTAACTTTACTGTTCAACGTGGTGAGCGCCAGGATCGACACCAAGTTCGAGGCCATGAACCAACGCTTCGACGATCTGATTCAGAGCATGAATCAGCGCTTTGACGCTGTTGACCAGCGTTTTGTGGATCTGATTCAGAGCACGAACCAGCGTTTTGATGCCGTTGACCAGCGTATGGACCGCATGACCGACTCGATCGATGCGCTACACGGCGACCTTGTGCGGCTTGGTGAGCGCGTATCCAGCAACAAAGGCGCGCTGGATTTGCTGAGCCAGCAGATACAACGAATATCGGCCCCCCCTGGTGGTGATGCGACCCCTTGAGAAGTCGTTTTCCGCCGCGATCTCGCCTTAACTCCTACTCCCGGATGCCCTCGAACCCACGCCGTTTTCAATCCTACCTCCCGAATCCCAACTTGGATAAATCGGGACGCCTGCCTGGGCATGTGAGGGATGTCGTGTAGCTGATAGAGATCGTTCGCGATGCTGTACAATCCGATCAGGAAAGGGGCCAGGCGCAAAACGCTGGTCAGCGTTCTTAACGCTTGGTTAACCAGCTTATACGATCTTGGGTGCTTCCCGCCGCTCGTTACCTGATAGGGTGCATCACCCGCGCCGGAGGGAGTGGCTGAAGAAGAGGCAGGAGCCGGGATAGCACGATGAACACACCGTCGCATTTTCTGATGACCGCCGCTCTGCGCCGTGCCTGGAAGCACCAGCCGCCACCCGCCAGCGCCTTCCTGCTGGGGTCGGTGGCGCCCGACATCGCGCTGTACCTGCTGTCCCTCGGCGGCGCCCTCCACTTCCGCTATCTGCTGGGGCTGGAGCGCCGAGGCGACGTGGCGCCACCTGTTCGACACCCTCTATTTCCACAACCCGTTCTGGATCGCCGCCCACAATTTGCTGCACTCTCCAACCGTGCTGATCATCGCTTTGGTTATTCTGTGGCGCGCCCAAGGTCTGCGGGAAGCCCCGCGGCGCTGGCTGCGCTGGTTCCTGGCCGCGTGCCTGCTGCACAGCTTCGTGGACGTGCTGACGCACGTCGATGACGGCCCGTTGCTGTTTTTCCCCTTCGAGTGGACGATACGTTTTGAAAGCCCCGTCAGCTATTGGGACAGCCGCCATTACGGCACGCAGTTCGCCGTTTTCGAGCTGACGCTCGACGTACTTCTCATCGCTTATCTCTGTCTGCCGCCTCTGTGGCGCCTGGCGCGGGCGCGCTTGGTGCGAGCACCGTTATCCGACAACTGACGCATCACCGCACGGCCTTACGATGAAGGATTTACGATGATCACTTTGCCGCCATACTGCCGGGACCCCTTCACCTACCACCGCCGCAAAACGCGCGTCGTCAACGTCGGCGACGTGCCGCTCGGCGGCGACCACCCGATTCGCCTGCAGTCGATGACCATCAGCGACACCATGGACACCGACGCTGCGGTGGCCGAAACCGTCCAGTTGGTCGACGCCGGCTGCGAGTTTGGTGCGGCTGACGGCGCCGTCCCTCAACGAGGCCGAGAACCTGCGCCACATCAAGGCCGCCCTGAATCGCCGGGGCGTGCGCGTGCCGCTGATCGCCGACATCCACTTCACCCCCAACGCGGCGCTCAAGGCGGCGGAGTACGTGGAGAAGGTGCGCATCAACCCCGGCAACTACGCCGACAAGAAGAAGTTCGCCGAGCGCGAGTATACCGACAGCGAATACGAGGCCGAGCTCGAACGCATCGAGCAGCGCTTCAGGCCGCTGGTGCTGAAGCTCAAGCAGTACGGCGTCGCCATGCGCATCGGCACCAACCACGGCTCGCTGTCCGACCGCATCATGAATCGCTTCGGCGACACGCCGCAGGGCATGGTCGAATCGGCCCTGGAGTTCGTGCGCATCTGCCGGCGCTACGACTACCACGACATCATCCTGTCCATGAAGGCGTCCAACCCGCTGGTGATGATCCAGGCATACCCGGCTGCTGGCGGCCCGGATGGACGAGGAGGGCATGGATTACCCCTTCCACCTCGGCGTCACCGAGGCGGGCGACGGCGTGGAAGGCCGGGTGAAGTCGGCCATCGGCATTGGCGCGCTGTTGGAGGACGGCATCGGCGACACCATCCGCGTGTCGCTCACCGAGGACGCGGTCTGCGAGCTCCCGGCGGCCTACGCCATCGCAGCGCCGTATAATCGCCGCCAAACGCGCGCCGAGTCCGACACCCCCCTCTCTCTGGGAGGGGGTAGGGGGAGGGAACTTTTCGACGAACGCCGCAATCCATACGGCTACGACCGGCGCTTCAGCCACGAGATCGGCCTCGGCAGCCTTGCCATGGGCGGCGGCCAGCCGGTGCGTGTCGAATTGGCGACCACCGTCTCCGTGACCGACCTTGACGGCACCCTGGCCCAGATCGACGCGCTGACCGTTCCGGCGCAACCCAACGATCCGGTATGCGAGGTTGTCCGGCTGCGCGCCGAGACCCCGGACGAATTTGCACGCCCTGACCGGCCTGAACGAGCGGTTGCGGCAAAACCCCGAAACGCCGTTGCTATCGCTGTGCGTGCCGCTGGCCGACCTCGCCGACGTGCCGCCGCTTGCCGGGCTGGTCAAAATCGTGACCGCGCCGCCGTGCGAGGACGACCCGGCCGTTTGGGACCAGCATGTACGGCGAGCCCTCATGGGGTCGCAACAGCACGGGACCGCCCTCGAATGGCGCCTGAGCCCGGCGTCCGTTCCGCCGTTCATCCGCGACCCGCACGGCTCCACCCTGGCCGGACTGGCCCACACCGCCGGCCGCCTTGCCGAGCTTGCCAGCCTGTTCCAGCCCTGCCCGGTTGTGTTCTCCCTCGACGTACCCGGAGCCGCTGCCGGCCTATCGCTATCTGGCCGCCCACCTCGACGCCCATGGCCACGCCTGCCCCTTGCACCTGAAGACCACGCTGCACGGCCGCGACGGTCTGATGTACCAAGCCGCATCCAACTCGGCGCCCTGCTGTGCGACGGCTTTGGCGACAGCATCCAGATCGACAGCGCCGCCGCGCCGGCCGAGGCCGTGCGCCTCAGCTACACCATCCTGCAGGCCGCCCGCCTGCGCATGTCCAAGACCGAGTTCATCTCCTGCCCGTCCTGTGGACGCACGCTGTTCAACCTGCAAACCACCACCGAGCGCATCAAGTCGCGCATGTCCCACCTCAAGGACGTCAAAATCGCCATCATGGGCTGCATCGTCAACGGCCCCGGCGAAATGGCCGACGCCGACTTCGGCTACGTCGGCTCCGGCCCCGGCAAGATCAGCCTCTACGTCGGCAAGGAATGCGTCGAGCGCAACATCCCCTCCGACCAAGCCGAAGAGCGGCTGCTCCAGCTCATCAAGGACCACGGCAAGTGGGTGGATGGCCGTCTGAAATCACCCAATGGAGGGCTGGAGGAGTAGTAGGGGCATGATCGTGAAAGTCTACAGTGGACAGAGTGGTCACGAACTCGCAGGCAAGATGCTGAGGGTGGCGAGACGTATCTGATCGACCCCGTGTGCGAAAGCGCGTGTTGCTTGGAAAGCCGACGGAACATAAACCGCCTCTCCTAGCCCGGACTACAAAGACGAGAACATTGATCCTTTTTCGTTCTTCTACAGCCTCGCGGTCCAAAATAGGGGACGAGAAATAGGCGCGGCGGTATATACGCAGCATCGTTAACGTCTTCGGCATCCACGCCCCGATTCCAATTGACTCCGACGATGCGTTTTTCTTTCCCACGCCAAATCGCCAGAACCTGCTCTTTCATAACAAGGGTTCGGGTAATCCGAAGTTACTTTGGCGACTGTTCCGGCGTGCGGTTTTGGGCGTAGAGTCAGTGGAAGCTCAGGACTTCGACGGCGCGCTGGAAATCGGCCAAGTTGCGATAAGAAAACTGACTCAGGCGCTCTTTCTTATAAACCCGTCGGCGTTCTTACCTTACGATAACTGGACGCGCTCCCTGGGCGTTTCCAATCTCTCAGGGAACATCAAATGGATGCAGTACCAAGAGGAACTGCAGAAGTTTCGTGACGCCTTTCCCGGCTGTGCATTCTACGAGATCAACTTGTTTGCCTATCTCTGGAAGAAGGGGAAGGGATATCTCCCCATTAGCGGTAATCACTTTCAGATCAGCACACATGCGCAGGGTGAACATGTGGACGACATCTGGACCGCACTGACTCAAACAAACTTGCTTGACACGACTGTACTTTGACCGAATCAACTGGGATTTCCGGAGTGGACGGACGCCGAATGAGTTGGGAGGATACGACGAGCCGGGGAGGGCGCTCCCAAATACCCGCTCCGCTCCCCAGAACGGGCGACACGTCATGCTTGTGAGACTGAGCAATTCGGATAGGACGCGGCAGCATGGAATCGGTTACACAAAGGACTACGGGATCGTCTCGCTGATGAGACGCAGAGCGGGATACATGTCTGGTGGTGAACAACGGAGTCTGGGGAACTATCGAGTGAAACGCCGCCCCGGCCACAGGATCCCCCCTGCATGGGAGGAGTGGATTCAGCGTGATGCAACAGAGAAGACTCACGAGAGGGACGTTTCGCCTTCACACAGACGTATCTGGCAAGACGTTGCGTTGCGGATCGACTCAGACGGCGGAGACCGCCTGTGGTAAACCAAGAGACACCACGGCACTCGAATGCGGAGCATCCCCGCAATCAAATTCTCTACGGCCCACCGGGAACCGGGAAAAACTATCACGCGGTAGACCACGCATTGGCGAGTTTCATCGACGGTGTGGGCGTGAAGGACGTGGAGCGCGATGTCCGGAGGTTCACGATCTTACGATTACCGACCCACGACACCATCCGCCATCGGTCAGATGCGGGATGGTGTGAACTGTCTCACCAGAACTTCGGCACATGCGGATTCATCGAGGGTATCCGGCCGGTATGAGCGATGGGGCTGAGGGGCAAATCGGAGGGGTGTACAGGCATGCACAACGGCATCTTCATAGCAGATGCTGAGGCGGCGAGAGGAAAAAGGGATAAATAAACGGTGTGTCTCATTATCAGACGAGGTCAACCGGGGCAACATCGCGAAGATATTCGGCGAACTCATTACGCTAATTGAAGGACTCCGCCTGGCGGTCTTGGCGCAGATGATTGCTACTGAGATGGTCACGTTGCCATACTCGAACGAGTCGTTTGGTGTCCCCGGACAACCTTTACTGATCGGCACGATGAACACGGCGGACCGGTCGATTCAATTGTTGGATACGGCGCTGCGCCGACGCTTCACCTTCGTGGAGATGATGCCGGAACCTCAGCACGAAGGTATTTCCACGGACGTTGAAGGCGTTGATTGTCAGAGGATGCTCACGGTCATGAACGCGCGCATCACGGCGTTGCTCGACCGGGAGCATCAAATCGGCCATACCTACCTGCTAGGCATCGACACGCTGCAGAGATTATCGGACGCCTTGCAGAACAGGATACTCCCGCTGCTGCAGGAGTATTTCTTCGACGATTGGTCCAAGATGCGAGGGGTTCTGGGCAGGAACAGCTTTGTCGTAGAACGGCAAACCGAGAATCTGTTTCCCGACCCCGAACAGGCGGACGACGATCGAAAGATTTACGAGCGGTTACCAAGCAGCGATACCCGATGGACGGAAGCGGGGGAGTACCAGAAGATATACTCGGATGACAACTGATGCGCGGCGTCTACACGGTCAGGGAGCACGACGCATTCGAGGTTGGCCCCTTGTTGAGCAAGGAGGACGTGGCTGATCTGGAGGCGGTCGGTAAAGACGTCCTTAAATACAAGGACGGCGGCTTGGCCGCGAGCAAATACGTAGGTGTCGTCACGACCAAGCGCGGCACGGTGGTGGAGATTCTGCCGAAGATCGATCTCGGCGGTGAGCCGGACCCCGACCACGAAACGACCCGATGCCTGCTCCTGCGCATGCTGCGAAGCTGGCGCCGGTTTGAGAAAGTGCCGACGCTGCCCGAGAGCGGCATTCGTGCGATGCGGCGATTCCCCATGCTCGAGGTCTTCGTCCGCCAGTTCCTCACCAACCTGAATACGCTCACCCGCGGCGGTCTTGCCAGGCGCTACGTTCCGGTAGAGGAGAACCTACCGTACCTGCGAGGGCGCCTCCTTTTCCGATACGAAACATCCGTGAGCCACCTGGTCAGATCAGGCGCGTTCTACGTTGTCGCTACGACGAGTTGAGCGTCAACCGGCCTGCCAACCGGCTCATTCACAGCGCGCTGACTCGGCTGACGCGCTGGTGCGGACACGGAAAGCCGCCCGGTTATGCAGCAGATGAGAGTAGGTTCGCCGACGTGCCGCGATCGGACAACGCATGCCGACTGGCAGCGGCAGGTCAGGTGAGTATCGTTCCATGCGCGCACTACGGCCACGTGATTGCAGTGGGTGGGCCGTGTCTTGACGGCCATGGTTAGATCACCCTATCGGGCGCATCGCAACCTGGTCGCTGCTGTACATGGAGCAGGTGTTCGAGGACTTCGTCACGCACAGTTTCGGCGCTACCAGTCGGATATGATCCGTGACCGCACAAGCCCGCAAAAGCCTTTAGCCAGCCTCGACGGTCGAGGGACACGCCTTCATGATGAAACGCGGACATCACGGAAGGCGCCCGTGTCGCTCGTTTCATCTCGATGCCAAGTGGAAACGCATCGACGCGTCGTCCGACGACTCGAAGCACGGCATCGACCAAGCCGATCTGTACCAGCTATACGCCTACGCCAAGGGCTACGATTGCAACGCCGTGGCGCTCGTTAACCCGCGCTCGCAAAACTTCAGGACCAAACTGCAGTACCGACTCCTCGACGACGTAACCCTCCTCTGTCTGCCGTTCGACGTCGCGCATCCGCAGGAAAGCGTGCGGCACTCCATGGCGGCCCTCACGAGCGCCTGACCTCCCTCTGAAACCGCCCGCCCGCGCACCCACCTTCAGGTAGCAATTTCCCATTGACACCGGCTTACAGGCTCACTTAACCTGCCGCTGTCAAATGCCTCATCGCAGCAACACACACGAAGGAGAGTCCGCATGCTAAGGGCGCTCAAGCTTGAACCGGAGAAATGCACTGGTGCCTGCAGTGCGAAATGGCCTGTTCGTATGAGAACGAAGGGGTTTTCAACCCCGCCAAATCCCGCATTAAGGTCTTCACCTTCCATCAAGAAGGGCGCTTCGCCCCCTACACCTGCACGCAGTGCGAGGAAGCCTGGTGCCTGCATTCCTGCCCCGTTGAGGCCATCGTCATCAACGCCGAAACGGGCGCCAAGGAAGTCCTGGACAACGTTTGCGTCGGCTGCAAGGTGTGCACCATCGCCTGCCCGTTCGGCACCGTGAACTACAACCACGATTCCGGCAAGGTGATGAAATGCGATCTGTGCGGCGGCGACCCGTGGTGCGCCAAGGCGTGCCCCACCGGCGCCATCACCTACGTGGATGTCGACAACACCGGTCTGGATCGCATGCGCGCCTGGGCGCAGCAGAGCCCGGCGGGACCGGCCACCCACGTCGAGCCGCGCCCCAAGGAAATCGCCACCTATAACCGTGCGCAGTAGCCGCGAGAGGAGACCACCCATGGCCTGGACTGGAAACGTATTACGAGTCGACCTCAGCTCCGGCAAGATCGCCTCCGAACCGCTCAACAGGAATGGGCGCGCGATTACCTCGGTCAGCGCGGGCTTGCCACCAAGTACCTCTACGAAGAAATCGATCCCACCATTGACGCGCTTTCACCCGCCAACAAGCTGATCATGACCACCGGGCCGCTGACGGGCACCATGGCCTCCACCGGCGGGCGCTATTCCGTCGTCACCAAGAGCCCGCTGACGGGCGCCGTGGCGTGCTCCAATTCCGGCGGCTTCATCGGCGCCGAGATGAAAATGGCCGGTTGGGACATGATCATCTTCGAGGGCAAATCCCCGCAGCCGGTATATCTCTATGTGGAGAACGAGAACGCCGAGCTGCTGCCGGCGGACGACCTGTGGGCGCCTCGGTGTGGGAGACGGACGAACGCCTGCACGCCAAGCACCAGGACCCGCTCATCCGCGTCGCCTGCGTCGGGCGCGCCGCCGAACAGGGTTGCCTGTACGCCTCGGTGGTGAACGACCTGCACCGCGCCGCCGGACGCTCCGGGGTCGGCACGGTCATGGCGTCCAAGAACCTCAAGGCGCTCGTCTGCCGCGGCACCAAGGGCGTCGGCAACATCAAGGACCCCATGCGGTTCTTCCAGGCCACCGAGCAGGGTAAGAAAGTGCTGGCGGAAAACGCCGTCACCGGCCAGGGCCTGCCGAAGTTCGGCACCCAGGTGCTGATGAACGTCATCAACGAAGTCGGCGCCATGCCCACCCGCAACATGCGCGAGGTGCAGTTCGAGGGCGCCCACAAGATTTCCGCCGAGGCCATGCACGAACCGCGCAGCGACGGCACCCCGAACCTGCACACCAACGCCGCCTGCTTCGCCTGCACCATTGCTTGTGGGCGTATCTCGACGATCGAGAAGGGCCACTTCACGATCGAGAACAAGCCCAAATACTGGGGCGCCTCCGGCGGCCTGGAGTACGAGGCGGCCTGGGCCCTGGGCAGCGACACCGGGGTGGATGACCTCGAAACCCTTACCTACGTGAACTTCCTGTGCAACGAGGACGGCATTGATCCCATTTCCTTCGGGTCCACCGTTGCGGCTGCCATGGAGCTGTACGAGCGCGGCGTCATCAGCCAGGAAGACACCGGCGGCATCGACCTGCGTTTCGGCTCCGCCGAGGCCCTCGCCAAGGCGACCGAGTTGACCGCCCGCGGCGAAGGCTTCGGCAAGATTCTTGGGCTTGGCTCGCTGCGCCTGTGCGAGAAGTACGGCCATCCCGAGCTGTCGATGACGGTCAAGGGGCAGGAATTCCCGGCCTACGACCCGCGCGGCATCCAGGGCATGGGCCTGGCCTACGCCACCTCCAACCGCGGCGCCTGCCACTTGCGCGGCTACACCGTGGCGTCAGAAATCCTCGGCATTCCCGAGAAGACCGACCCGCTGGTCACGGAAGGCAAGGCGGAACTGGTCAAGGCCTTCCAGGACGCCACCGCGGCGGTGGATTCCTCCGGCCTGTGCGTCTTCACCACCTTCGCCTGGGGCATGGAGGACATCGCGCCGCAGGTGGACGCTGCCTGTGAGGGCGACTGGTCGGCGGAGAAGATGCTGGAGGTTGGCGAGCGCGTCTGGAACCTGGAGCGCGACTTCAACCTCAAAGCCGGCTTCACCCGCGCCGACGACACCCTGCCGCACCGCTTGCTGGAGGAGGGCGCCAACACCGGTCCGGCAGAGGGCAGAGTGAACGATCTCCAGCAGATGCTGCCGCGCTACTACGAAATTCGCGGCTGGACGGAGAACGGTGAACTGAGCGACGACACACGCCGCCGCTTGAGGGTCTGATGACGGGTCCGCCGCCCCGCGCACCGATAGCGGGGCGGCGCGTCGTTGATGCGGTCGGCAGGTCTGCCGTGCCGGGTTGGGAGGAATGTCACATGCATCACATCATCATCGGCGCCGGACCCACCGGGGTCGTGGCCGCCGAAACGCTGCGCAAGCTGGACGCCAAATCCCGGATCACCATCATCGGGGACGAGCCCGAGGCGCCCTACTCGCGCATGGCTATCCCCTATCTCCTGATCGACCAGATCGACGCCTCGGGCACCCACCTGCGCAAGGGTGACGGGCACTATGCCGACCGCAACATCGAGGTGCGGCAGGATCGCGTGACGCGGGTGCAGCCGGAGCGCAAGAGCCTCTCCCTGCAGAGCGGCGCCGAGGTGTCGTACGACAAGCTGCTGATCGCCACGGGTTCGCGCCCGGTGTCGCCGCCGGTGCCCGGCATCGACGCCCCCGGCGTGCACGCCTGCTGGACGCTGCAGGACGCCCGCGACATCATGCAGCGTGCTCAGGCGGGCGCCAAGGTGGTGCTCATGGGCGCCGGATTCATCGGCAGCATCATTCTGGAAGCGCTGGCCGAACGCGGCACCGATCTAACGGTCGTTGAAATGGAGGATCGCATGGTGCCGCGCATGATGAACGCCGTGGCTGGCGGCCTCATCAAGGCGTGGTGCGAGAATAAGGGGGTGAAGGGTGCTCACCTCCACGCAGGTCGAGGCCATCGAGTCCGGCCAGCCGCTGACGGTCAGGCTCAACAACGGCAACACGCTGGCCGCCGATCTGGTCATCGCGGCGACGGGCGTGCGGCCCAACATCGACTTCCTGGAAGGCTCCGGCATCCGCACCGATCACGGCGTGCTGGTGGATACGCATCTGGCGACCAGCGCCGCTCGACGTGTACGCCGCCGGGGACGTGGCGCAGGGGCTGGATTTCTCAACCGGTCAGTACACGGTGCAGGCCATTCAGCCGACCGCTGCGGATCACGGTCGCATCGCCGCCAGCAACATGGCCGGCCGCACGCAGACGCACCGCGGCAACCTGAACATGAACGTGCTGGACACCCTGGGGCTGATTTCCAGCTCCTTCGGCGCCTGGATGGGGGTTGAAGCCGGGGACTCGGCGGAACTTCTGGACGCCGGGCGCTTTCGCTACCTCAACTTGCAGTTTGAGGACGACCGTCTGGTGGGCGCCAGCAGCCTGGGCCTCACCGAGCACGTCGGCGTGATCAGAGGACTCATTCAAACGCGGGTGCGGCTGCGCGGGTGGAAGCAGAAGCTCATGCAGGACCCCACCCGGATCATGGAGGCTTACCTGGCCAACACCCTGGCGATTGGACACAACGCAGGCGTTCTATGAAGATTTCCCTGAAGTTGTACGCCTCGCTGCGTGACCTCCTGCCACCCGATACCCCCTGGACCGGCGTGGTGATCGAGGTGCCGCTCGACATCACGCCGAACCAAGTCATCGATCAGTATCGCGTCCCCCGCGCCATGGCCCACCTGGTTTTGCACAACGGCGTCTATCTTACCCCCGGAGACCGCGACCGCGCCGTGCTGAACGACGGTGACGTGCTGGCCATCTGGCCGCCCATCGCGGGCGGATAGCCGCGTGCCAAGCCCGGTCGTCGTCCGCTTCTCCCGCGACATGGGCATCACCCACAGCGAGTTCTTCCGCACCCTGCCTTCTGCCCTGGCAGCATTGCCCTACACCGTCCAGGGCCACGACGTGATTATCAACGACAGCACGCGACGCCTGGTAATCACCCTGTCGCCCGAAAGCCGCCGCCGCCTTGGGGCGCTTTCTCTGCCGACCACCCAGGTCCACTTCACCTTCTCGGGCTATTCCCCGCAGGACATCGACTGGTTCATGAGCCGTTTCGACCGCGCCTTCCAGCGCGGCGGCGGTTAGCAGCAGAGCATAGAATCCTCCTCGCGGGAGTCTTCGGTGGTCATGGGCTCATGCGTGGCCGCACAACCCGAGATATCTCAGTCCCAGGTGGCCACCAGACATCGGGCAAGTTCAACGGCAGTGGGACTGCTCCGGAGGGAGCGATGCTGGGCATTCCTTAGCCGAAATGCTTCGTCCTCTTGGCTGGATTTGTCCTGCTTTCGGGTCTTTGAACTTCCTGTGTCGTGACTAGGGTGTGTGCGATCGGCCGCCGAACGGACTACGGTCGCAATGCACCTCGATGGCGCAGAGTACACCTGCCGCCTCCCAACAATTTCAAGAGGCGGAGTTGATCGGATCGCCAAGGCAGCCGGTCAGATCGTGTCATGAGGTTCTGTTCCCCGCACCGCTATTACCGCGGGAGGGCCATGTTCCAAAGACAGCGAGGGTGGCAACCCAACGCAAACAGCAGGAAATCACCAACACGAAATATCAGAAGCGATGACCCCGGCTTCGACAATCATGACGAATCGGTGCGTGAGGATTCGTGGACCATGTGGAGCCCCTTAGTACAGCTCTCGAAAATGTAAGGTAGATCGATTCCGTGCCAGCGGGTTCCCACACCTGGATCCGATTCGCTATCTCTGAGACTCGAACATCGGCGAATTGGGCGCGGGCAAGTTGAAACATCGGCTCTAGACACGGCAGGGTGAGCATGGCCCCACTCCGCCCCAAAGGGTGTGACCATCTTTCCTGCGCATCGAGTATTATTGGGGGAACTACTCGGGAAGTTAAATTAAAATCACTGAGAAATAGCACGCATGTAAAAAACCGTCTGCTCTTCGATACTGCGAAGAGGGAAGGAGACGCGAGACCATCAATTTTGGCCTGCAGCAAGGGCTACCGAATCGGTAAACTCGGATTCCATCATCCTGGGCGGTAAAGCTTGATAACCTCAGGGCAGACCAAACCGTAGGAGACGTGCCGCGCTCACCGTGTTGATTGCGGCGTCACGAACATATCGTCTTTGTGAGCATCAAGGTCAACAGGACCGGTTGGCTCGCGTTGGAGCGAGACGATGGTGCCCATCAACAAAAAGGGTAAATCACGCTTGCCTTCGACATACAGGGAATTAGATGGCATTTCGTTGATGTCGGACGCGTTGACCAATTGGGATGCAGAATCAATGTATCGCAGGTTTGGGCTAGCAACCGCGCGGGTCGGCGTCGCATCACCGCATGGTCCCCCAATTTCCGAACACCTATGCCAGTTGGAACATAAATACGACGTTGTTTTTAAATGGCTGGGTCTATACCTTGGCGGAGAAAAATCGAATCTTCGAATATCCGATAGGCGCAAGTTCAGGCAACGCTCCAAACGCTGATTCGCACAGCTAACACGGTCAGCACTTGACTTCGTAATGGCAAACCTGATGGGCTTGAAATTTGAAGGCAATCGGAATAGTTATGCATACCGTTGTGCAACCGCATTTGACTGGCGGAGCGCTCTAGGCCAGATCAAGTATACCAGCTCTCTCAAAAGCAATCTATCCTCCTTACACCACCTATCACAGTGTGCGTTCTTTAAAAGTTTTCTTGTGCGACACCGCTTTAAACCGTTCGCTCCGTAAATCCGCCGCCCCACCGGATCAAAAGGTTGCAAGAAAAGAGTTGTTCAGGTAAACTGCGCCCAATAATCAAGTGTGAATGACAAATCGTGCCGGTCAAGATGAAAAGACAGCTATATGCCTTGGTGGCGGTGGGTGGGAACGTCTGCCTGCTCAGCCATCGGGAAACACCTACGTCGTCCCAGAAGTGAACTTCGCACTTTCCATGTCTGATAGTGCCAGATCAAGTAAAGAACTGTCGAGTGATCTCGGGGAAAACTCGGTGCTTGCAAGACCCGTGAAGGTCGAGAAAAAGATTCGAAAAACCCTAAATTGGCCATGGGCTGTGCACATCATAGTGCTAAAAGCCTCTCATATATACATTTGGGGCCAAGCATTGCTTCATCAGCGATTATTCCTCTGTTCGCTCCAATAGTTGCCTCGTCAAAGTGGATAGGTACGGATGCCCGAAAACCGTCCAGTCGGCCAGCCTCGCGATGTGTGGCATGGGTTGCACATGGGAAGGGTTCCTCACACACTTTTCGATTGACTGGGTACTAGTAGGGTCAATCTTGATCACGGCGGATAGAGAGTGATGAAACTTGACACCTGTTTTGTCAATTCGGCAGTTCTCTTCACTCAAACGGACCACAGAGAGCTTTCTTAACAAATATCCTCCCAGCTTATGGCCAGCAGCCTTAGGGAGGACAACTATATTGCTGTGCATTACGTTGCACAGCTATAGTAGTGCCGTCATCTTTGATCACGGGGCTAGAGGACGAGAAAACTTGGACCCGTTTCGTTCAATTCGGCCGTTCTTCTCATCAAACGGACGTGACTAGAGCTTTTGTACAATCAATCACTCCCGGCTTATTGTGCCAGAGCTTACTTGGATGTCAACTTATCATGGCCGGTGCATACGTGAACAGCTACTAGTATTGCGTCAATCTTTGCTCACGGGATAGAGATGATGCAACTTGACGTTTCGTTCAATCGGTCCGTTCTTCTTCACTCAAACGCGACCACATAGAGCTTCTCACAATCATCACCTCCAGATTATGGCCAGCAGCTTAATGGGAGGCCACTTATCATGCTGTGCATGTACGTTGAACAGCTACTAGGACTCCACCGCACGACGTACACGATGAACACACAGTTTCAAACCCCATGCCGCAACTCCCGCCCATACGAATAGAAGAAAGGCGAGGGCGTCCGATAATCAGGGCTCCTTCAAATCCGGACAGCAGAACCACTCAGACAATGACCGCCACCTACAAGCGCCGAAAAACCCAAAAGCCGGACAAAAAGACCAGAGGGAGTGAGGCACTCCAGCACCCCCACTCCACAATCCCGACTTCCCCCATGTGGTAACCGACCTTCAGACTCCTCGCGGCGAAGGCTATAAGCACTGGCAATCGCGCGCGCCACCCCAAGAAAGCGCCCAATTCAAGACGCCCAGTCCGCAAAATCACATGAAAGTGCAGCGGGGGGCTGTGAGAGAGAACAAGTAAGGGCGAATCAACTCAGGGGTGAACAAAGAAAGACAGCTTTTGACCCACAAATTCGGAACACATAGAAACAATTGTGAGCTGGACCAGAAATGTAGTCAGAGACATGATAGAGACGAGTGATCGAAATGGGCGATAGTTAGTGCTTCGGCTTCATCATATTTATCGAGGTAAAGGTCTTCCAATCGGCCCTTCTAGCTAATCTAGAGCAGGGTTGTTTAGCCTGGTCTCTCTCTCCTGTCATCGTCTGGAATATCAACCCTCCCAAAGGGCGAGATCGTGTTCCGGATGATGCAGTCGCACGCGGAGCAGCAGGGCTACATCCTGGCTTCCGGCATCCTTGACCTGATCAATGACGGATACGGCTTTCTGCGCCAGTTGAGCCTCAAGCCCAGCCCCAACGATGTCTACGTATCGCAGTCGCAGATCAGGCGCTTCGCTCTGCGGACGGGCGACCAGGTGATGGGGCAGGTGCGGCCTCCCAAGGACGGCGAGAAGTACTACGGCCTGGTGCGCGTGGAGGGCATAAACGGCCTGGACACGGACGCTGCCAGGGCGCGGCCCAGCTTCGACACCCTGACCCCAATCTTTCCAAACGTCCAGTTGAAGCTGGAGACCGCCAAGGACAACCTATCTACTCGCCTGATGGACCTGCTTTCCCCCATAGGCCGCGGCCAGCGAGGCCTGATTGTGTCTCCTCCAAAGGCGGGCAAGACCACGCTGCTCAAGCACATTGCCCAGGGCATTTCTACAAACAACCCCGGCGTTACCCTCATGGTGGCCCTCATCGGGGAGCGCCCCGAAGAGGTAACCGAGATGAAGCGGTCCATCGACGGGGAGGTGTTCAGCTCAACCTTCGACGACCCTGTTGAGGACCACTGCCGCGTGGCTGAGCTTGCCCTGGAGCGGGCCAAGCGCCAGGTGGAGTGTGGGAAGGACGTGGTGATACTGCTGGACAGCATCACCCGCCTGACGCGAGCGTACA